AGCCCGGCACTTGGCGGAGGATCTGGGAACACGACCACGTTTGACTTGGGGGCCAAGAAGTCGGAAGGACGGTCGTTTGTCCAGGACTCCAATAGGAGTTCCAGTGGCCCCTGAAGGCGAAACTGCTGAGACATCCAGTTAAGGAAGGCCGGAACCGCGTCGACGTACGCGTCGCGAGCAGACAAGGCGTTCACCTTGGCGTCTTGGAGCTCGTACTCGAGACGGCTCTTCTCTTGCTCCAAGAGACTGAGGTCGTTGGAAATCTTCTGGGCGTCCCGGCGTGCGGCGGCCAACGTTCCCTCGAGCTCGGCGATGCGCGAATGCTTCTCGAGGAGGGAATCTGCGCTGGCGTCTAGTTTGCCCTCGAACTCGGCCGCTCGCTTCTCCGCAACTCGCTTCTCGTCGATGACCTTGTTCTTGGCCTCCTCGAGGGACACGACTACGGCTTCGAGACGATCGTTGGAGTCCCGGAGTTGTCGGACTTGGGCCTTGAGGTCATCCCGTTCTTGTACGACCATGGGGTCCGGGACGGCGACAACGGGCCGACCTTGGAGTTCGTCGTGCTTTGCCTTGAGCTCTCGATACTGGACCTTGAGCGCTTTCAGCTCGTCGAACGGGACCTCCGCGGTGGTCGAAGCTGAGCCACTGTCCCCTGCGGCGCCACCATCAGTCGACGTAGCGGCGCCGGTGGGATTCGACGCGGTGCGTACGCTCCCTGGCCCCGCGGCGGCCTCCGACGCGCTGGTTCTGGCGGCGTTCGTGCTGGTGGCCATTCCGGGATGATTTACCAGTTGGGGTCGGTTCGGCAAAGTTGGGCTGTCCAATGTCCCAACGACGTGCGGCGACAAGGCTCCTATTGGTCCGAACCCGGAGTTTCGGACTTAAAGAGGGGAGATTGTCGCGGTGCGTGTCGGAGTGACGGTCTTTTACTCCTAGTCCGGGATTAGTGTCCTAATCCGGGATCGTGGATGTGTGAGTCTACTGGTACGCGAGAGCGATACCAAGTCCCATCACCTTCATGATGACGACCACACTGTTGTCACGGGCCCTCGTGGGCCCGGATCCTTGAAGATCGACGGTTATAGGGTGCAGTGGTGGTGGGGGTTGTGGCCCCTCAACCAGACGAAGATAGGCGACGATAACATTTAACTTGACTTTACATTTTGCCTGGGAATACAGACTCCTGTTTGTGTTCTCTTTCTCACGCTTGCCCACGCCACACGTACAAAGGTATTTTTCACGGAAATCCCCGTGACAATGGCGACATGGGTGTGATGGCCCTTCACGTTCACCGAGCAATGTGCAAAGCCCAAAATCGACCATCTCGCGCGCACAAATCGCAACACACTCATGGCGACCGGGGCTAGCTCACCTGGTGGTCGGTATGCAAGTAGAACGCCATCGATGATGGCGCCGGTTCGTCTGCTGTCGTTGGCGCATCCATGGCTCGACCGATCTGCGTGTGCCGAACCCATTCGTCTTCGCGCAGCTTGAGCGTGTGCACCACTCTGCCGTGCGTCGTCGTCACGGCATCTGCACCATCTACGAACGCGACCATGAGCCAGCAGTCTCGACATGCATGTACATAATCGGTTGACGCCCCCGACTGCGTCCATTTCCCATTTCGACCATGTCCAAGTTCTGCACGAATGTGTACCGGCGTCCGGCGAGCCGCCATCCGTTTGTGGCCGATGCGGGCGGCGCTGGGCAATCCACACGGCCAGGTTGTACGAGTCTCTCGCGACTTGCACCAGCATGAGCTGGGACGAACAAAACGTCACGTCCAATTGTGTCGTCGTGGTGCCGAGTGCATCCGTGGGCAACGTCATCGCGGTGACGAGCGTCCATTGAAAATCGTTCGAGTAAAATCGAATCGTGCCGCGGTCGCACACTGCCAGGAGCGGCGTCGATGCCGCGGTGGCGCCGTCTGCATCGCGGACAACATGCACCGACGCGGTCGACGCAAACTGTTTGATTCGAACGGGCCGAAACGCAGCGTTTTGGAGAAAGTGGTCGGGAAATGTCTTGACGCCCGTCGGCGTGTGCATATCGAGAAGTACTTTGAAATACCACGTCGACCCGTCGTCTTTGGACGTTGCCACGACCATCGCGGTCGTGGATGGCGTGTGCACGAGCGCGATGCGGTCAATCTTGCCTGGACCAGCGGTTGATCGACATCAACGGACGACGGACGGCGTACCCGAGAGTTCGCACCGGCAGCATTCCGAGTTGCTCTCGACATGGACAATCGAAATCAAGTCCGCGGACGACCCGAGCAGGACGTAGTTTTGCCCGTTGAACGAGCGCCACCATGCCACACACGTCGGCGACGACATGCCCTGGGCAAACTCGAGAACACTCACGTCTTCGTCATCCCCTGCCACGTTCGAATGGTACTTGGCGCCGTTTTGGCCATGTGCCCGAAGGAACGACGTCATCTAGTTGGGAACGATGGAGGATGGTGTGCACCGAAGAATCATGCGGAAAGAGAACGAACGGGGCATACCTTGGTGAACATGGCGCTTGGCACGACACTCATGAGGTCGTCGGACGCGCCGTCACGCAAATGATTCTGCATGGGAGTCCGCGTGAGGAGGTGAGGCAACGGATGCGTTTTGGTCTCGTGCGAAGGGGACCGACCTGGAGAGAGACTTTGCGCTGCCGCATGACCAGAGACGCCACGGGCATGAGAAGGAGAAACGTACGCAGACCCCATGACACAATCACGACGAGCCAGTCGCCTTCGGGGGCGAACTCCAAACAGACAACTTGCTGGGTCGACGCAGCCGACGGCGACGTCACTCCACTGTCTACGGGGAGTTTCAAGAGAGAGGATGACTGATGTTGCTGCTGTATCTGCAGGCGCTCCAGCGCAGCGGTCCATGGCAAGCGCCAGAAACGAGGATGCAGGTCTTCTTCGAGCGACCGGAGAAGGAGCGTCTTGTCAGCGCAGTAGAACGCTTGGAACTGTTTCTTCGCAGTACATCGAGACGCAAAGGACTTGACCACGTTCGTCTCGTCCGAGTTCTCTAGCGGGAGCTCGATCACCTGCAGGAGACGCCTCGTCTGGAACACGCCGTGCTGCTCGACGAGCCTGTCGCCGCCATCGCTCGCCATCGTCGCGTGCAATGCGATAAAACGCACGTTTTACTCCAGAAAAGGCGCCTTTGTGCAACAACGAGATGGCGTAAAACTACTTGAACGCCTTCCCCAAAATATCATGAGCATGTCGTGGGACGCGTTCCGCGCCGCTGCGTCCGCGCTGACGGTGTTCCAGGGCGCCCTGATGGATGTCAACCATCCCTTCGCCGAGGAATGGAACTGGGAGTGGGAGATCGCAGCACCGTCGAATCCCCTGCATGTACAACGTCTTGTCATCCACGACTTGACTCATGTCGGCTGTAGCGAGCCTATCCCGGGTACGGCTACTTGATCTCGCGCAACAACGTCCGGCACGTTGGAGCTGCACCACTCGATGAAGGATCGTGTGGTACGCATGACGGCGAACTCGACGTTGGAGAGCGATTTGTCTCGGATCCTTGTGCCGTCGATCCAACGACAAATTCCGTCGATGGCTGCATGTGCATGTACGAGTTCCATGTTGTGTACAGTCCAACGTACAAGGTGCCGCTGCTCTATCTCCGTGGTCATCTAGTCGGTGCGTGTGTGTCTCTTTTCACACGGCGTCCTCTGACAGCGCGCGCTCCCGTAGATGGGACGCTGCTCAACACGCAGACCGTTCAGCAGCACATGTCGACGCCCGGCGCCAAGTTTATTTCCCAAGATGAACATCCCGTCCTCGGCCTTCCTTTTTACGTCCTGCATCCGTGCGAGACAGCGGCATGCCTCTCGCTTCTCTTGGACCAACGCGTGTCGACGGCCAGCAGCACTCGTCCGCCATTGCCTCCGTTGCAACACTTGTTGGCTTGGCTCACACTTGTCCAGCCATGCACGCGCATCCGAGTCCCGGCGTCGTTCGCCATGGCATACCTTCGTTCTTCGTCGTCCTGATTGCCGTCATGCTGTCCAAGTTCCTCGTCGTTGCAGGCTTGCATTTTCCGCGCAGACCACACCTGCAACGACCAAGAGCAACCCCCCAGCGCCTCCATCATCATCGATGGCGGATGCATTGTCCAGCAGCCGTCGGCGAGAAATGCCGCAGTCGTCAAGACGGTGTGAGTTGAATACGATTTCGTTCTGTTGCTTCGAACACGCACATACACACTGCTATCGGTCGCCCTGTCGTAGTTCCAAGCAACTACAACTCGATCCCGTCCTTCTTGAGTGCCTTCAGTCGCTGCAGCACCATGCCAGAGTTGGGGCGTTTGGTCGAGTTGGACTGCAAGCACGCCTGGACGAGCTTCTGGAACTCTTCGGGCAGGCTCGTCCACTTGGGGCTCTTGGGGTCGTACGGGATCGGCACACCTTTGCCAGCCATCACGCTGTCGACAATCCACACGTCCGTGTGCACCGTGCCGACCTAGAGGGACAGATCGTTGTGAGACAATTCCGTGCTGCCACCACCACGACCCCAGACCTCGCTAATCTCTCGGTCAAATGGCCGCGTCGTGGTTCCGATTTCGGCCAGCACGACCCCCAACGAGTACATGTCGGCGGCCAAAAAGTTGTGCATCTCGTTCTTGATGACTTCCGGCGCGCGCCACGCGAGCTGGTTGTTCCCATACATTTCTTTGCACATCGTACTCGACTTGTACGACGCCATAAAGTTGAAAATGTTGAGCTTGCATTGGAACGTTGACGACACAAGGACATTCGAACTGCGCAGGTGCTCGACCGGGACAGGGATCGGCATGAGCGTGTGGAGGTAGTGGAGCGCCTCGACAACGTCGGTCGCCATCCCGAGCTGGACCTCCCACGTCAGCGGCACTGCTTGGTACACCGAGATGAGACTGCCCTTCTCCATAAACTCGGCGACAGCGTAAATGTCCGTGCCACTCAAACACGTCACACCCATGTACGTGACGAGGTTCGGGTGGCTTAGCCGCGCCATCTCCTTGACGCCCTGGAAGAAGCTGTCGGTGACGTGGTCGCCGGCAAAGCGCGGCGCACGGCGCAGCACAATGCGCGCGTTCAAACTCTCCATGTCGCCCATCCAAATGTCGCCGCCGAGGCACCGGGCGAGCTGCACCTGATCCGCTGGGATCTTGGTCAACGTGGCGTCGTTCGCGCCGGCGGTCTTGAACTTGGACATGGTTTGCGTCGTCGCGTACACTTCGTCGACGCCGTAAAAGTCGTCGTCTGGCGAGTTCGAGTTGAGCACGCCAGGCGACATGTCCGGGTGGTGGCGGCTGCGGCGGTGCACGACGATCGCGATGAGCACGAGGACAGACGCGATGCAGCTCACGATGACGAGCGTCGTGATCGCGCCGGACGACGGACCCGACGCATCCGAGAGGGTCAACGCAGGCGCTTTGGCTAGTCATGCACGTGGATGAGATCGATCTTGACACAAACATGCCACCATACAATTGCGGCAAAACTTATTCATGTACGCAGGCGGGCAATCTTGAAAGACCGAGCTCTTGAGCGTCAGCTTGGTGGTATTGACAAACTCGTTGAATTTGTCGAACTGCGCGGCCGACGTCATGTTGGGGCTGAAAAATTCGTTGTTGGAGAGATCGCTAGCATACACCACGTCAGCGGTGGCGACGGTACGAACGAAGCGCGTACATGGTGGCAAGGTTGTCCATGTCGAGGACTTCGGTCGGGAACGACCACACTTCTATGCTATTGTAGGTCCTGCACACGGACGACGACGTGAGAAGTTGAACAGGGACGTCTCTCGCTGGGAACGTACAGCGTGGATAGCGATGATAGACCCGTCGGCGGCAATCGGGTCATGACACTTCCTTGCACTTGCCTGTCAACGTGCACGTGAGGGCATGGACGATGACATGGTCAGGAGGCGTACAGCGTCATCAACCGCGAGTCCTTGGACAGGTTTAGTTTTGACGTGTACGTATTGCTAAGAGTCCTGCGTCGACACGTAAGGGACAAGACATGGAGAGGAAAAACGTACAGCTCGGACAACGACTTGGGCAGGTATGCGTTTTCTTCCACTTCGATGGAGAAGTAGTCCAGATTCGGGTCGTCCTTTCCTTCGAGTCCTGCCGGTCGGGCGCCGTAAAATCTCCTGCGTACGGATCGGGATGACCTCGAGCAACGAACCAAGAACGACAGGGACAACGTACAAGTTGACGAGACCGTTCATGGAGGCAAACGTCGAGTTGTTCAGGATCCAGTACAAGCCTTCTGTGGCATACGCACGCCGAAAGATCCTGCAATAAGGGCGTGTCGTGAGCACCATGGGGGCAGCCAAGAAGACAGCGCACAGACGGACATACATGGTCGTAACTAGGTTGTCCGGGTCGACGCAAGTGAGTTTCGACATGAATGTCCGCGGCATCTCAAACGTGCACGTCAACGGGTCCGCACACGTCTTGGGCGCGGACGACGCGACCATGTTGATCGTGACCGTGTTTGTGCGGGCGGTACATATCGGGTCGAGGGTCTGACAGGCGAGGCACAATCGTGCCGTCGACACGTTGAGGGAGCATTTGAGCGCGGGGGCGTTTGTGACTTGCGCGGATGCGAATGCAGCGCCTGCAAGCACGATCCATCCTGCTTTGAACATGGGGAAGTACTTCCTTCGCGCACGCGGACCGCCGGTCGAGTCGCTTGGCGGGTTCGACGCTCTCCAGAAGTGGAATTGGGCGGTTCGCCACCCACAGTATACTTGAAATTTGTATAGCGCTTTCTCGCGCTTGATCATCGAGACAAAGTTACTCACGAACTGAATACAATTGAATTGCATGGCCCGTCCCGCTTCTTCACACTTGATCTTTGTATACGTCTGGTCGTATTTTTATCAAATCGCACCGCCATCGCGTCGACCAATTGTAACGAGGGAACACCGAACCAGCCGGCATAGTGAAACCAAGTCACGACAACGTGTCCACACCGTTTGGGTAGTCGAATTTTGTCCGTTATTATAGTTCCTTGGAGCCCGCGCCACGCACGACCCAACAACGCTGCCGCCCATAGCGCCAAGGAGAGCGTGCCGGCTGCATGTCGTCGGGGGAGGGGGTTGGCACGGACGCTGCCATGCCATGCCAACGAATGCTTTGCACAACAGGGTTGCCTTGGAATGGACATATTGAGAAAAAGAGATGTGCAGGTGACCCCGTGTTCCAACGACCGTGCAAGACAGCGCATAGGTGCCGTCGTCATCGAGGCGAGTTACACCCTTGCGAGCAGTGGCGCGACGAAATCTGAAGCATCCCAGATGGTCGTCGCGCACGACGTTGTCAGGTTGGCGCGAGTGCCCCTCCTCTACCACGACGGCGTGCTGTTTCGGGCGACCGGTAGAGTACCGCGGGGAGTTGGAGGATCGGTCTGCCAGCCAACGTACCCGGCATGGCGAGATCTTGGACAGTCCCTCGACATGCCGCTGCGTGCGTGCACACACGCGTGTTTCGCTCGTTTTCATGCGAGCGACAGGACTATGTTAGCGGAATCGACGGTTCGCTTGCATGACTGCCGTTTTCCATTATTTATTACGTGGCACCAGATTGACATGGGAAAAATGGACTAAGTTAGCGGAACTGGAAAAACGCCGTCATCGATGCGAGGATCAGGTCCACCCCACGCGCAATATATATACACTCGGGATGGCGGCGGCGACGCTGCGCGACGGACGCGAAGACGAGAATGGAGGGAGGCATGTGCGTTCGCTAGAGGGTGACTTCGTTGGCGCTCCGAGTCAAAGGGCTGGGGGGGTCGGTGGACATAAACATCACGCTCGATCGAAACGACTCGACGAGGTGTTCGCGGGTCGCATTCAAGCTCGGCGTCGTGTGGAACGATTGAAACACGCCTTCGTCGACGTCGTCGTCGGAATCGTCCGCACTTGTTTCGAGTGGGTCGCTGTCGGTCATGTGGTCTTCCACCATCGTACGAAACACACGAGAGGCGTGTTCGAGATCGTTGCTGGTCATGTTTGTGAAATGACCGACCACGACTTGCAGGGGTGGTCGACCGGACGGATCACGCGCACAACAAGCTCGAATCATGGCGAGGCTTCGGGCGTCCGTCGCGTCGGCGGCTGCACGCCAGTCGAACGGATGCAGGAGCGGGTCGTTGTCATCTGTACGACGCGCCGTGGTCGTCAAGTACATGTCACCGCCAACATGACCCTTGGCATGCACCAGCGGCGCAAAGCACAGGGTTCGCGTGAAGATTTCACCGAGGACAAGCCCGAGGCGGTACACGTTGGCGGCTTCGCGCTCGTGCAACGTGCAGCACTCGATGACCTACGAAGACAACTCGCGTCAGCGTCAACTGCGCGTCCGTTGATTCGTACGCCTCGTGTAGCGATCAACTCTGGAGGTAGCCATTTCATTCTTCCAGCTCCAAGCACGGCCGTCTCGTCCGGCCCGCGGCATGCAGACTGGGTGAACTGGAACACGTTCAACTTGCACTCGAGCGCTGCGTTCACCTACATGAGAAAGATGGCATGGTCGAGCGAGAGCATGTCATCGCGGCACCGACGTACCAGAAACGACTTTGTATGGAGCACCAAATTCACACAACAGAACGGGTTGTACGTCGATTCGAACGACGAATACACAAACGCGACAGCGTCCACAACGTTTTTGGCGAGCACGTGCTTCTGCGTGCCGTCCAAGTTGATGGTGGGTGCATGGACGAGTGCGCCGAGGCCGCGCTTGTCCATGTACTCGACAATCGCGCAGAATTCGCCGTCCGTTTCGTGAAAGTAGACGCCCTTGAACGCAACCAGGCACGGGTGCGGGCGATGCGCGATAAACTTGATCGCGTCGACAAATCCTTGGAGCATGCCGGCGTCGAGAATATCGTGGGATCTGCGGACCACTACCTTGATGTCGTGGAGTTTACTGACCCAGTACAGTTTGGTCCCTGCGAGGCGTTGCGGCGGATAGACAAAGTCCCGTGGCGGCACGCGGAAGCTAGAGTTGGCGGCAGAGTTGCGCCGGCCAATGTCGGTCGCATCCATCACACCATGCGAGAAGTCCAAAGTGTTGTCGAGTGGAGTGAGAGTCATGCCGCGGTGGGACGAATGTGGCGGGTTCAGACTCGAGTTCAAGTGCACCGCCATATCGTTCGGCAACTCGCCAGGTTTGCCCTTGCGACGGTAGAGAAAGATCCCGACGAGTAAGGTCGCCGCCACGACACCGCCAGAGATGGACGCCACAAGCACAATCATGTTGGACGAGTCGGACGAGGATTTTCCCACAGAAAACAACACCGGGCCCTTTGTCGCAACATTGGACAGCTGGGATGACGCGCCCGGGATGGACGTTGTCATGCCTACGATGGGAGTTGCTGGAGCCAGGGACTCTGTTTCTTCAGATGGAGTGTTGGAAGGTGGTTTCGTGGATGCAGCGAGCGGCTCAGGGCTGTGTGGTTGTTTTTGAGCAGAGTGGGGTGTTGTCGAGGGCAGAGGAGTCCGGAGGGGGGATGGTGTTGGCGCAGACGACGTTGCCGTCGCTGGTCGTGGATCTCGGACGCAAAGACAAAGGGAGTTGCTGATGACAAGGGGAAACGAGTCATCGGAGCACTTGCACGGAGCGACTGGCTGGCTCGTTAGCGAGCTGGCGCTTCCACCGGTAGCTTGAACGGTGTCGTGACTGTCTAGGCGTAGTGCTTGCGACATGACAAGGTGTTCAATGCGCTTCACGTCCTTGGACTTGACTTGGACGGGTGGAAATACATTGCCCCGGAGGTCTCTGACCAAAAGTTCACTCCGTCGGGCGAGTTTGTGGAGTAGAACGGGAGGGGGGAGCTTACAGGTGCTTTAGCGTTTGTATCGCCAAAAGGAACGTTGGAAACGCGGTGAAGTTGTTGTTGCGTAGGGAGCTACCTCGATCATCGTCACATGGGTTTTGTGAGGGACTCAGAAAAGGAAATTACATGGTGGAGGCGATGCTATCCGTCCATCCATCTTGTGACAGCTCGAGGCCCGGGTTGTTGTTGAGTGTGCTGGCCAAATACGACATAAGTTCTCTGGGCTGGTAGCAAGGAAGGGGTAGTACATGGAGGTCAAAACATTGGATTCCGGTAGTTCAAAGAAAGCGAGTTCGCACGAGATGCATGTCCTAGCGGCGGAAGCAGTTAGATGTCGTGGAGAAATGGCAACGGCGGCCATTACAGTGATTCCAACGACTTGAACGAGATTGAGTCTTCGCTCAGGTCAGAGATGGCCACGTCGTACAAGTTCCTAGAGACACAGCGTCAACTCCAGTCATGGCGCGTCCAGCTTGGTCAACTCACAACGCCCGGAGACGCGTGAATGAACGAAAATCGTCTTGGAAATCGAACGAGACGCGAGGGGTCGACTTGGGACCACGGATCGACCTGTGCAACACACACCACATAAGCACACGAATATCGCGCAGGAATCGCATGCAAAAGAGAAACGTACAACGTCTCGACGGCGCTTTTCGCATCGCCAGGTTCGACCCACGCCGTCGAGTTGGCGACAAACGCGGTAGTCAAGGTCGCTTCCATTGGAGACGCATGAAGGACGACAGAGATGTCCTGACGCAGGGGGTGGCCAACTTGCGCGCTGTGCTTCCTGCACTGGACGACGACTTCGTCTGTGCCTTTGGCATGTCGTGTCGAAATCTCGAAAGGGTGTGGACAGACATGCAGAGAATTGCTCGTGCCTGGATCGTTGCCATTTCTGCGGTGGTGGGACGTTTCTCGAGCACTGGTGGCGCAGGTCGCAAGCACCAGCAGACCTGCACACCACCACATTGGTGCACTCCTCACCCCGACCATGATGTTGCTGCTCTGTGGTCCCCACGGACACAAGCAGACAAGTACTGCTGGAATGTCGCAGCGTTGTGGTGATATCGACGACGACGCGACGACAACATACATGATATCCTACACGATGTGTTCAGATTTAATAAGAGAGTTGGGGCAATTCCTTGCCACGACGACAGAACGCCCGTTGTACCGCAGTCGAATTCGTCTTCAAATTTGTATGCATTGACTTCGTCAAAATGTGGGTCATCTGGCCCAATCAAAATCGTTCTTGTCGTCGAAAGGCGTCATGGCGAACTCGTGGCACAATTGACGACGGGCATGGCGGAACACACCCTTTGGGACGAAGAAGCATGAGCACGAGGTTGGGAGGAAGGATTCGGGCGTTGACGAAGTTCTCTCGTCACCGAGATGTCGTTTGCGCGTGCAGGGTGTGCAGGAGTTTCTTGTACTTGCGTCGTTCTGCCCGGACCACGTCGGGATGGGTCGGCTCGAAGAAGATGGCGCCAAACGTATTCGCGATGAGGTTCGTCATCGCGGCAACGACCCAGCTTACAAGGGCAGCTCTCGTGTACACGACTTCATTGCCTCCACATGGCATCGCCGAGGTCGCGCCGTCAGGGGCATGCGACGACGACAGCTGTAGCATATTCCACACTTCCATGTCCTTGGCAACTCCCATCGTGATCATGATTATGCTACACGACAACAAGTCGACCCGATGCACCGTCAGCTTCAAGGGAATTACACGCGCATGAAGTGCATTGTTGCAAGCGTAGAGTCCGGTGGTCGAGCAGAATCGTCGCGACGTAGAATTCGGCATTGCGACTGCCTCATCGCAGGAACATACCACATATTTTCGAGCATCGCGCAGTGGGAGATAAACTCGAGGATGTCAAACCACGCCCCAATACCCTTGGATCGTTCTGCACGCTTGTGTCAGCGCCAAGTCCAAGTGTTCAAGGGATTTGTCGACATGGCATCATATCCCATACCTGGAACGGGGCGCTGGTGGTGATAGCTCAGCGCGACCATGTTGAGTCGTTGGTGCAGGACATTTGTGGCGAGGGCGGCGAGGAGGGCAAACGGAAACACGATGGTGAAGCACGCGAGGTTGGAGTACTGCGAGATGCTGTCGTCGTATTCGGCAAACAGATCCCATGGCGGCCGGGCGAGTTCTTCGAGGACATCCTCGTCCACTTGTTCAAAATGGGGCAGCACCGTGCGGGTGCGATTTCGGATGGCGTGTGCCAGCGATCGCAGCCGCTGATGGACTTGACTTCCCAACCGCGTCAGCAATATCGGGAGCCAATACTTGGCTCCAAGCTTGGCGAATTGGGTCGTGAGAAACGTGTTCCTGGTATTGCACACTCGTGAACGCGGCCGTGCATGTCGATTCGGCATGACAGAGGGTTCCTCAAACAAGGGATAGAGTCGCAAAGACGTACCGCATGAGGTCGGCAAAGCGCTTCGGATCCACTTCGACGCCGTCGTCAACGGTCCAGATCGCCGAAAATGGCTCAAACGGTATGTAGATGAACCCGACGCAAACGTAGTAGACACACACGCTGAGAAAGTAGAACGAGTACATCTTGTATACCACGGACCGCTCAAATTCCCACTCAAACTTGTACTTCGGCGAGCCGCTTGGCGAACGGGACGTACAGCGCACACATCTACGCGAAACATGCTCCGTTAACGAGGTCAAGATCGTCGCCAAAACGACCACGGAACGATTTCCGGGGCGGGCATCGTGGCATACCCCTTCGTCAAACACGACGCCAAACAGGATATCGGGAACGGCGCCAACGATGAATTTGAAGAAGCCAGCGTCACGCATCCAGTGCTTGCCGGTGGGGAGTATACCACAACCAAATATCAGACACAAACCCAAGCGCGGCGCCGACGAGGACGACGACGCACAACCGACACGGAGAACGTCAGGATGGTCTTTGGCAAGCGGTGCGTGGACGAGAAGTGCAGGTCAAAGATGGGGCTTGACCCAACAAAACTGAGTTGAACGGCTTCCCCGTAGAACGTATCGCGCTCACGATCATGCTTGGAAATGTCGTCGAGTTTCGATGCACGAGGAAATGTTCTTGCCGCTTCCAACGCCAGAGCACCTTGGAAGACAGGTGCATGAACTCGCACGACAGAACAGCATGAGCAGTACCATTTTGGACCAGACGGTGACGGCGAGGGAACACAGCATGTGCAAGACAGCGCTGGAAGTCGAGTCCGAGCCCACCACGGCAACGAGTCCGGCGAACATGACATAGATGCATGACAGCAGGATCAAGTGCAAGTTCCAGTGCATATATCGTGTCAAGGTCCGCAGGGGTGAAGAATCCGAGGCGCGTGATCGCGTACTGCACACGAGGAACTGGACGTTCTTCTCCTCGTCATGCAACGGAACGACCGATATGACCCTCCATTTCGCTGGGTGAAATACATGTCGTCGCGCAATCCTTGCAGCGTCAACCGGCATTTCTCGGTGGAAGTCATGGGGGCCCTTCCAGGTACACAGCGTGAGGACTGCGAAGGATCGAAGGTGGAATACCATATGAGCCTGCTCCTGTAATTCACGAACTTTGGAGCAGATCCGAGGACACCGTTTTTCAACCAAACTTGGACGTTCGCACGATGTCCAAGCTTTTCTAGGTACATCAACTTTGCACGCACCTATCAAGCGGCATGGTGATTTGACAGGGAATGGGCATGGAAGGGTCCACCACGACGACAACAATCTTGGCTCGCGCAAGAATCGAGTGTTCGTAAAATGTGTCGGGGAGATGACAGCTTGAGCACCTGCCGTGTTCACGCATGATATGGCGACTTCCCAACGTGCTCTATGCGCTGCCAACTTGACCTTGATGACCCGGACGAGTGTTTTAGATGCCGTCAGAACGGTCTTTGGAACAACTTGCATCAACACAGCGCTCACTCGATCTTTCAGGGCATGTGTCCCTGATGGAGACGGTATTGCTTGAAGTCCAGCAGATCCGTCAAGGGTTTCGCGGCGAGACGTGGCGCTTCGGGATGAGTCGTCTGCCCGTTTCCTCGACCCAGTACGACTTCATCTCTCTCTCATCGACGACACCCGACTGGAGATCATGCGACGGATAAAAGCAATGCGACCGATGTATCCCCTTCGCTTCGTCGGGTTCACCTTCACATGAATGGGTCCGCGGGTCGGTACCGACGGCACATGCATGCCTCGTTTGATGGCGCGCGACGTTTGGCCCACGAATTCAAAATCCTCGAAGTTGATTGGCTGTTAAAGAGATTTTCGCGCATTTTCACATTTGCCACACTGACGACATATGACCAAGAGCGGGGAAAAGCTGTGCGCGACGCGGTGTCCGCTTCCACCTGCGACGGAGGAGCGCGTCCATCTGCTTCCGTGCCGTGTAAAGCATGATGGTAAAGCCCGAATCTCGTCGTACTTTGTCGTGGATAAGACGACCAACACGGCGCGGTTCCGAGGCGTCCAGCTGCAAGGAAACCCCGTCGATTTGCATTCATTGGGATACACTGGCCTCCTGATGGTCGACGATGGTCTTCGCGACGAAAGCATGAGAAATGCATTTGATGACTCGGACGACACAGCTCCGACTATCTGGGAATTGGATGGGCATTTCGCCACGATTGTCGATTGGCAGACAAAAGATAACGTGTCCCATCCGCCGCTCAACTCCCGCTTGGAATCATGGGCGAAATACGCTTCCGCCGTACGTTCTACTACATGTCATGCATGCTTGCAATGTGCTTACCATGATTGCTGTAGATCCACGACGAATGATGCATCACCAATGCATGTAGAGATTTACAGTTCGTTATCACCGGTGATACGTTTGCTGTTTCATCTCCTGAATTGCCTTGTACCGTCCTGCATAATACCCTGACTGGTACCACGACAAGAGCAGTTTTGACAAATCGTCGTCACCATCGATCGCAGGAAGGGACACGCCTGGGCCAACGCCGACACTGAAAGCATGGCCCTGGGGAACATGGCGAACCCGAGGGTGTTGGAAGGCACTGGATGGCGGTTGCAACGGTGGAATGTAACTTCCGTGCCCGTGTGTCATGGCATGAGCGTATGCCCGGGCATACGCATCAGCGTAAGTAGTTGAAGTTGCATGAGATGATTGAGGCGGTGTTTGGGTGAAGGGTGATGGTGCTTGGTACGGGGAGTGACCTCCGTCCAAGTGAGCATGCGCGTATCCGAAATGAAGTTGTGGTGGGATAGCTTCATGCGGGTAAGCCATACTTGGCGACGGCGGAGGTTGGTAAGCTGCAGCTTGTTGAGGGATGTGAGGAGTACTTGGTCGGTACTCGTTGGTCGTGGGGGAAGGCGTCGCAGGATTTGCGTGTACTGGGGTGTACTGCTGCTGCACCGAAACTTTCGCTGGTGCAGCCTTCTACGAGTATGCACGATTTCAAACTGTGCGATCCACCGTCGAACACGTACCTTTTTGGTCTTGGCGGGTGGTGCACTCGCGGCTTCTGCTTTCTGCTTATTCAATGCAGCGTCAAATGCCTGCACAGGTGAGGTCAGTCTTGCGCACGACCTCACATGAAGCGGCGCCCGATACCTTGAGGATCGCCAAGTCGTCCCATTGTTCCTCGTCGTGCGTCATCCAGCGGTCGAGCTCCGTTCGGTGAAGAATTTTCTGCACTGGTGGAGAAATGCACCAATCAAAAGATTTCACTTGTATTTTTTCGTCACCTTTCCATTATGCCGAAATAATGTACTTATCCCACAATAATTGCGACAAATGACTTCCTCCTCGTCGAATAATAATACAGTCACTTCAAGATATTTTACTCCGCATAAATTTCACAAGGTGTACCAATTCAGCGGCGTCGGGATCACGACAACGTGCACGCGCGGCGCTTTTGAGCAAGCAGGCGCTCAAGAATCGGTTCCGGTGAATGGATGACTTGTCCATCCACAACTACCCTTGCACAAAGCAGCGATGTGTTCGAGCGATTCGTCGCATTTGTCGTCACTGGGGACGACAACCCGGCCGACCGACGCAAAACATCCCACGCGCTCTAGCGATTCGAATCGACCAGGTCGGGATCCACCCACGCCGTGTTCCTGCACGTATGGGTGCGTCGTGGCAAGTCAAAACGCGCATCATGTTTCGATCGAATCCAACTAGCTACGCCGACGGGACGTGTTCGGCGACCAAGTAGAGCCGACACAGCTCGCGAAAGTAGCTTCGGAGGATGCGCTGCTCCATCTCTTTCTTGCTTTGGATCGGGTTGGACGCGTTCAGTTCGGGGCACTGAATCAATTGGGTCAAGATCTCGACATGGCTACAATCGTGATATCCATGGGCACATGCAGGTTTCGTCGACGTACCTCGGGTTCTTGTGCTTGGTGTTGGCATGCAAGTGCACCAGCGTCTCCAAATACGACAGCTAGACAACACCGTCGTGAACGATCCTTGCTTGACCAACGCCATCGCATGTACCTCCCAAATGTACTGAAAGAACGCCGCGTCGTGCTGCGCGGGCGACAGGTGCAAGATGCGCAGACCGTACGCCACTTCATCGGGTGGAAAGATCTGGTACAACACGGCCGCAGCGACATGGGCACCGAGCTTGACGAGGCAGTACGACTAATCGCGCACGTTTTCAGCGACAACGCGGACCGGATGCCAACGTACCAACCGAACGAGGGACCCGTGGTCGATCACGTCGGTAAACTGCGCATCTTCAAAGAAATTGGTCGCCAACGACGCTGCGACCAAGTAACTTCGCACGGCCGCTGTAAAGTCTGCCCATACAACTCGTGTGTCAAGCACGTGGTGGCCTCGTTGGGGCGTACCGGGAGCAGACGAGAGTTTTTGAAGCACGATCGGATTGACCGCGACGTCGGCACGGGCGCAGTGCCACCTCGGATCTCGTGGACATCGCGTCACGAGGGCTTGGAGGCACACCAAGTGCACTTGGACAATTTCCGACTGCGTCGCTTTCACCGACTGCACGGCGTCGACGCCCGTCGGATTGTCTGGCGCGAACGCCATCAAGATGGCCAGGTCGCCGTACGGCGTCAAGTCGTACGAAACCCGATACTCGCACTACGGAGGTCTCTGCAACCAACGGTGGCATGCCAGGCGACGTACCAAGTTGAGTGCGTAGGCGCGCTGAAGGAGACCGGCCGTAAGCGACACGATCGTGTCCAGCACTGGAACAGGCACCCACTCGACCAAACATTCTCGGGGAGCTGCAGCATCCGCCACTTCCTTCACCACATCGTCCAGCAGCCCGACCACGATTTTGACAGGGAATCCGTTGGCCAACGAGGACGGCGACGCCGTCAAGACGAGCCGACTCGTCGTGTGCATGAGGGCGCCGCAGACGCTCGAGATGGTCAACAAACGGCTCGTTTTGTCGGCTGGGACAGCACATAAGTCAGCGAGATCGATGTGTGCAGCGGTGTTGTGGAGGCTGGGCGAGCGATTCATGCAAACGAGGTGCAAAGTACCTGGGGTGTCCGTCAGGTGAGCTTTCCACGACACTTGGCTCAGTTCGGCCCATTGGGATTGATGGAGCATCCTGGATGCCATCGCCAAGATCATGGCGTCGCATTCCTACCAATCTCGTCATGGAATCATGCACGTGGAGGACGTTGAATGCGAGGAGGGTACCGTGGGGGTGTCCATGAAGGGCGGGTGGTCTTGGTACAGGCGCTGCTGACGGCGAGTTGCGTCAGCCACCACGACTGGCGGGCGCAACGGAATGCCCTTGAAAATCTCTCGTTGGAAAGCTTCGACTTGGTGATTTCGCTCTGGGTCGGCGGCGGTGATGTTCTCCACGTGGCCATGAAGGTACTTGACGTCATCGGCGTTGATGAGGATGCGGCGCAAGGCACAGATCCCAACCGTCATGATCGAATTGAATCGACTGGAACGGGGCTCCGTGGTGGCGGGAATCAACAGCAGCGGCACAAGCACCTACATCCATCGTAAAGCGACCACACGCGCATGCGTTGAGCGCACATGTTGGTATAGAGCGTTGAGGATGCGCAGCTTTCGGACCGCCGCAGCGACGGCGGTCCATTCCATTGCTGGGTTGTCGCTGGGCTGGGATATAAATTGCTTGAAATTGAACTCGAGTTGACTTCGGCATCTGCCGACGCACACACTGAGCCATGGCAAAGGTAGCGACCTCGACTTGCCTCGTGGAGAGCACCGCCGTGGACGGTGTGCCATCAAGTCGCTGGAGGTTGTCCTTCTCGAGCGCTTGGATCAAGTTGGGCCAGTCGCTTTGGGCCCACCAGTGCGCCACAGACTCTTCCAGCGACGACTCTGCTTTGCCGACCACAGATTCGCACGCATGAAGGTACCCCACCAGCATCTACAGCGACGTCACTGTTCCAGGAATTGCAAGGTTGAAATCTACCTTGTCGCCGAGCGGTGCTTGGTTGTCTTGGACTTTCACGAGGGTTTGAAAGCATGCCAGTGCCATGTCGTATTGCTTCTGGTGAAAGTGAAAGATGCCCAAGTCCATGCGAAGGGCGTGGCGTAGCGAGACTGTCGAAGGAGATGGATTTGTCGATGGCGTTGTCGCCAACGACATTTGGATATCTTCCAGAAGCTGCGCCACTGGCACGAGACCAGAGATGGAAGCAAGTTGTTCGACCTCGTCGGGTGGCGGCTTCAAGTTGTCGCTCAAGGGCAGCTTGTTCGACACAGTCAATGCATTCATGAGCATCTTCTTGATCGCAATACGGAGTTGCCACCGATTATGCAGCAGGATCGCATCGTCCATGTGAATATGCGCCACATCGTGGAGATTCAACCCACCTTTCTTGGGATCGCTGGCATACTTGACGAGGCCGTCCAGTAGACCCTTCTGGAGGTTCGTCGGCACCGTAGCTTCAATATCTTCCAGAGTAAACTGGAGCTGGAGGACTACTAGTGCCGCAAGGCATTGCAATGTGTGGTCCCGAGCTTTCGTTGGTTCGTCGGCCCCACTAGGCTTCGCCTTGCGCAGGAGTTCCGTGAGCACGTCGTGCGCCGTGGGAGTCAACGTCGGGTTTGCTTTCAACGCTTGCGTGTGGGCAAGAAGCTTGGCTGGAAGGAATAGAAAGTCGTACCAGTCGTTCTCGGCGTACGCGGGTTGCACCTCGATTGCCGGTTGTTGGAACACTGAGCGATACGTTCGGTCGGCGGCAGGAACTGGGCGAGCGGGGCTGTTGGGAGAAGGTGGAGGCTGGCGGGCGGTGCTTCCACCCAGTCCAAACACTAGTCCTCGCTTGTCGATGATGTCTTGGACATCGTCATCTGACGGTCGCGGCGTCCCTGGGCACTCCATGATGGTGCTGGCCTCTGTGATCAACAGTTCAACACACGGACGTCTATACGGGATATACTTCAAAATTTAAATGAACAATTGTTTATCTTTGACGAAATGAACAATTGTTTATCTTTGACGACTAACACGGACCGTCGCACCAATCGAGAGCGATCCACGAAAATAATTCTAAAACTTCATTTAAGGCATTCAACTGTCAAAGCCTCACCTTAATACATGAAAAATGATTCATTTACATCCAATTCAATCAAGGCGACATTGGGGTGTCGACATTTACGTCACGCATCATGATGGAGATGCGACGGGTGCGCTCAACAGGTTGGTTCTGGAAGACTTGAATGCCTGGAAGAATCTCATGCGTGTACCGGTAGCGTACACCGCCCCTAGGAATGAAAGCCACGCGTCGTGGCATACACTTGTCTATATGGGAGTGTACCGCATGCAGTAGAAGGATCGGCGTGGCAAGAACAGGTCGAGCCGCGAGTCGCCATGCTCCTCTTGAAAGCGCATGACAGCGGGAGAGAGTAAGTTGAGACCAGCTACGACTTGGCCGGAAAACTGTCGCCGAGTGAGCACAGGTGTTCGATTGCTGGCCAACAGTTTAACCTTACCTTGATCGAGTCGACATGAGGTTTGATGTAGCCTTCAGCTGCCAAGTCAATGACGTGGACAGCAGGAAAGTACTCCAGGTCTTGAGGCAAGATTGGCAATTTACGCACGCGCGCAAGAATGTCGGCAGCCTCTGTCGGTCCCATGCAAGCATTTTGGTTACTCAACGCGGACGTATTGCAATACCTTGGCTCCATTTGATCGTCTCCATCTCCTTGAAGTTGATGATCACTTGGTCCCAGTGATTTACCTCGTATCGTCTTCGCCGTAATAGTGCGGCAGCTTCGTCTGCCAGTACTCGCTCCTCATGCTCGGATAAGACATCTTCCATCACTTGGAGATCGTTCCCACACAATGCTTCATCGTGGCACATGGATCGATCGACTAAGTGCGAGTCTTGCCACGAATATGAAGTCGAGAACGCTCTAGCGACGCATGTCTTGATAGCATGGGTGACGCCTCGGCGCCGCATCATCCGCAGCGGCACCATGGACGACCCGGGAAATTGCGGTGTGCACTTCTGTTGCACCGATATGAATCCAAGGTTTTGATTGGCTCATGCAGAGTTCATAAAATAAATCTTCAAGGGAGCATTCTTTTAGTGTATGCGGCTGTACGAAATCCATTTAATTGTCCCTTGAGCGCCATGAAATGCTTGGTTTTCGCATCATGTCAAGTGTCGACGCGGTCATCTACCGCGTGGGCTTGATCCTTCCACTGAAGAAGACTCGGAATGGACGCATGCATGATCTCCTTACAAGCCAAGACAATGGTGTCCACTTCATTCACATCGACCTCAGCACCGTCCCATCTGCCCAAAGCCTCGTCGACACGTATGGACCCCTCGACGCGATCCTGCACAAATTGGCGCACGACATGGTCTTCGAGCCTCTGGGAGATGCTGCGGCCATCAAGAACATGCAGATCATCCGTGACTTTGTCGCTCTCAGCCCCAACGTTCCCTTCATCGATCCGTTGGAAAGCGTGCGGGTGCTCACGGACCGCGTGGCAGTGTGCAAAATGCTCACCTCAGTTCCTGGGTCCCTCTTCCACCTTCCGCGCTACGTTGTCCTCGACTCGACGGCGTCAAAAGACAAAGTGCTGTCCCAAATCCGAAGCGGCATATTTCCATTGCCAGTATTGGCGAAGTCACTGGAGGCCTGTGGTATGTGCCCTCCTCGTCTATCAAGTGCTCATGAGTGAGGTTAGGCACGGATGCGTCGCATGTGATGAAAGTCATCTCGCGCCTGGAAGACATTGAGGCGATCGATGTATCCATGGCCCCCATAATGCTCCAGGTGTGCAATCCACCCACGCACCGCGACGAATCCACCCATTCTGTAGGAATACGTGAACCACGGCGGACGCCTCTTCAAAGGCTACGTGCTGGGCGACGACATCCTAGTGTCAGAGCGAACTTCATTACCAGACTTGAGTGGTTCGATGACGGCAGTCGAGTTCAACACACAGTCGCCGTTTCCCACAACGGCAGACTTCCATGGACCTCTATCGTCCAGCTCAAGTGGGACGGCTGCACCATTGAACGATCCGGCGACACTGTGGACGGAGGCGCTCGACAAGAGCGTTCAAGCCATCGGCCGAGCGATCCAGGCGACAACCAACTTGTCGTTGTTTGGTTTCGATGTGATCATGGCGTCCAACACGAACGAGCTGATGGTCGTCGATGTCAACTATTTTCCATCGTTCAAGGAGATGCTCAACTTTGGCTCCGTCCTGCGCGCCCATGTGCGAAAAGTTGTCAAAAGTCGGGAGAAGTAAAATGTACCCTTTGGGATGGCTCTTCACTCTCGTGCATGAAAGAGTCGTCGGGTTCAACGACGAGGGTGGGGTATGTAGAGGTGTTTTTGCATTAAGCCGTTTACAATTGGCCGCAGTTGGCAATCACGACAGGCTTCTTGGTTTGGCCAGACTGCGAGCCGAACGATTCGATCTTAGACACAACATCCATACCTTGGGTGACACGGCCGAACACGACGTGCTTGCCGTCCAACCAGGGGGTGGCGACGGTGCAGATGAAGAATTGCGAGCCGTTCGTGTTGGGGCCGGCGTTCGCCATCGACAAAACACCAGGGACGTCGTGGATGCCGCTGAAGTTTTCGTCAGCAAACTTGTCGCCGTAAATCGATTCACCGCCCGTGCCGTTGCCGCGAGTGAAATCACCGCCTTGGCACATAAAGTTGGGGATGACTCGGTGGAACGACGAGCCCTTGAAATGCAAAGGCTTGCCCGAGCGGCCGACACCCTTTTCACCGGTGCACAACGCACGGAAGTTTTCGGCCGTGAGGGGGACCTTGTCGGCGTACAATTCCATCACGATGCGGCCGACAGCTTCGCCGCCAATGGTCATGTCGAAGAAAACGGACGGGTTGGGCATGTTGCGTTGTCGATGGGAAATTCCAAAATGAATCTTTCCCCGCCACACACTGATGGAGAAAATCCCCTTCCCCTGCATTTTTATTCTGGATTTATTGACATCACTTGGTTACAGTATATCCGTTGAGTGGACGAAAAAAATACTGTGGTGGATTCGACTCCTCTAAGTGCGCCGCAGTTGTCGAGGCGAATCCTTGACGCCTACCGGATACTACGTTCCATATCCGTATAACGGGTAATTCAAAATCTTCAACGTCGACAGAGGACGATCGCTTGCTTCATCATGAGATTCGCAGATGGCGTCGGTGCGGCGTAGGAGGATGCACAGCCAAAGCAAGTAGCTACGCGAATCGACCACTGCTGTATGTGTACATGACGCATACGGGTGCGTCATCCTCAACAGTGTCGTGTAACCCAGGTTCAGTGTTGCAATTAGCCTTGCAGGTCGAAGAGTCCATCACCCCTCGGATCTGTGCATTCGTCGAGCATTACAGGTATCCGTTGCTGCTCACAAATAAGCCATGATCCATGCCGTGTTCATGAGAAAGGTCTTGTGTTGGTGCATTTGTCAGGCTAGAGTGATTGTTCTCTCTCGAATCACTTTGGGAGTAACGCGGTGCGATCGTCGACGACTTCGTTGCCTACGACCTTGGGACCATCTTCTTGTGACACATCCGACGCCCACACTTGAAACACAATGCCACCGAGGCCAAGGATGACGGATGCGATCGAGAACACGAGGTCCCAATTCCCGCTCGCTTGGAGAATGTAACCCGTCACAATATTGCCAAAGATGCCCGGAATCGTCCCGATCGTGTTGCTCACAGCCATCAACTAGAGAAGATATGAGCATTGTATGGACGAGGTGCATTCGATCGTGGCGTACATGGCCGGCATGGCGCGGTGCTACGTCGAGCATGTTGATCCAGAAGCCTGCGGTCGCGCCCCGGGACAGGAACAGCGTGAGTGAGAGCAGAGCAACGGCCGCCATGCTCGACGACGAAAAGCGAAGGAGGTAGAGTGTGATGCCCGACCCGATGAGTCCAAATCCGTTCATGAGTTTGCGCACAGTGAGGACGCGGACGCCTTTGCCAATCATCCAATCCGATAGATAGCCCCAAAAGAGCACGCCGAGGTACCCACAAAAGTAGGGCAGGGCCGCGGCCACTCCCGACGAGGCCATTTGTAAATGCAGCTGGAGGCGCAAGTACTGTGGAATCCAGCCCAGGAGGACATACCTACGACAGAACTAGGTCAGAGCACTCGATAGGAAGCGCGTCACAGTCGACCAACAACTGGATCAGGCACACGTAGGTCGCACTGTCATTTCGCAAGAAAACGAATGGCTCGGCCTTGCAGTGCCGTCGATGGGTCATACAAAGTCTGCATATCACCACCCCCATTCAAGTGCTCAAATTGTCGCCAAGCGCTGGGCATGATGAGGAAAACAGGAAAACGGTTGTCTATCCAAGGCAGAAAGTTGCCAAAGCACACTGTCATGTTGCTCCCGCGCAGCACCTGCACTGCCCACATCAGGTCAAAGCCCACGTCGCCGGCAATAAGACACATGCACAAGGTCACGACCACTCCACGACAACATTTCAGCGACGTACCATCCGTAGTTGTAGGCGAAATGAGTTATGTAGATAGCAAGCACGGGTGGGGCGTAGAAGTGCATGGTCGAGTCGTCATCGTCGGGGGCGCCTCGTCTTGCAACGATCAATGCGCGCTCTTCCACCGACGTAAACTTGTCTGTTTCGGGTGCGTCGGCGCCGCGGACGTAAAACACCACGACCCACACCGTCGACAGCGCGCCGAACGCTATAAAGATGGCGGGGTATCCGAACTGCGACATCAACCACGGCGAAAGCGACATAGCTACAACAGTCCCGAGATCCATGCCGCTACTGACGTTCGCTGTAAGGCGGCTGCGCTCGGGCAGCGGATACCACGCCAGAGCAATCCCATGCATGCACGGGAAGATGATGCCTTCTCCAAGACCCATCCCGACGCGGGCGATCCAGAGCAACGTCGATGACTGAGCAAACGGCACTGTGAGCAGGTCGAAGAACGTCCAAGTGACGACGCCAGCAAGAAGCACGATCTTGGGCCCATACAGCTCTGCCGCATGCGCTCCAAGAGTCTGGGTCGCAATGTACCCGTAGAAGAACGCCGACAGAATATGGCCTTGGACTCCGTGATCGGGTTGAAACGACGGGATCGCCACGCCGATGTTTGTGCCTATGCAGCGTCGATGTCATTCCGCGCAACTTCTTGAAATCGAACGTACGGTCGGCGTAGCAAAGGATGGTTCCTAGCGCACACAGCGCCGAGATCTCATATCGACGGATGCCGCCGACAACGCCAGTCGCTGCCATCACGATGACCCACGGTATCTCCGGATAATGCCTTGTCACATCTATCCGGACCTCACCCACTCGGCACTTACAGTAGTGATGAGTTTGTTGAGATTGCGACGTTAGCGCACCGAAGGTCCCACGTGGAGGACCTGGGAAGCTTCACCCGGCAAGGAGGAGTCTCCACTTTGGGCGCATACAGCCCACTGGCGTGAATATAGGCTGCAACCACTCCTGCATGTGGAATCAGTCCCAAATACGCGGCTGTTCCAAGTCCACGTCGCTGTGGATATCTCGGCATGGCAACATAGCTTGGCAAGTGAGTAGGCTCGTGCTGCAAACCATAAACGCCGGATTGTGTACAATCAACGACGTCATGAACCAATTGCAGGTTCAGGGGAAGTGAGGTCGTCGCCGCTACTGCACCGCAATAGTTCCGAGACTTGGAAGAAAATGTTACCGAGGACAAGGGCTCCACTGACTCCGTCCAGACCACAACGCAGAGTAAAGGAATCGTGTGCATGGACTAAAAGGAGCAGGTGCCCCATTGTCGGTGCGTCGTCCACTCGACCAGAGCATCGTCGCCCGCGAGCATTGGTTGGCGTGTCTTCGCCCGGCTTCCATGGAAATTTGTGTGGTCGGGATGCGGATGGCGACGTTGCCGACGTCGCGATTTGATTGGGTGCCGGCGGCCTTGGAGGCATCGGATTGGGTAGAAATCAGCGCATTCCCTAGCCGCACTTTTTGAGCCAATCAAATGCATTCAAATTTGTGCTCGTGGCGATTTGATTGGCTGACGCATTGACTTTGCGTCTTTTATACTCGGTCGAATCTCCAGGGCGCGTTCGAGCGGGCATTTCTCAATTTGCCGAGTCGACCGCACAATCGAGGTAATGTGCGTAGATGACGCTGTTGCGGTAGATGGCGACACAACCAGCGAGGGGTGCCTCCAGCGTATGAGCTGCTCCCATGTTCATCATGCTGGTCGCTGAGATTATACCCTTAATTACCTGATCCGGGTCATACCGGCGGAGGGACTGCTGTAGTTCATGCTTTGCATTTTTCTCCTATTGTAGCACCATGCAAGCTATCCGCTCTGCGATCACCAAGCGTGCCCTCTCCACTGTTGGACCCCACGCTCCTCGCATCCAACGTTCTGGCAACGCCAACTTGCCTGATGCTGCGTGGCGCGCTGCCAACGCCGCCCGCACCTCTCCGTTTGACGGATACACTTTCGCGTATGTCACCGACGATTGAAAAGCTGGTTGATCTCACGACGTTGTTTAGCCCTGTGAAGGAAGCCGAAGTCTCGCGTGAAATGACCACTCGGTACATGAAGGACATGTACGACTTTGCCGATTCGGACGTGATCATTGCCGGTGCCGGTTCCGCTGGTCTGTGCGCTGCGTATGAATTGTCGAAGCACCCCAACATCCGTGTCGCGATCATTGAACAAAGCGTGGCCCCCGGTGGTGGCGCGTGGTTGGGCGGTCAGCTGTTCTCTTCCATGATTGTCCGCAAGCCTGCGCATCACTTCTTGGACGAATTGGAAATCCCCTACGACACCAAGGGCGACCACGTCGTGATCAAGCATGCTGCTTTGTTCACGTCTACCGTCATGAGCAAGGTTTTGAAGGCAAGCAACATCAAGCTCTTCAACGCGACCGCCATTGAAGACTTGATTATCAAGAAGGGCCGTGTTGGTGGTGTCGTAACCAACTGGACTTTGGTCACCCTGAACCACGGCACCCAATCGTGCATGGACCCGAACGTGATGGAAAGCAAAGTGCTCATCTCTGCATGTGGTCACGACGGTCCCATGGGTGCCTCGGGTGTGAAGCGCCTTCAAAACATCGGGATGGTCGATCACATCCCTGGTATGGGGTGCTTGGACATGGCTGCTGCCGAAGACGCGATCGTGAAGGGTACCCAAGAAATCGTGCCTGGCATGATTGTGGCCGGGATGGAAGTGGCCGAACTGGAAGGTGCCCCCCGCATGGGCCCTACCTTCGGCGGTATGATGATCTCTGGCCAAAAGGCCGCCCACTTGGCGTTGGAATCGCTCGGCATCAAGAGCCACCTCGACCCTAACATGTCGTTCGAAATGAACCCGTTGCGCAAGGCCGCGTAAACGCGCGCTGTCGACGATGAATCCCCGACGTCTGTAGTAGTGACCCAAGATAATGTACATTTTCGATATCTCGTGGAGTTGTGCGCGACGATGCTCATGAGAGCTGTGGATCAAGGTGAGCACCATGCCGCCGGATTCAACACTAGCAAACCCGACATGAGGGCTGTCAACAGCGCGGACGCCCTCGGACCACTGGCGGAAGTGGAGAGCTTCCGCGGATCCCTCCAACTCGATGGATCGCGCATCTTTACCCTGACCGTGGACAGCTCTCTATCTGATGGGGTGGCTGCTGCCTGCAAGCTCTGTATCCACGCGTGCCAGATCGCGCGCCGTCGTAGTCCGACAGATTCGTGCAGCAACATCCCTAGCACGATGCACAGGCACTGGCGTCGAGAGTGCGGGGACGGCGACATTTGTGTTTGGTTCGAATGCAAGGAGCGCGACGTCATCGGGTCAAGAATGATGGGATTTTTGTCATGAGGACTCGACGGGGGGACGGCTGCGTTGTCCCTCGAGTCGTCGGCTTCCTACACATGCATGAGCATGCGGCGCGGGTCGCTGACCAAGTCGGCGACAGTCTTGAGGAATGTCACGCCCTCCCGGCCGTCGATCAAGCGGTGATCGTACGACAAGGACAGGTACATCATCGGGCGCGAGACGACTTTCCCGTCGTGGTACACGGGGCGGTTCTGGATGCCATGGAGGCTCAAGATAGCCGCATGCGGCGACAGGAGCATGTTGGTGCTCAACAGCGATCCCTGCAATGCCATCAACAAAGACATCGACGTCGCCGATGGATACCTGGACGTGACCGTTTGTGATGGCAAAGGTGCCCCCCGCAAGGTCTTCCAGGGCAAGGGAGCCATCTTGAGCCTGCCAGAGACACTCGTGAGTGGATGCAAGTGGCCAACGGCTACCTGCGCGCCCAATGTAGCTAGCGACCGCTCGATGTCGACGAGCGAAATGGACTCGCAATTGCGTACGACGGGAGAGATCAACCTGAGAGGTATCAGTCAGGTCGGTCGGCAAGGGAGAAGTCGGAACGCCGCCGTCGACGCCACCACCATGACTGCGGAGACGTACCCTTTCTCGGTGGCAACCACAACGTTGATGTCAGCGTAGTCGTGGTACACAATGTCTTTGTTGTCCATGTCGATGGCTACGTAGTGCGCGCGAGGTAAGCGCGAGGAATCGAGTGGGTTCATGCGGCAAGACGCGTACCCGCATTGACGGCAGGCACGGCCTGGAGGGCCAATGCACTCGCCTTGACAAAGGCCGAGAGGAACCCGAGCTTCACTTTGTGCGTTTTCTCAAAGGCAGGGCCGAGGTCCTTTTGCATTGCCAACAACGCGCTCACGTCGCACTGCACGATCGAGATGAGCAACGTGGAAAGGAAAAGAGCGTTGGCGACGTCTAGCACATCGCAGGTCGAACATACTTCTTGGAAGGTGGACAGAAGCGCAGCCGTGTTCTGGGTGTCCTTCAACCGCTGGTTGGCGCGGAGCTGCAATGGACTGAGCTTGACCTGCCGAGAAGGAGTCATGTACGTGCTCATGGAATAGCCCATATACGTACGCGGGTTTCAGTGCGGTTGTATTTGCCCGTCGCGGCGGCATCCGAAGTCGACGAAGCAGCGGCCATTGGTGTCGGGGCAGCAGGTGCGGGCGGTGCAGCGACCGCCTTGGGTTGCTCCACTTTTGGTGCCTCCATCGGTGTCGACGCGGCAGGTGCGGCGGGAGTGGCGGCGGGTTTGGTTACCACTGGTGCTGTTGCACGAAAGCGTAAGAGGATGTCGAGTAGAGTGGGAGGGTACCAGGAGCATTCGTGTCGAGAGTGTACAGCGGGGCGCCGACAACGACAGTGTCTTCAAGAGCAGCCAAGAAGCTCTTGATCACACCACCTTGAGGCGCATTCACATCCACGCTCACCTGCAATGGGTACAACAGCCCATGAAGCGGTGAACGACGTTATGACCACCACAAGACAGCAGCACCTTGTCTGTTTCCAAGACTACGACCGGTTCGTCGACGTGGACGTAGTCACCAATGTCTACGTGCGCCACATCGCATGACAAAGTTCACGACCAAGGCGGCAGAACGGCAACGACAAACGTACTCTTGGCGATGGACACGACCGTGCCTTCCGAGATCGAATCGCCCATCGACGGCACCTTCACGACGAGATGGTCCACAGACGAGAACATGCGGGGCATTCCATGTCGGCTAAAGTGGTGCTTGGACAGGTGGGCCTTGCGCACTGCGGCGCGGAGGATGGTGAGATGGCTCATGCTGTTCACCGATTCTTGGGTGCACTTCACAGTCATTCGTGGCGAGTGACATCCGGATATTTTATGCGGATGACCCAAACTCCGATCCCGGATAGCGTTATCCGGGAAATTCTCCGGATAATCGTTCCAACGCTGCGAACGTTCGACGACATAAGGGGAGTTTTGAGTTTGCCGTGGGGCGATGGCGGCGGCGATGGAGGACTACTCGCTCATGTGGGCTCCTTCCACCGTCGACCAGCTTCGTGACAACCTCATGCGTCTAGAGCAGAGGTGGAAGGCGATGCGCCAACGGCAAACCAAGAATCGCCCTGTGAGTGTGTCGCCAGCAATGCGCCCGCCGTCCCCGCTCCATCGCTCATACTCCGAAGTTCACGTTGACTCAAATGCCTACGCAACTCCCCCATCCAGCAAAACACTCACCACGCGGTCGTCGTCTCCGGACCTCATCGCACCGTCGTCCGCGTCGGATGATCATCCGCCGTCTTCGTACTCGACGCCTTACAAATCCCGAGGAAGTTACGATCCGTACGACTCCCCCGTGAGCGTGTCCAGCTCGAGCTACCGTCCAATGTCGGGCACGTCGCGTCTCCCCATGGCACCTGCCCGTCGAGTTGCAGCCTTGACGCGTGAAAACGTGTCACGGCTCGCGCAGTACCCCCATCATCCTATCGATCTCGGCGGCGATGGGGGGTCCGTGTGCAGTTCGATGTCTGGTCGAAGTCGCATGTCTGTCAAAACAGACGGCGGCGCGGTTTTCTCCCGCCTTTACCAGCCGAACCACCTTCAAGCACGCGACTTGCGTATGGCCATGCATAAGGAGCGCCAGCAGCACGCCACATGCCCATTCATGCCCACGACGAACGTATATCGGAACCGCACGCCGTCGGTCGCGTCCCGCGATTCGTTTTGCAGTGGGAGTAGCTGCACCAGCGCCCGAACGGACATCACGCAGGGGCTGTCCGCGTCCAGCCGCCTGTACGACCCAGACTACATTCGAAAGCGCCACGCCAAGCTGGAGAAGTTGCGGCAGGAACGAGAGCTGCGCGAGTGTACGTTTACCCCAGCGGTCAACAAAAATGCAAACGAGCGGCTGCTGAATCAACGCGACAGCCCGTCGGGGACCGGGAGGACCTCCCCGGCAGCGTCCTCTACACCACGCGGTGGCAGTTCCCGCCGACTAAAATGATTTATACCTTTTTACGTTCTCTTCTGCATCCTTCGACGACCGTTGAGTCGCACGCGTTCATGGCACGCGAGTCGACGAGGTTGCGTCAGGTGCGCGTGCGCTTGGTTCGAGTGCCTGCACAACAAATGCACGCAGAGTTAGTGCTGTCGAGGTGGAATTGGATGCTTGCGGTCCGGGTCGCTTGGTTGGAGGGCATGCGATAGAGCATCTGTCCGCTAGGGCTATGGACTATGGCCACGCCTGGCTCGGATCTGTCGCACAAGCAGCGCTCCCCAAAGCTCTGCCTGTGCGCTGCACTTCAAAGAAGTCACACCTTCAGGGAGATGTAGGTCGAATAGAGCCTCGGGGCGTCTGGTTGAGTCGGTCGTTGTGCAAACTGTGCGATGGACTTCAGTCGTCGGGCCAGTGCTCTCCAACGACGCGCCGCGGCACGCCCCATGGAACAGGGTGAAGCGACGCCACGAGTCAGTTTGCTCAAGGCATGGGAACTAACGCCACCATGCTTTTGCCGACGTTGGTCTCGAAGCTGTGGCGACTTGCGATCAGTCAGCAGACGAGAAGCATGTGCTCCTGAGCGTGAATGGTTGTGCTTCCCTCCAAGTCGCATGGTGACGACATACACTCCTACGGTTCGTACATGCGACAAGGTGCTTGTACGAACCTCAGCATCCGGCTCTCTGAACACCGCGCCGAAGAAGAGGTGGGAAGGGGCATGCCTGCGACGTGAACGCGCTAAGGCAGACGTAGACGGCACGATTGCCGACGACCTCTCACAAGAACGGTCTTTAGGTCCCCGGATATGTGGGCATTCCCGACTTCAAGTCGTCGCAGTACCCCGTCTCGGCTGCACAAATTTCGCTAGGATTAGCACATAATGGGCCACGATCATGTGGACGGAATTAAAAGTACTGCTTGGAGTCGCCGAGCATTCCATGTGCCGAGGTCGTGTGCGTGAAATCCTGTCGCACAGTGCTCTTGCAAGGTCGATCGACATAAAGCCCTAGCTTCATGCTGGATTGTACAATTCGAGGTCTTTGGCATGCTCGCGCACGGACACTACCCTCGGGAGCAGATGCGCACGATGAGTCACGCGACGAGGGGGGCTCCGCCAACAGCAGTACTTTTTTGTGGACACAAAGCAACTCACTTCGACTTTGTGCGCCCCTGGGGGAGAGCTGCACAGAGATGGAGGCGCGAAAGGGAGAGGGTGTCTCGAAGCCGGCCTCTGTTTGTCACTCCCACTTGGCGTCGTCGACGTCCCTTCTGATGGGACTGACGGCGCTCTCGTCCGATGAAATGGACTGCTGTCGACCTTTGACGACAAGCTCGGCCGTGGCTGGTCCTTGTAGCTGTCCGCGTTGTCCAGACTAGCGATGTCCTCTCGGGATGTTAGCACAATCCAGTCGACTTCGAACGCGCTGTCCCACGGCACTTGAAAAGCGATCTTTGTGGGCACGTCAGCACGCCACGTATCTGGTACGCCGGGGGTACCTGCTAAATGATACCTCTCGACCCTGCCATCCCCCTGAGGGCGTGGTTGGATGAAAATGCCGTGGCTGGTGCCACGAGACAGGAACATGACATTACAGTGAACCCCTGCTACCACGATCGATTGGGCAGATGGAAACGTCGGTGGCCTCTGTGGCACTACTTTTGGCAGTGTCGCTTGGGTAAATGGATGGTACAAGCACAGCCGTGGAGGTTGGCCATTCTGGTGATGGCGTCACATCGTGGCGGCCGGGGGGAGTGGCGATCGCAGCGATGCACTTGAAATAGGGGGCAGGGTGGGGGCTCCTTTTACACTTCCATTGGCTCGTCAGGATGTGTCGAGTCCGTCGACATGCAATTATGGACCTTTACGTGGGGGGTGAGAACCTCCTCCTCTTTGCAAGAAGGTCGAACTGTGTCCTGCAAGATGGGGGGCTCGTGGGGCGGCGGGGGCGGGCGTGCTCCCACCCATGTTCCTTCTTCAGAATATGGTCATGTGCTGTACCAATGTGAAGGTGTCGCTCTTCGTCAAACTACAAATCGGGGGATTATCACGGCGATTTCAACTTTTTCCCATGTTTATCGGTTTGTACTACTAGTAACAAATGAATACAGTAAATATGTACTACTAGAGTTTTGTACTACTAGTAGGGACTTCAACAAGTAAGAGGAAGTAGTAGTTACTAACTAGTTTCATGGTGTACTACTGTACTAGTAGTACTGTAGTGCACTACCGCTCCTTTCGTAGTACTTCGTACCTTGCGAGGTAGTAGTTCTTCGAAGTTCAAGACCATAGTATTACTAGATCGTTCATTTGACCTGTGGAATTCTCCATTTCGCAGGTTGAACCTACCGATGACGAAGGGCAAACCATTCAGCGGCAAGCTCAAGAAGCAGCAGGTGAGCCCATCGCGTGGACGTGTACTTGAGATCTCACGGCAACGTGTACATGCTTGCTGTAGCTCCAAGCAAAGCGTGAGAAGAAAGCACAGAAGGAGAAGCACGCGGCTGCCAAGTACGACGCCGAGCGGGACGAGCTTGTCGGCCTTGCTTCGTCGGCGCCACCAATGTCACCTATGGACTCCCCTCCAATGGAGTATGTATCCGTTGATGTGGGGTATTCGGGGGACTTGCGAACCATCTTTGCAAAAGAGTCACAGGCAGCGATCGACGCGCGGAAGAAGGACGCTACCAGACCGTTGGTGATGGCCCCCGACCGCGGCAATTCGCAATCAATCTACGCATATGGTCTCACCGACGTGCGCAATCAACCACCGATTCCGATCCGACCCCACTGGACGAAGCATATGAGCCCGGACGAGCTCGCGATGTCCGAGGAGGACGCTTTCCGCGCGTGGTTGGTCGAGTTGCACGAGACTTGCGTGGCCCGGCGTCAGGGAGCCAGGGCCGACGCTGCCATAAACTCATACGAGCGCAACTTGCAAGTGTGGCGGCAGTTGTGGCGCGTGATCGAGAAGTCAAACGTGCTCGTGCACCTCGCCGACTGCCGATGCCCCCTTCTCCACCTGAGCCACCGATTGATTCGCCACATCCAGCAAGACCATCCAGGAAAGCGTGTGCTCATCCTTCTAACCAAATGCGATTTTGTTGCGCCTGAACGTGTCGACGCGTGGGTCCAGTACATCCAGCATCGGTACAACGTGCCCGTGCTTCCGTACAACCGGGACCGCGTGCACGAGAGCAACGCCGCCTTGCTCCAGGCCATTGGCAAGCTCAGCGAAGGCACGAGCTTCGCGCAGAGCCACCGCGACGGCGAAGAAAACAGTCGCACGCTCATGGTCGGCTTGGTAAGGGTCTTTCGGACTGCCTCTCGATGGATGATTGCGTGCTTGTGTCGTGGGAGTGCGGGAGATTGTTTGAGTCGTCGACATGCGCTTCGGGATGTGGTGGAAGGTGTGGAGACGAATTATTGCGTTCAAGTTGACGAAGAGTATGCATGGACCTTGCTTGCTCGAGTGTTGGACTGTCTGGCGGCCGACGACATGGACGGCGGCAGCGCCTTCCTGCTAGTGCTTGATCATGCCGACTCATGTGTGGTGCGCAGGTGGGCGAGCCGAACGTGGGCAAGAGCTCGTTTTTGAACAGCCTGTTTCTGAAAAAGTTGGTGTCCGTGTCGGCCACTCCTGGCCACACCAAGCACTTTCAAACCCACTTTTACGACAACCCGGCGCTCGTCGGACGCGAAGACGTCGACAAAGTGTGCTTGTGCGACTGCCCGGGCGTTGTCTTTCCTCGGTTTGGCATCCCATTGGCGTTGCAGGTACCATGGCGATGACGGGGACAGTGTGTGTGAATGCTGCGTAGATCTTGTTTGGGAGCTACCCGATCGCGCAGACGAGGGAGCCGTACTCGGCGGTGCGCTTCGTCGCCGAGAATGCCTCGCCATCCCTCCAGCACGTGTACAAGTTGCGCAAGGTGGACGACGACGATGGTAAGCCTTGCGCTCGATCTGGTCGAAGTGACGAAAAGGACACAGAATGGTCGCCGTTCACCGTGGCGGAAGCGTATGCGGCCCAACGAGGGTTCCACTCAAAAGGCGGGAAGCTCGACGTGTTTCGCGCCGCCAACTTGCTGCTACGTCACACGTTGAACGGAGAGAAAGTGGTCCTGACCTTCCCGCCGCCGCCGATCGAGGCCCCGACGATGGCGGTCGAGGCCGACAACGAAAGCAGAGACGGCATGCCGCTGACGACGAACCAAGTCACGGCGCTGTTTGGAGACATGGGAATGACTGAACGACATGCGCTGGATGGCGTGAAATGTAGTGAGGACAGCTAGTGCGGATGTTGGCATGACGGAAGGGTCGGCATTGTGGTGCATTTCGCGCACGAGAAGGCGTGGAACTGCAAAGAATCAACATGACGTTGGATCGACATGGAGCACTCCACTTCATTGTCGTGTTTGCTAGAGATGAAGGCATGATGGCCTCAATGGAACAGACCGTGCTCCGCTGGGCATGCATGCTTCCATGGATGTGGATCCAGGACGAGACGGCAGTGCAACAACGCAGGGCACCATCGTTACCGGGGATTGGACTGGGCGTGACTCCATGTCCACGAAGGAAGAGGAGCAAAGGATGCAAAGGACCATTCGCGTATGCACCTCGCGACACGTGATGTTGCGACTCTTGACATGGTGACCGCCACGAGAAGCACAGCAATGCAGTCTCTACATGCTCAGCGATACGCAGCGCTACCGAGAGGGGTATTGGCCGAGCTTGATGGCTTCAACCAGCGAGGCCATCGATGACCTACGACGGCGAGGGTGGATCGCATGCGTCACTGCCCATGTCAAGCCCAGAGACCAGCGCCACGTTGGCATCGCTGGTGTCTACAAACGTCATGGCAATGCTGGAATCCAGATTGAGATGGTCGGGATGGCCTGGTACTGCTCACACGCGTGGGAAGCGGGCGTCGCGTTTCCAAGAATTGGATGAAGATACCGGTGAAATATCGTGTTACTATTGGCTAAAATTTCGATCAATTCAATCATTTTATCCAATCGATTGAGTTTATTCACGTTGTCATTCCACGGAGGAGTGGTGGAAAATGGCCCAATCACGCCCCCTTCCCGCGTTCATTTGGGGAAGATGGCGGAAGAAGGTCCGGGTGCTGGCGACGCCGCCGCCGTTGGGGGTGCTATGCATGGCCGAGTCACAGGACTCATCGTCCCGCCGCCAGAGATCCGTGCGGTGGTGGACAAGACAGCACAATTCGTGGCAAGGAACGGCCGAAGTTTCGAGCGGAAGATCGCAGGGGAGGTCGCGTCGGCCAAGTTTAGCTTCTTGCGCGCGTCTGACCCGTACAATGCGTACTACGAGCACAAAGTGTCGGAGTTTGAAGCCCAGGCTGCAGAGACAGCGGCTCCTGCCAAAGACACCGCTGCAGCAGAAGGTTCGTCCAAAGGCGCGGACGACCGGACGGATGAAACTACCGCGGACGGCGCTGCGTCCGCCGCGGACACGGCACCGACCGCGATCGAAGAAAGCGTGGTTGCAAAGAAGCCTGTCGAGGCTGTGGTAAGTAAGAGCTTGAAGAATCTCAAGGAGAAGAACACAAACTTGGACGCGCCACCACCCGAGGAGCAGTTCAAGCAAAAGCATCCGACGCTGACGCCGCTCGATCAAGAGATCATGTACATGACCGCGCAGTACACGGCGGTGAGTGGCAAGCCGTTTTTGTCTGGATTGGCGACGCGGGAGCAGCGCAACCCTCAGTTTGACTTTCTCAAACCGACCCACCCCCTCTTTGCGTACTTCACGTTTCTCGTCGAGAGCTATGCCAAAGTCCTGACGGCGAAAGCGCTGTACGCAAAGAACAAGGCTGCTACCGAGGCGGGACACGAACCCGTTGCGAATCCACTCATCGAAGCGCTGGAAGCCGGTGTGAACCGCATGCACGTGCTCGATCGCTGCGTCCACAAACACGAGTGGTTGCGGCGCGAGGAAGAAGCCAAGCGCCGCGAAGCCATGGAGACCGACGTCGAGAAGCTCGCGTACCTCCAAATTGACTGGCACGACTTTGTCGTGGTCGAAACGATCACGTTTGACAACGATGACGCCACGGGCGCCGACGCCGCGCTGCCGTACCTCGAGACCGATTCCCAACCAGCGGCGGCAAATGGCGGCGGCGGCGGCGACGACATGGACATGGATATGGACATGGAGGAGGAAGAGCGACCGGCCGAGCTCAAGGTCGTCGATGACTACGTTCCCCGCGGCGCCGCGACCACCGCCCCCGCCGTCCACATCACGTCTGTGGACGGGCAAACGATCCACTCGGAACAAGCGAACGAACACATGCGGATTTTGCTGCAAGCGCCCAAGTACCGCGAAGAAAAGGCCCGGCACTTGCAAAAGGTGCAGGACACCCCGTTTGCACCCGGGGCAGCCATCGCTGACAACTTCAAGCGGTTTGCCACGAAGCGATCGGATATTTTTACGTCGTCTGCGGACGACGAAGCGCGGCTCGTTCAGGCAACGACGCAGAACCAACCGGCGGCCGGGCCGACCCCCCACGACGAAGAAGACGACGATGCCGCGGACCAGTACCTGCCTGTTCAAACCCAAGCCCGCGGCCCCCCGCCGGCCGCGTACCACATTCCACCGACGCAGAGACCGCCGCCGCCGCCGCCGATGCAAGCGGTTGCTGGCTCGGGGTTTCCTCCCCCGCCTCCAGCACAGCCTCTGCCCAGTGTTCAGCAGGGCGCGGTCGTCCAAGCCCCCCCGAGGGCCCATCATCCGCTACTACCTCCACATTTGGGCGTGCCGATTCCTGCGGGCATGGTGCCAGGCATGACGATGCCGCTTGTGAGTGGGATGGTGATTCCACTGGCACCGGCGGTGGTGCCGCCGCCAGTGGCACTAGTGGCCCCGCCTGCGACGGAGGGCGTGGGCGCCGATGGCACGACGGGCGATGCGCAGCCCCCCGTGAAGCGACAGCGCGTCGACGGTGTCATCCTCCTCCCCGAAGACGAATGGGCTGCCCAACGACCGGTACGCATGCGCATGACATTGTGGGCTAAATGGATGGCTGCAACAGGGCCAAGTCCGGCTATTGGTGACGGTCCCATACGAACCTGAAAACACCCAGTGGAAGCTGTCGGGGCAGACGCTGACGATTCAAGTCGACATCAAAGCGCCGATCCGAGATGTCAAAGCCGTCATCCAGGACGAGACTGGCATGCCGATCGCCAAGCAGCAGGTCAAAGCCCCCGTCGTGGGCTTCCTCAAGGACTCGCTCACGTGCGCGCATTACAATTTTGACAACGATGTCGTGATGGAGCTGAGTGCGCGCCAACGCGGCGGTCGCCGTTGACCACGCGCGGTCCAACAAGAGGCGTGGCGGAATCGCATAATATACAGTCATCACACCGCTCTCCTCTGCGTCAACTCGCGCTCGATCGGTGGGGGCAGTGGTGCCAGATCATCGACGCTGTGCAAAGTCTCGCGAGAATGGGGACGCCAGCCACTACTCGATGGTACGACTGCCCCCCCCGTCGACAATCGCTTGAGACTTTGTCTTGGGCATGAAAGTGTGCGTGCATGGAAGTCGTCGTCCGGTGATCAATCCCTGGTGTAGAGGACACCAGCGCGGGCTCTTACGCGAGGTGGGTTGGTCATCGTGAAGCCTGGCACTGGCTGTGACGCAATCATGACGCGCGGCGCGCCCGCTCAATCCGTAGGGACCGCTTGCCCTTTGGCTGTCGAAACAGTGGATGGTTCGGATGCATGCTAACTCGAGGAGCTCTCTTCTCGATGTGCCCGGTGTGGGTACGGCACACATGCGACAACGACGACGTTCTCGCGGGTCGCATGGAGTTTCAAGCATGTGGAGAGGTGTGTGAGGGTCTCGACGCGGTCACGGTGGGGGCATGGCGCAGGGGGATGCAAGTCGCGGCGTCCTGCTGGGAGCAGTAGGCCACCAGACCATCCGAGCGTCGTTCAGGAAGTCGCCAGGCCATGCTGCAGACAGTACTCTCGCTCTCTTTGGTGTCGTTGTGACTTGGGGTTTCGAGCGCTGCTCGTGCCACGGTAGGGAGCTGTGGACAAAAAGGTGCAAGTGCATGTTGTGGTTGTTAGGAGCTGAAAAGCCATCAAGTCGTTCGTCCATGGCAGCGACCGTCGTCGTCGTCACTCGAACGAGTGGATGGTGTGGAGGGCCTTGATTGCTTTGGCCAGGTCCGCCAAAACGCGAGACTGCGCGGACACGTCCTTGTCGGATGTCGACGCTTCCAACGCCGCCGTCGCGGCCGCCAGTTTCTATCGACAGCGATAAGATCGTGCAGCAGACACCGATTCATTACTCGATACAACACGTCAAGCGCCAACGACGTGGTCGAGTCAGCCGTCCAGTCGACGGAACTTGGCGGGACGACCTGCTGCGAACTCGCTACTGCCACACGACGTTACGTTGTCGGTCATGGCGACCGCCCTCCCACGTCCATCCACATGGGGAGCTCGGGAAGGCGGGGTCGGGACGAAATAGGTACCAGGGGCGGCGGGAGCGTGTGCTGGCAAACATGGAGGCTCGAACGAGCGCGCGACGCTTTCGGGCGCTGCTGGGACCACCTGCTCGGTTGCTTGGTCTTCAGCGATGGCGTAGCGGTCGCACGTAACACAAAAGAGCTGTATTGGCCGACGTCAGGACGCTCGAGACGTAGGAAATTATCACCACACCTGTCCAGTTTCGCGGTGGCGTACGAAAGGAGTGCCGCAATCCGAGATGGGGCACACGGAGCCCATGAGGGTCCAGCCCTACAGCGTAGGACGCTATGGCCAGTCGAGCGGTGGAAAACTCTACCTGCAGCATCTTCTCTCCAAGTTTACTGCTAGTAGCGTCACGGCGCTTCTTGCGCGCGGCGTACGCGGTGGCTTCGTCGTCTTGGGGTGTTTGGTTGGCTGTCGGCACCGGAGTCGATTCTAATTGATGTATACCTGGTCCATTGTCCAGTGGACGACGTCTTGCGTCGTCGTACCTTGCGATGCTTTCGATGTCGGCGCGGATTCGATCACCACCGCGGGCTGCTCGGTGGAATACCATTTGTCGCACTTGACGCACAACAGCCTAGTCATGTCCTTACGCGAACTCACAAGGGGTGTGCAGCAGCTTGGCTCGGGGCAGTTGGTGGCAAGAAGCGTCCAGCCCGCCAACATCTTCTCCGCCAGGAGGTTGCTTGCCGACCCACCGCTCTATAGCACGCGTGAGGAATGGCCGTCTCCATCGGGCATCGCTGGCGCTGAGAGCTGTCGTACCATGCTGTGCGTTCTTCCTGGTTCAATGCAATGGTGTTCGTATTGTATTTATCCGTAGCTATTGTATTTTATCCGGACAATCCGTTGAACCCTCAGAATGTTGATCTTTCGTTTCCTAGTTCAATACTGTGGTGTTCATCTTGCATGTATCCGTAGCTCTTGTGTGTGTATCCGGACAATCGGTTGAACCTTCAGAATTGTGACATGATGGAATGGGACATTAGCCAAGTCGTTAAGTGTGCTTGAGCTTTGGCGTGCGCAGGGCCTTGATACCGCGCAAAAGGATGTCGCTAACCTTCATGAAGATGAGGCTGGACGTGACAAGAAACGCAAAGTTGACCCAGAAGCGTGCGCGGTCTTCGCCGCTGAGTTGCTTGGTTCGGCCGAAAAACCCCATCGCGACGGCGGGGTTCATCTCTGGCAAGAGCACAAGCCAGACGAACGACATGACGTGAAGCACGGCTCGAATGAGTTTGTGGTCGAAACCGTAGAAGAACGCGGTGACGATCGCCGTTTGCTGCAGGCGCGAGGACACGGTCTAGACAGCACAGATGTCTCTATACGGGTTGTCGGAAAGAGGGATGGAAGCTGTACCTCGTTCATGGCGAAGTAGAGCTTTTCAACCACAAGCTCCATGTACTGGCGGTCCCTGGGGGGAGATGTCTCGATTGCGTGGTGGAATTCGTTGATGATGAACGACGACCCAAAGTACATGCCCAAGTAGACGATCCACGCCGCGGCGAAACTTGCTTTGCCCTGTAATACTTGAATGGCCGTGGTGGACATGCACACGCTCGTGTGGGTGTACTTGTCCAGGAGGTAGGCAAACACGAGGGCAAGTGGCGCGCACGCGAAGCTCATGAACTTGCCTTTGGGAAACGGAAAGAAGCAAATGGTGACGGTCGCCGTCAAGCCAAACGCCGCGCCAAGCAAGAACCGTATCGTCGGGATTACAAACAGCGACTTGAATGTGCGTTTGGCCCATGACGACGACGCTTGCTTCAGCGTTCGCGCCGTCGTCGGTCGTGATCCGTGGACGGCAGCGTCATGGACAGGTGGGAGGACTGTTGCGCTGGCCATGGCGTAGCGACTCGGCGAATGCGGCGGACGAAAATGAAATATTTTGGAAGATCTTCCACCAATTGGCCAATCGGAGATCGTTCGGATAAAATGGTTTATATCCGGACGAAACGTCTGTCGCGCGACCTTTCGATGTTTCCAAATTCAAGGGGCCGAACCCACGTGCGATGCGCTCCCTCGTCGTAGCTCTGACAGGTGCCGCGGTCGCGGCGCAGACATCCAACGTCGAGTCCACGTACGTGGAGCAGGTGCTGAATGCTCGCGGCGCGGGCGCCATCAAGTACGCTGGCGGGATCCTGAACGTCGACTCTCTTTTCCAGTCGTATCCCGAGTGCCAGAGTTGCAGTGCCAATACTCCGTGTGCCCATCGCAACCTCTTGGGGATGGGCACATGCATTGGTGCGTCGTCTCGAATCTTGGATGGCGCCAAGTCCAACTACTGTCTCGACTTTGACGTGTGTTGCGGTGGAAGCTGCCGCAACAGCCACCAACCGACCAAGCGGTGCTCGTTCCAAGGCAGCGAAGTCAAACACTCAATGGCCAACGCAAACTTTAACAGTGCAAAGAACATGCTGGCGTACATTCAAGATGACCCGTTGGACACGATCCCGATCGCGCAAATGGGGAGCCTCATCTCGTCGGTCGTAACGGAAGACACACTGTCCGCTCGGTGCTCGAGCGATTGTAACGGGTGGAGTTGGCAAGGTCAGCTAACGGCGGCATCGTGTCCGAGCTCGTGCGCTTGCGAGTTACTGGTACGTAGCCCCCTCTGTCTTAGGGTCCTCACGTGGTATCTGCAGCCTCTGCCCAAGTTTGTGGCTGGCAACCTCTTTGAATGCGAGCTCAAGGTGGCCAACGCGGACAGCTTCTTTGCGTCAGGCGACCGAAAGGTGACCCAAGATGCCAAATTCGGAACAATGCAAGGCAAAGTTGTATGCCCCAAGGATTACGTTTGCACGAAACCGGACACGTGTGTTTCATTCGAAGCGTTCCAGACGGCAACCGCGGCGCCAACCGCAGCCCCCGTCAAGACCGATGCGGCAACGGGGTCGGTTGAAGCGCCGGCCAAGTCGTCGTCCATCGTGCCGATCGTGGTGGGAGCCAGCGTCGCGGGGCTCGTTGCAATTGGAGGCGCTGTGTTTTGCTTTTTGAAGAAGAAGAAGGCGGGGCATGGCGACGAATATCATGCCATGTCGGAGGCTACCTTGTAAGCGCATGACGCGACCGAGCGTACAGACAACGATCCGATCAATATGTGAGTTGCTTAGCCGTAAAAACCTGGATGCTTTTATTCGTTGGGAGCAAGGAGTGGATCGTTGCGTTCGATGGGCAAGTGGCCATGTTCGCGCTTGAGTGGTTGCACGTGCTGTAGAAGTCGTGCTTGCGCTTGGCGAACCAGTTGACTTCGTCGCAGCTTCAGTTGTTCAGCCATGAAGGACAAATCCCCGCCGTCGCAGTCCGTGCCAGTAACGATCGGTGCCACGACGAGGACGAGAGGGCAGTGGTAAAAATCTCGATTTGGGCAGAAAAGCGAGAGCGGATGGCAAGAACGGCGTTGGACGGGCCATGGACTCGAAACACCTCGCGAAAAGGTGGCCTGACCAGCGCTCACGCTCGCCCGCCCCTCGATGCAACACATAGAGGACGTCTATCGCCCTTGAATATAAACAGTTGCATCTCGCACGTGGAGGGTTACAGCGACGGCAACTAAACTCAATCTTGCCTCGTGCGATCTCCGTCCTAGTACTGCCATGGATCACGCCACAAGAGCCAACGTTATCTCTGTATCATGTAGAACCAGCCAACGTAGATAGCATTGCAACGACGACGTATTGTCCATGTGCTTTTGCCTCGCCTCGTGCAACACTCGACGCGCCGCTTGGATGGATATTGATGGCCGGATTTCAACTTTTCTCGAATCTACTGCGCCGGGTGATAGACCCCATGCACGGGTAAGCTGCAGCCAACCACGCCCGTGTATCTTTCGTTGAAATAACCTAATCGGGAGATGCTACGAGCTAATAATCCTCATGGGTACCAAGCAGGTAGCGCTCACCATGGGCTCGGGCGAGTCCTTCCCAACCAGCACCGTCGATTTCAGAGTTCTTAGGGGAGAGTGTCCTGCACCGATCTTCTCCTTCAGGTGGGCAGTGTAGCCGGGTGGACGTCCTTCCCCAGGCGATTTTGGCTGAACTGCCAGAGATTCTTGCGCGCCGGGTCCATGTCCGTGGAATGTGGTGCGGAGAAACGATTCATGTTCCGGATATTAGCCAATCAGACATGATATCCCGGATAAGTCGCAGGGGAGAGTCGCCGACGCGGCCAAGCGGAGACGTGGAGTCATGGCGACGGCTGCAGGAATTGAAATGCAAGCAATGGGGAAGGCCGACGCAGATAGCGTGAGCTCTAACTCGACGGTTGACGAAGAAGATGGTCTCGTAGCTTCCACGAATCAACTGAACGACGACGAATACGCCACCCCCACCGATCCTTGCCGATGCTTCTGTAAGTGCACCTCCCACGACGACGCCACGGGTAAACGGGGTCACGGTCTTAGGTTGCTTTGGCTTTCGCAAGATTGGGTTGGTCCCGACCCGTCGCTACAACGACACATAAGATCGTGTGTGTAGACAAAGCTACGTCGTGCGAGAACGTCGTCCGTTCATTCTGTTGGGGCCACACTGGATTGGTGTCGTGGTGACGTTTTCCCTCATCGTGATATCGACTGTGCTGTTCATCGATCAGCAGTGCGGCACATCCACCCACCAACCGGGACGACCTGATGCTTCCCTCGGTAGATGTCGAGGCCTGGACCCCTGGTACACGCTGTTTTCCGTGTTCATGTCCATTGTGACAGTCTACTTTCTCTTCAAGACGACATGCACGGACCCTGGTATCGTGCCGCGCGGTACCCTGCACACGGATCCAGCCCTGATCGCGCGATGCAGCTACTGCGGTGGGTCGTCATCCACGACGCGATAGCGGCATGTGACGGCGCTTCGTCCTGTAGACATATGCAATGTTCACCAGAGCCGGCACACCGAGCACTGCGACGACTGCGGCGTGTGCATCGAGAAATACGGTGTGTTGTGCGTTGACACGCGTTGTCGACTCATCGACTCCATCGACAGACCACCATTGCCCGTGGATGGGCAAGTGCATCGGCAAGGCCAACATGAAGTGGTTCCAGCTCTTCAACTTGGCGTGGGTCGTCTACCTCGTGTTTGTGCTCGTGGTCACGATGCAAAACGCCAGCGCGCACGCCGATCTGCTCGTCAAGGCCGGCAACCAGTACATCCACCGCGTTCAAGGCTCCCATTAGGCCCAGCAAATAATCCACACCGTTGGTGCCGTCGAGCTATCGAACCGACCGTTCCCCTCGGCGCATGCATCTCTCCGGCTCAGAGCAGTGGCGCGCAGGTTCGTTCGCCTCAACGAAGGCGACGTACGACCAGCATACCTGTGCGACATAGCGCCCCCCCCCCCGGAGGTCCGGTGTAGCTGGTGTGTTCATGAATAGAATCGAGCGAGGACGGCAAACGTAGCTGCAGGTGCTTTGTGCACGATAGCGTGATCGGAGAATTCATTACACGGTGGTGCGTGTGAGGACAAGTCCTGTGGCGGCGATGCCCGCGGCGGCGCCAACGAGGCCGACGACGACCGCGGCGCCGCGCCGCAGCACCGAGTCGGTGGGACACAGCTGGAGGTACGTCAAAACGGGGAAGACGTAGCAGATGAGCGTGACGCAGCTCGCTCCAGTCAGGGAAAACGTGACTTGGATGCCTGGCATGACAGTTGCGACAGCGACAACGACAAGAAGCAGCACCTAGTGGATCGATCAAACGACGCGGCAGCGATAGACCACACGCACGAGGGATTGCATCGCCTTGACACGGCGCGAAACGTAAACGCCTTCCGATCCCATGCACTGCAACGCAAACGATTCGACCAACAGCATGAACGGGTGAAACAGCAGCGGGAACGAAAACAAAATCGTGACGAGCACTGCCAGCCGCGGAAACTCCATCACTCGGTCGTTTTCGAGGTTGAGCAAGATGTTGCCTTGAATGTGGCTGCCGTACAGCGTCAGTGCGTGAGTTCCTACAAAGCGCGGGGGCATGGTAAGCCGACTCGTGGCGCACATCAAGAAGGCGCGCGCGTCGACGTACCAAACACGGCGTACATGACAATGCAGAAAATCGACATGGTATAAATCACGCCGCGCATCAGCGACAGCGCCGACAACGCAGTGGAGGGCTGGACCGATGGCTGCATTGCGTGGCGGAGGTTCGCGTACAGCGGAATCACGTTCAGATGGCTCACAAACGCGTAATTGAACACGGACGCTACGTGGGCGATTTTGAGTGGCAGGTCGTCGTACGTCGGGGGGTCGACGATTGCCGCGGGGGTCGACGACGCAGCTCGCACAGTCACGGCGACGACGAGGTAGATCGAAGCGACAAATCCAACGTAGCTCGAGAAGCGCAGCGCCGTGATATTCTTGAGAAGGGTCAGCGGGTACACGGCAACGATGAACACCGGCAGCACGATCACGGTTGGGTTGTACAACGTTTCGATGCCGACGAAGTGAACGAGGAAAGGACTCAAGTCCGTCACGATCTCAATGCATCCGACGCATGCCCCCAAAATGGCAAAGATGGTCGTGGCAGACACAATTTTCGACACGACGGACCCAAACGCGACTTCAGCCAGGCCGTTGAACCTGCGCCAGACAGGACGTGACGATCGACAACCTCGACGTTGCACTCACGTACGTGGACACGTTGGTGGCAATGTGCACTCGAACGAGAAGCTCGGCAGTGTAACCCATGCCGAGACCGACGGCAAGAAGGCTCATCATGACAACACTTATGGGGGCCGATGCAAACGTGAACGGGATACTCAACATCCCTGCGCCAACCACCGACATGAACAGTGTCATGAATGTCATGACGACGGCAAACGGGACGGATACAGACGTGTCTTCTGGGGAAAGAGCGTTCGACGGCGACAGGCTGTGCTGATGCGTCGGGGTGTGGAGATGAATGGAAGTGATGATCGGGACGCCCCGTTCGCATGCGCACGTGCATTCGCAAGTACACATGGTTTTCTGCCGGGCGGTTGCTGGGACCGCGACAGCGTAGGGCTTGGCTTGGTGAAGAGCATCGTACACACCTTGAGAGGGTCGTGCCGTCGTCGGCAGAAGCCGCTCGCCTTCTGGCGTTGCCATCGACGTTGGAGTGTGTGTGATGTTGCCGAGCAACACAAAAATGTCGGTTCACAGCCTCCGTATCCGGATAGGACCGTGTTATGCGGATGAATCGACCACAAAAACGGTAATCGCGGTGTGCAATGCCACCTCGTCCTTTGCACAGATGTGCCCGCGCAATTGCCGGAGGAGATGATGGGTGATGATGATCATGCCGTTGATCATGACGCGGGCGCCAGAGGTGGGCCATCCATCCAGAATTTCAGTTGCAAGTCATTCTACTGCTTGAAACGGGGCAAGAGGTAATCAAATTTCTCGTCGAAGGTTGCGCACGTCGTTTTACGCGGACACGTGGACGAGATTGCAGTGGATTCCAGCGGCTCGCTGTCCGCCGTTGGGGAATCGAGTTCCCACTTTGACGACACATCGAGGAGGCCGATGCAAGAGGATATAGACATGATTTTGCGATTTTTGCAATATTTATATATTTCCAAGCGCAAAATCTACTTCAATTACAATGGAACTTGAAAGTTGTATGTGATACAACAATATGTCGAAGTTGAGCTCGTTTCAACCGAATGAATGGATTCACAGTGTCAATATTCAGCAAGTCGAAAACGGGTATTGCTCAAGATCGTCCAACGAGTGGAAATAGTTCTCACGATCGTCCAAATTGCATGTTTATGAGGTATTTTTCTTCCAAATCGTCTATCGCGGCATGATTGGCTAAAAGTCTACCGAGCGTCAAAACGTTGGAGGCCAGTCCCAGGTTGGTTTTAGTCGTCTCCTTCCCGAATTTCTGCGCCCCCCTGCAATCACTGACCTCACCCGCCATCAACGACGCCACACTGAGCGCGACAGCCATCGAGCGGTATGACCTAGCGACTTTAGATGCACACCTGGCCCACCATGCCAAGGATGCCGCGGCCTCCGGCTCGATAGACTTTTAGCCAATCATGCCGCGATGGACGATTTGGAATAAAAATACTGATCTCCCCCCCTAATCGAAACGGTCCACTTTAATATTTGTACAATCTATAAAACATTGGAGGTATAAACTATTGAAATACACAGCACAACCATTTGAATTTCAAACGTACTTCGAAATATATTGTTGTGGATTCCAGCGGCTCGCTGTCCGCCGTTGGGGAATCGAGTTCCCACTTTGACGACACATCGAGGAGGCCGATGCAAGAGGATATAGACATGATTTTGCGATTTTTGCAATATTTATATTTCCAAGCGCAAAATCTACTTCAATTACAATGTAACTTGAAAGTTGTATGTGATACAACAATATGTCGAAGTTGAGCTCGTTTCAACCGAATGAATGGATTCACAGTGTCAATATTCAGCAAGTCGAAAACGGGTATTGCTCAAGATCGTCCAACGAGTCGAAATAGTTCTCACGATCGTCCAAGTTGCACGTTCATGAGGTATTTTTCTTCCAAATCGTCTATCGCGGCATGATTGGCTAAAAGTCTACCGAGCGTCAAAACGTTGGAAGCCAGTCCCAGGTGGGTTTTAGTCGTCTCCTTCCCGAATTTCTGCGCCCCCCTGCAATCACTGACCTCACCCGCCATCAACGACGCCACACTGAGTGCGACAGCCATCGAGCGGTATGACCTAGCGACTTTCGATGTACACCAGGCCCACCATGCCAAGGATGCCGCGGCCTCCGGCTCGATAGACTTTTAGCCAATCATGCCGCGATGGACGAGTTGGAATAAAAATACCGCAACTTGGACGATCGTGAGAAATATTTCCACTCGTCGGACGATCATGAGAAATACCCAATCGAAAACCACGAAAGTACTACTCCTCAGTAGTAGTACTAGTAGTATGTAAACAAACAACACTGTCAGTTCCAGGTTGGCATAGGCATGGACGCAAAGGGGTGGACAGATCCTGTCGACGCGTGAATGGGCAGCCACATGCAAGCCGAAGGGATGGAAGAGCGTCTGGTTTCGCCGTGACATACCTTTGTTCATCGTCACTGGCCTGGAGCAAACGAGCCTCGACTTCTCATGGCATCACCCTCCCCTACACCAGATTCGAGGAGATGAGTGACCCGAATCTCGGAAGCGTTGCCGTGGCACGCCCGACAATGCACGCGAGAGCGTCCATGCTGCTCAGCATCTGCTACTGCACAACATGTCCTTGCTCTGTGCCCTTCTCTTCACTGCTCGTGCAACGGCCTTCCCGAGTTCGCTGCCCCATAGACCAAGATCGTTTTCGCCAGTCCAACAAATAAACTTGAATGAATTATATTATTACACGGATTGTCTTGGTTTCACTATTCGAATATTGAATCCAACATTTAAATATCCCATTGCCTGTTGCTCGGTTGTTGTTCCAAGAGCTATCAAGGACGGCCGGCGCCGAGAGCATGGGATGCGGGTTTTCTCATGTGTGTGGAGGGAGACTCTTCCATGAGGATGACATAGGTATGTGGGAACGATGCTTCCTTCTTGGATGCGAGGGGCGTCACCATGACGCTCGCGTAGACAACGGCAAGTCCATGTCTCCGGCGCGAGAACGGCGACGGACCTTCTTCCGCAGCAACAGTTTCAAGTCCGGCGTCTTGATCAAACCATCCACGACGTATGCATTGTCGTTGCATCGACAGGAAGTGGACGAAAACGACTTGGATGTCGACGATGTCGACCCCGTTGTCGACGTTGCCGAACTCGACCTCCCAACCAACGTCAGTGAACCGCATGTGTATCTCGGCGGCGGCATCCCAGGCGTTGCTGTGGATGAATTCACTATCGAACAGCCCAAGTACACGGGACATTGTGTTGGAGGTCGCCACGTACGTTGCGATCATCCTACTCGTTCATACTCCATTCAGTCGTGGTGACGGCATTGCAGTCCACGTCAGGGTACATTTGGTGGGGCGCGCGCACACGCGCTGGCAACGACTCGATGGGTCGTCGAAAGGAGAATCAGGACTCGTTTTGCATTCGCGACCGCTTCGTCAACGTACTCGTCGTCGTCCGTGTCTCCATGTCAACGTGTTCTTGATCGTAGTGCGATGGCTTGACGTTCGTGTGCGTTCTGGACGGCCATGGATCGCAAGGCGCATTCGTAAGCCACTTTGTGCGAGACAACTACCACACCCACGTGGCCGCGGCGCTGCGGCGGCACATCCCTTCCCTCCCTCAGGACCCCGATGACAAGGCTTTCGTGGATTTCAACATGTTTACACTCGACACGATCGAAGACGTCTTCCTCGACGCATCTTGTCGCATGACGGCGGCGCTCGAAGACGCGCTGCACCTTGACATTAGCGTCAGCGGCACCACGGCCATCGCGCTTCTGTTTGTCACTCCAACCCTGTCATGCCCCGACGTTCAGCCAAAGGTGTTTGTGGCGAATGTCGGGGACAGTCGAGCCGTGGCCGGCCAGCCATCTGCCGCCGACACACCCTCGACGTCAGATGCACCCTCCCTTACCACAATCCACTTGTCATGCGACCATAAACCGAGTACGTACACGTTGTTGGTGGCCCATCCCTGTGCTGTTCATGGCCACCGGGTCCCGAGCGAAGCTCCTCGGAACGATCTCACGCTCCCGTAGACGATCCAGCGGAAGAAGCTCGCATCGTCGCCACAAATGGCCGCGTGTTTGAGTACGGCGTGCCGCGGGTGTGGCTCCAGGACGTCGACATGCCAGGGCTTGCCATGAGCCGGTCGTTTGGGGACTCGATTGCGACGTCTGTGGGGGTTATCTCGGACCCGCAGTGTACGGAACTCGGGCTGTCTCGCGGCACGTTTGTCGTCGTGGCATCCGACGGGCTGTGGGAGTTTCTATCGTCGCCAGACGTGGTCGCGATGTGCGCCAAGGGGAATGCCGTCGACGACCCGCAGACAACGTGCGACCTGCTCGTGGCCGAAGCGCTGGAGCGGTGGCTGGACGAGCAGGACGTCGTGGACGACATCACAGTCGTGTACGTTGCAGTCGCTCGCGCTGTGGGCGGCGAGAACGACGCGTTCAGGAGGTAGACCCACGTAATGACGTTTCTATCGCATATGGACAAGTCGATGGAAATGGAGTGGAAGGAATCGTTTAGTCGAGGTTAGATGGCCGGGCCGCCGACACGACCGCGGGGAATGGGATCGTGGCTGTGGCCTACAGATCTCCTGAGCGAGGATGGCCTGCGGACGGTGAAAGTCGGACCTGGCTCGAGACGGCGCTCCTGGAAGAGACGTCGATCGTCGCAGCTTCAAACTGCAAGTCCAAGTCTTCGGTGGTTGCTGTGTGTGCACGCAAGTGAGGACGTGCGCAAGGCGCCAACAATGTTCAAGAACGCATGATGTGTCATGGAATCCGCGAAGCGTGAACGATTCGTCGATGATGGCGAGACTGTAGTGGATGCGTACCTTGGCTAAGGGAGTCGTCGGGGGGCGTTCCAGTGGATGCGATGAAGGAAGATGCGGTCGGGAACTGGTCCACCCACCAACGACTTGTGTTGACCTGGACATCGCTCGGCATGAGGAGCGGTGTGGTCGCGATGCAAGTACCTTGGGATCGTAGAGATAGAACCACTGGTCGGTGGGGTCCCATAGCAGGACTTCGTCGTCGTACACTGGAAGAGAAGGATGATCATGCTGCCATCATCCTTGCAAGCAGTTCGTGCGCTGTTGTTTCGTACCGATGGACGGTGGAGGGAGCCACTCGGCTCGACCGGTCGAAAACTCAAAGTAGTACACCGCGTTGCCTTCGTAGGCTAGCCCCCAGTACTCGATTTCCGACGCCGTTGCTTCGTCATGGACGTAGTCGTCGACAGCAGCAGTGTCCCAAAAGTGCTCCCCCTCGAACACGAAGGGTTCGCTCTCTGTTGGGCAAATCGACTCTGGCGTCGCGGGTGGAAGCAGCAGTAGCAGTGGCTTCCCGTTAGAGTATGTGTATTCGCATGCCTTGACCTCGTCGAGCTTCGACGGGTCCGTGCCGCTGCCGTTGCTACCAACAAGCATGTCGACGACGCCGGCAAAGGCAGTTTCATGGCAATGAAACTGGCAGTGGTGCGTCGTTCCCATGCCATCACTGCAAGCTTGCACATTCGTCGCGATGCACACATCGCTTTGCTCTTCCTTCGCCAAGCGCTTCGATGACGAGGCAGATTCCTGCGAGGTGGAGCGTGTCGCGCCCCTGTCATCATGGGGTGTTTGCATGTCCGTCATTCCTGCATCTGGAATAAAACGTAAAAAAACGTCATGCGTTTAAAGATGAGACGAGCAATGGCATCGAACAACGTCATGGGTGCAACCGATAAAATGTCCACGTGGGCAACTCAGACAGGCCGGCGGTCGTCACCTGGTCCTTGCGAACACATGTTCACCACCACAGCATGCGTGGCCAAGATCCAACGAGAGCTCCATCTCGCGAGCAAAGGCGGCAAACGCAGAGCATTCTTCAGAGGTGGCTCCTCGGCTTGACGCAGACATCCCGCCGTTCCTGCGCATCGGCAAGGTATAAACGCGTTTTTAAGTCTTAAACGTATCGATCTTCAAAGGGTGTGTTCTTTCACGAAGTTTCCAACGGCGCGAAGAGAGAACATCGAGAATTTAAATAATGTCGGGTCCAACTTGCATGGGAAGGACCAGTCATAAAATAAAAATACTCGTGAAGAAAACCAAACTTCAACGCCGTATCGACGGAAAGAAACGCATTTGGATATTTCATATTCCCCTCCGGCGGCGACGGCGGCGGCGGAGGCAGTCAGTGTCAGAGCTAGATGGGACAGCGTGCATCCACCGAGGAAACTCGTATGCAGGATCGGGCCAGGGCTTGCATGGGCACGTACATGGACCTTGGAAAGCACATCGACCAAGCCAACGAATGGTACGACCATGACGATTATGAAAAAACCCGTTGAGTGGGAAGCTCATGGAAAGGGCCGACGTCTTTGCCAGGGCCAAGTTGTGCCCGACACCAAAGACATGCCAACTGCGCTTCCGCATCATCCTCAACGAACGAATTGCCACGGAACTGATACCGTTCATGTGGAAACTGGACGGCAACGTAAGTGCACTTGGTGTCCACACCGACAGTTCGAGCGCACATTCGAATGTGACGTGGTTGTCTTGCGTAGGTGATGATAGAAGTCCGCAAATTTCGACGGCGGCATCCCCCAGACGACTCGGATGCGCACATTTCGGTACACATCCCTCGACCTCCCCATCGTCCGAGTCTGCTAGTTCTCACGTCCCACTTGCTGCAGAGCAACACAATTGGTGCCGCCAAGTGCCTGACCTTGTACCAATTCTACTTTATTTATTGCTTCTTGTCGGACGTGAACGCTTGCGCGATGCATTCCGTGGCCATGAATCCTCTGTTTGGCAGGTAGGAAAATCCTACCGCGGGTGCCATCGGATGACGGTCTTGGACGTAGTGACAAGACATTTGACGACAGAGAGTGCCAGATCTGCATGGACGCGGACAAGGAAGTTGTCTTGCCATGCTCGCACAGCTTTTGCCTGCGCTGCTTTCAAACTTGGTACGTTGATGTGTTGCGCCGCCGTGCTCATGCCAGTTGGTGAGCAGGAGCTCGCAAAACCAGACGTGCCCTATCTGCCGCAGCCAACTGCACTGCGCCGAAGGCGAAGAGCTGTGGCACTTATCGTCATCGCGAGGCATCCAGAACCTGACGTCGTACGCGCAAGATTTGGTGTCTCGCATCTACGAGTTCCTCGACAAGCAGGCCGTGAGTCGATTCACGGACGAGTATGTCCATGACTCGAACGTGCGATACACGATGTGGCGCATGGAAAGCATTCAAAGCGAGCTGGAGCAGCCGCAGGACACGTCGCCAATTCCCGGTCGTCATGGCATTCCCGAGCCATCTCGCAATGCCGATGCCCTGCATCCCGACTACATATTTGCGCTGGCATTGGCCAACGGCGAGGACCAAGAGCTCGCGCTGGAGGAGTGCCGAAGGCATGTCCACTTCCCCACACTCACGTACACGTCGTCGTTGTCGCGTCCATCGTCTCTGGTCGAGTTTGTGTCGGAGCGAAGCAGTAGTTGAACGATGTAATGTCATGTGTGTTACACGGACGTGAAATGGACGGCTGGGAATCACCAGCGATCGAGGACATGAAGAGCGTTGGCGACCAAGTCTTGGATGTACGCCGCCAAGTCGTGGTGGTCGAGGGTGGCGACGGTCCACAGTTCCTTGCACTCGTCCGAGTGTTGCCGAGGAAGAGGCTGGCGGCATGTTGGGCACGTGTTGTGGCGCGCGTGCCTGTGGAAAGCACGTGGGCGCGGACGAGATGGGGACAGGTGGAGGGTACCATGAATGAAAACACTCGAGGCAAAAGCTATGCGTACATGGCAACACGACCTCGTTGGAAGCATCCATGCATATTTGGCACTCGGTGTCGACGTCGGCATCATCTTCGCGCAGCCGATGACCCCTGACACGTCATGTGAGGACAGACCATGCACGGACGAGTACCGCACTTGTCGTCAACGGTTGCCATCGCCGCAGGCCGCCGTGATGCACACTCGTGGATGTTGGACAAGTAGCAATACATCGAGTAGAACTGGCCGACGCTTAAGTCTTGTGGGGTGTCGATGGTGCTCTTCGCGTGCCGTCAAAGGATGCACGGTGGCGTGGTTTCCATGACAAGAGGTGGGCGTACCTCGTCGTGGCGTCGCAGCTTTCTCGCTTGGACTTTGACCTAATTGCATCAGGTGGTAGGATGGCAGGCATTGAATTGACGAGAGAACAGTTCGCGTACAACGTCGCCGAGAGTCCATGTGAATGGAATGCACTCGCAAGCAGACCCCCCGTCGTCTTCGCGGAGCAAGACGCGGAAGCGAAGTTGCACGGCGATGGGACAATGCCTCGCCCTACGCACTGTCTTGTCATCTTCCCAACACGATAGCGTCGATACCACTCGTTTGCTTGACCGACATGCTTCTCCAGATCCTCGTACGACCCCGACAACCCTCGTATTCGGCCGTCGCCGTCGACGCGCGACATCGGCATGCCCATCGCCGAACGAAAGTGTGGAAAAGAACAGAAAACTCCGTTCTGATTGGCCGACACATGAAACCGAATCCGTTAAACTTTGAAACGGCTGCGTTAAACACATCGACAGGTCGAGGTGCCGAGCACCGCCGCGATCGATGTATGTGCTGGACGACGAAGAGGCTGATGCCACGGAGCTCGACAAGAAGAAGGCAAAGAAGAAGGTGAAGCTCACTCCAGAGGAGGACGCTATCGAGAAAGCCCGCACCATCGCCATGGAGAAGAACATGTATTGGGCACCTATCCTGCTTCTGTTCCCTCTCGGCCCAGTCCTCGTAGCTCTCACGACGGTGGTGTTTGGCGGCGTGATCATCAACGCCGCGCCGTCGACATGCAATGCATACCTCAAAAGTAAGTTGGCGTGATCCATCGTTACGCCGCTCATGGAGTTCCTCGGCGCGGTAGCCTTTATGCAGGGAGCTGTGGGACTGAGCTACATCCTCATCTTGTTCTACGCGTATTGTTGGATCGGTCCTCGGCCCATGACAAAGCTCAAGATCTTGCGAGTGTTCTATACCATTTACGGCATCGTTTGCTTTCTGTGGTACGGCTCGAGCTGTGCCCCCGCGCCTCTGACGTATATGTAGGTGGGGAGTGTTCGGGTCTCTTCAGGCGGCCACCGCGACGTCGACCGGGCTGAATTCTTGCCTCGAAACAGCGCCGGCCTTGTTTGTGTTTTCGCAGTACCAAGTCACGATCTTCTGGCTGCTCTTTTGCTTCTTCATGTGCTTTGCCGTGAAGGAGATGCGCGCCCACTGGATGGCGTCCGAGCATGTCAAACTCGCCAAGAAAAAAGCTGCCGACGAAGCAAAGGCTAAAAAGGAAATGGACGAGGCCGCGGCGGCGGAAGCGACAGCAGAAGCCGAACGAGCCAAACAAGAGAAGGAGGCGGCCGAGAAGCTGGCCAAAGCCGAGCGGGATCGGTTGTATCAACCGACCGACAACGACGGCGTCGGCGGTGAAGACGGCGAACTTTTGGAATCGACAAAGGAAGAGAACGGACCTGAAGGCCAGGACGACGTGGAAGAAAAGGAGGACGAAGACGAAGAAGAAGAGGAGGAGGAAGAAGAAGAGGAAGAGGGAGATGGTGGTGCCAAACATGTAGATGAAGTTATGAAGGAAGACTAGTAGAAGGGTGTGGGGCGAACTCTTGGTCAAGCACTTCGCCAGGCAGCAATGTCCTTCCTGTGGTGCCGCGCGGGTGACTCGCATTTCGCGATGCCCACCGCTCAAGACTGTTAGCTGTTTCAACAGCTCCTCGCGAGGGCGGCGACCGCTCGATCCATGCGTCGAACGCGTGGTATTCGATCGTTAGAAACCTATCTGTTCTACCTGGGATCGTCGCCGCCGTGGCGTCGAAGAACACTCGTCGTCGCGTTCAATTATTGTCGTCGGCGTCTGGCACAACGCGCAGCAGCGGGATGTCCGAGTTGAGCCCAATGATGCTACTCGCGTCCTGGCGGAGAACCGTGCCGCCGAACGCGCCATGGATCGCCCACGTGTTTACTTGGACATACATGGCGTCGTTGTACTTGGGCAGCATCGCGAGCTCTTGATATACGATCGTGTCGCGCACCCACCGGCCGCCCGTCTCGTTGAGGAGCTGCCGGTCCGCCGAGTACAGCGAGATGTTGCTGCCCGTGCGCCCCATGACGGGCTTTGCCACATAACCTGTTGTGAACTCGGCCACGTCTCGCTCGTCGAAAGATGACTTGAGAAGGTACGGGCTGTGGGGAAACAGTTTGGACAGGATCGGCAGGATAGCCTTGGAACCTGCCAGGAGCGTCCACAGTGGCTCAAACACGCGAACGGATTCGTGGAGGAGGATGTCCATGAGTTGCGGCGCGTCGGGCACCTGAAACGACGCGGTCGCTTCCTCGCGCGCCTCCACTTCATTCATAACCGTGCGCCAACACCACGTCTTCCACACGTTTACGATTCGATGGCCCGCGCCATCTTGCAGCCCTTGGTTGTCCAGAGTCCACGTGATGCCATCGATTCCGACGACGAGGTAGCAACGGATGCCCGCTGCTTCCGCCGCCGCCTGCATGTACGTGGCGTGATAGCGTTCTTCAATGTCGCGGTCGCACATGATGTGCAGCGGCCCCGAGATCTTGAGATCTTTCCACGTCTGCACGAGTTGCTGGAACAGAGTCGCGCTCGTGCTGCGGCCGACGTTCGTGACGCCCGCGGCGGCTGCCCACGCATCTTGGACGTACCCGCATTCCAACAGGCACGATGCCGAGTCAGCGTTGTACTCGTACACTTTGATGCCTTCGTTCGTGAGGGCAAAGTCGAAGCGGCCAGATACGACATCGTGTTTGCTACAAGGGAGAGCATGGCATCGGTATGCATGGCGACAATCGCGGACGACATGTGCATACCTTTGGGCCCATGACCGCCGAATTTTTGGCCACAGCACGTCTGGAATGTGAAAGTATTTGCCAACGTCGGCCTCGTTCTCCAACACGTATTCCGTCGCTCGGACGAACATGCTGTGCAAGTCCTCTGTGGCGTGTTCGAGCGCGGCATGGCCAGATTCAGTGATCGTGTAGAACGTGGCGGCGGGGAGCGTCGGTGAAAATGGAGCGTTCAGTTCGTTGTAGATCGCGACGTACGGCAGGGACGGGTCCAACCAAGTCACTGGGACTGCCGATGGGACATGCACCGACCGCACGCACATGTCTGACGTTACAGCATTCGGGACGGGCTGCTCGATATCTGCAACGTTGGCGAAGATGGACTTGAGGGACGTCGCCCGGGTGGACAGGTCAATGACGACCTTGCTCGGTGTGATGGCGCTCGCCTTTTTCGAACAACTTTGGTTTTTCATCGCACCAGCAGCACCCACAGACGTTCTCGCCATGACGAAGGAGGAACAGCGCAATTGCTTGAATGAGCGATCGTGTGGCAGCGTCCCTGTTGGGCAGGCTGGTCCACCTATTTTAAGCCTACCGCCGTCACAGAATTGTTCTAGCCTTTCAACGCTGTGGAACGTTTCTATTGTTCCAAGATAGTTTTGGCAACAAGTCCCCCTGTTGACGTGTTTGGCCCGCTTGCTCGCATATCGAGGCCGCCGCTGCCGCCGCCGTCATGACCCTTCTGCATATGCCATCGGCGCATCCTCCTCACGCTGGTGGCCTGCCACGGCGACCGTTGTGGTGTGCCCAACATAAGCAAAGGTCGTTGGGTAAAACAATATTTTGTATTCACAAATAAACTGGATCATGACATGTAGTTTCAAAAACAGAAACCAGATGAGTTGTTACAAGATAAAATAACCTTCAATTTGACGAAAATCGGGTCGCAGCACCCAAGCGACACCAGAAGGGCGCGAAATTTCGGATACGGCTGATTTATCCGGTCGTGTGGGGGCTCGACATACTGGGACAGAGTCAACCCGTTGAGGATATCGAAGAAACTCGTCATCTTGGTGCGCGATGACGAGCAATGGAAATGGAGAGACCATCAGCGTCGGTGGCAATATCTTCCGGTAGGCCCATGAATGCTGCCACGTGTGACTTGATCATGGGGTAGTCTGGTGGAGACCATAGGTAGGGGGTCGTACGGCACTGTGCACAAAGCAGTCAACTTGAGCTCTGGCGCCGCCGTCGCAGTCAAGGTCATCAGCAAGGAGCGCCTGCTACGAAATCCACAGGAGCGAGCGTCCATTGAGAAAGAGATTGAGACGATGCGGGTCGCTGTGGAGCAGTACGAGAATGGACACCCGAACATTGTGCGTTTGTTGGCGACGAAGGAATCCAAGTCGTCCATCTTCATCGTGCTCGAGTACTGCGCCGGCGGTGACATTTCGTACTACATCAAGGCGTCGGCACGTGGACTGAGCATGGCGCAGACACGGAACTATATGTCTCAACTTGCCGCCGGGTTGCAGTTCCTTCGACAACAACACGTGATCCATCGCGACCTGAAACCTGCAAACTTGCTGCTTAGCAGCAAGAACGTTGCGTCGCAGAAGGTAAAAATCGCCGACTTTGGGTTTGCCAGGGCTCTAGAGAACGAGTGCATGGCCGAGAGCGTCGTGGGGTCGCCTCTCTACATGGCGCCGGAACTTCTGGACTACAAGTCGTACGATGCCAAAGCAGATCTATGGAGCGTCGGAATCATCCTGTTCGAGATGGTGACAAAGAGCCATCCATTTCTCGTTGTGGTACGCCCCCATCATGACGCTTCATGGAAGGTGAAGAGGTGACAGACTCGCCTTGCAGGACAAGGTGCACGCGACCAACCACTTGGCGCTGCGACGCAACATCGCGCGGTATTACGAGAAATTCGGCCGGTTCGTCATCCCCCCGGACGTCTCGGTGAGCGACGACTGCGCCGTGCTACTGGAAGGCTTGCTGCGGCGCGACCCGCAGGAGCGCATCTCGTTTGAAGAATTTTTCAACGCGGCGTTTTTGCTGCCCCCACCTCCAATGCCCGACGTCGGGTAGGTATCTCGCGAGGATGCTTGAGCTCATGCAGATGCCGACACAGAGTCCCATTGGAATGCCACATGGAAGCTTCCGGGAGCCCAAAGCAGCCCCTCGTGACGCAAGACACTACGTGGCAGGACTCTGGTGGAAGCGACGAGTACGTGCTCGTCGAGCGCGAGTACGAAGGCATTGGCCGCGAAGTGCTGCAGGACGACAACTTGGCAGATGACTTGGCGGCACTGCCGAACGAGGAAGACGGCATGAAAGAGGTGTGTGTGTGTGGCTGGTTGTCTGCCATTTAGATGGATGAGCGGGGGACATATGCAGGACGCGGCGGCGGACGTGACCGCTTCAGATGTGCCACATGTGCAGCCACAGAGTTGCGCCAAGGAAGAGCCGCACATGACGTGGCAAGATGACGAGAATCGCGTGGAAGAGTTGCTTGGGATTTGCTACAAGAGGTGCGATGCCTGATGGATCGGTCATGACCCACGAAGTCGTGTAGCTTTCCGCTGGGCGGCGTCGCGCTATTTGTACCCACTCCCCTTGGCGACTACATTGCATTCCACGAGAGCTGCCCGCACCACTACCTGTCGGCCGAGTCGATCCAAGCCTCGACTCGCAGCGGCGACCGCAAGCCCGCGTACGTGCTGGGCTGCCTCGTCTTTATTGAACACGGCGAAGCGACGGAGGTGAAGTACACTCGTTCGTGCTTGAATTGATCGCTGCGGTAGAGCTGCAACCCGTATCAATTGCGCGTCGGCACGCCGTACCACGTGTGCACAGTCACTGCCTTGTCACGGAGCTCGCTGACGTCGGGCACCTTGTCGCCACCGCCGTCGCCATCCTGCCCGACGTCTGTTGCGCTGCCGTTCACGATGCCGGCAACGACGACCACCACCACATCCCATCCCTCCAACGACAGCGGCGACCGCCACCAACGCATTAGTTTTCGCTCGTACGTGCATGGGGGTGCCGCATCACGCGCGCTCATGGAAGTGTCGCAGGTTTCAAATCAACCACCTCGCGCTGTTTTTTCCAAAAAACGGCAAGGTGCCGTACGTCGCGTTCAACGACGGCGGCGCGCCGCATTATTTCCTCGCCGAGGAATCGATTGCCGTTGCGAGGGGCCACGAAATCACGTACGTCGCAAGCATCATCTCCGCCAACCACCACACGTTGGTCATGAGCTGGCGGCTTGATCTGCGGTGGTCATGACACGGGTTTCACCTAGATGGCCTGCCTACATTTGTGGGGAAATCATCTTCATCGATTCCTTCCAAGCGACAGAGGTACGCCGTGCGCGAAACGAACGTGCGTCATGGGCGGCGGTAGGATTTCAACCCGTATCGCCTCGCGTACGGCACGCGTTTTTACGTCGTCACAGTCTCGAGCGAGTAAGTCCAAAGCGCTCGCGTCCATGTCGAGTCGTCCACCGCACGCACACAAGCAGCATGTCCCCGTTATGCCGTCGACCAACTCAGTTAACTGAGTTGGTACGTGCTGACTGTTGGACTCACGTCTGCGACGTACACGGCATCGCCCGACACCGCGACGTCGTTGGGCTTGTGGTGGAGATGGATGGCCGCACAAGGGTCGGGAGCGGGCGCAGAGTCTTGGAATGGCCAGATGCACACCTACGACGAGGATGGAGACGTGGGATCGCGGCGCATGCCACCGTCGACGGATGGAGTACCTTGGAATCGTTGCCAGCGGAAACGAGAAACTCGGCCGAGTTGTAGTCGAAGAATCGAACGACGCCTACAGGAGCGTTGTGGCCACTTCGCAGTTTGGTGCGCACGGACTTGGACGCAAAGTCGATGAGGGCAATGGACCCGTCGCCGAGGGCGGCGGCCACCGTCCTTCCGGACGTTGAGAACGCCAGATCGTGCACGAATGGAGGATTCCAGATCTGGGTGGCATCGCCCAAACCTGTGTCGGCATGCTGCATGTTTAGCTTGGCGCGCATGCGGCCGCCGGACCCGTCGTTGCGGACTTCCCAAAACACGAGGTGGCTGTCCAGGCCACCCGAGATCAAATCGTAGCCGGCGCAGCGGGGTCGAAATGCGGCAGCGGAACAAATGCTCGAGTGCTGGCCGCGCAATGTGTGAATAACGTGCGTTTTCATGTTGAGCAGCCCGATGCTGCCGTCGTCGTCAGGGACTGCGAGCCAAGGCTTCTTGGATTGCATCGGGTGGATGTGCAACCGATTGATGTCGTCCGCGGCCGGCTCGAAGATCGTCGTAGCTTCCGTCAAAATGAGCGACGGCGAGCGCCGCAGATCGAACAAGTACACTTGGTTGCTTGACGCTGCATACAGCTCTGCCGACGATGCAAATACAACCGAGTTGACCGCGTCGCCTGCGAAGGCATTCGCAACACATTGGGCGACACGACGGCTCCGCAGGTCCCAGACACGGCATGTACTGTCGGTGCTTCCAGAGGCAAGAATGTCCGGAGCAGTGGCACAAACGTCGAGGCAGTTGACCGTCGACTTGTGCCCTCGCAGGACGCCGGCGGAAGTCGCGGCGGCCACCACCATGTTCACTGCACAATGGTGAGTTCCGGAAAACGGATTATCCGGATGTACCCTTTCAGGGAATGACACCCCTGAACAGGAAATGCGCCAACATGAGATTTGGCGATGGGGGCAGGAAGTCGTCCGCTGTCGGCGATGGCGCCTCGGGCTGTGGTGGTATGTGGGAGGCTTCGCTCTCATGTGGACGATCTTGATGGCAACCGACACGTGGGAGGAAGGTGTTGTCATGGACGAAGTCACAGCGTTCGGGTCCCTCACCAACTCCCAAGACACGTACCCCGACCTGTGCCGCATTCGAAACTACGACGCACTAAAGCGCATGTCGATCGTGTACACGTGGGTAAATGGCAGCGTGCCATGCTACCGTGCTTGTCGACACAGGTTTGGTGGCGACGACGCCGTCGGCGGATCTCGCGACCGCGAGATTGGGGAATTGAAGTATTCGATTCGGTCGGTGCTGCGCTTCCTTCCATGGTTCGAAGGCACCGTGTATATCGTGACGCCTGGCCATGCGCCGCTATGGCTCAACCAGAGCCATCCCCGCATCCACGTGATCCACCAAGACACCCTCATCCCATCGGCGGCGACAAGCAACCTCCCCACGTTCAACACCAACGTCGTCGAGCAGTTTCTGTACCGCATTCCAGGGCTTTCGGACCTCTTCATGCACTTTAACGACGACTACATCTTGACAGCACATGTGCGTCCCCACGACTTGTTCACGTGTGACGGCGGCATCCGCATCCTTCACGAGCCCGCCATCATTCCTCGGCCTCGTCCGATGGAGCATTCTTCCCGCGGGGCGTGGATGCAATCCGTTCTCGCCACACGCGATGCCATCGATGCCAAACTAGGCTACACGGCGACGCATCATTTTCTCAAGCACGCGCCGTTTGTGTACAGCCGTCGCGCGTTCGCGCGACTGCATCAGATCTTTTCCCACGAGCTGCGCGCGACGTGGCGCCATCGATTCCGAAGTCCTCACGACATGAACGTCCCGCTCCTCCATCACGGGTACATGCTTGCGCAGGGCCGCATCGAGCTCGGGATTCCCGCCGACGCACCGCCGCCGTCCCCCGAGTTTCAACTCGTCATGCTCACCGACACCAACCAAGATTTCGTCAAGAGGATCTTTGCCGCCGTGTTGCGTCGACAGCATGGCGCCAAGCTCTTGGCCCTCAACGACGAGTACACCGACATGGCTGTCGTCGACACCGTGCGGACATTTCTCGCGGCGTTTTTGCCGGACGCGTCGCCTTTTGAACTCGACGAGGAAGCGGCGACCATGACGGAGCAGCCCGTACAAGCCATGTGCTGTGCACGCGAGTCCGAGATCGAAGGAAGCACGGACTGGGAAGGTGGCGCGTCGTCGAACTCGATCGTTCTCCGCGCCGTCAAGCCACCGTCCATGGCGCTCGCGTTTTTTCGTGCTGCTGTTGAGGGCGCCGGGTTCGCGTTCGGCCTTCTCATGGTGCTCGCCGTGCGGCATCAACTCCGTGATGGGGCGCCCAGCTACCGCCATCCCCACACGGAAGAAGATGGCGACGTTGGCTGTGATCCTGGTGCTGCATGATGAGCGCCACACGATCGGGGTGGCGAAGGCAGTGCCGGCGCGGACCGAGCAGCATTGGAAACATGTATAGAAGCCGAATTAAAATCCCCGCGCGCGACGACGGGCTGTGAATTTGCTGTCCGACTTGACCTCCTTCCCTTGCTTGCGGTATCGCTCCTTCTTCGCCAGGACCCAGTCCCTACAATACACACACGCATGAGTCCCGTGCGCCGAGGCGATTCCAGCCATCTTCGCACTTGTCTTTGAGAGGGACGCGGGCTTTGCCTTTCTTCTACACAAGTAAGGACAAGACGTCGTCGCCTGAGGGATCGCCCGATGGTGAAGACGCGACGTACGTTTTTCTCGCGGCGGTTTTCAAAGGCGGCGGCGGAGGGGTCGCCGACGAGGGCCTTGGGCAAGGTGGCTTTGGCGGTCGGGTCTTGGCCAGCGATGAGGCATAGGTAGTATTTCTTCGCCTTGGCACTGTTGGGATAGTCGATGACGAGCCCGCCGGAGAACCCACATCGCATCGCGTTGGACGAGATTTCCTCCATTTGCTCGGGGGTTTCGGGGTACAACTGAATGACAGCGCGGCCGCCGCGCTTCAAGCACGTGTACAACGATCCGAAGAATCGCATGAGACGCTTCCGCGCCGTGTGCTCCTTCTTGTCCGAGTAGCACAGCCACTGGACGGCCGAAATGCTGATGCACCCGTCGAATACACCCGCGCGGAAAGGAAGACCACACCCCATGTCTTGGAGAAAGACGTCGCCGCTGCTGTCGCGCTCAATCGCAATGTCCAACATGTCTCGACTGCAAAAGATCGCGTGAGTATGGCTAGGATGGTGTATGTACCTGATGTCGCAGCCGACCCACGCATGCCCCGCTTCCTGTAACGCCACTACGACAGTTCGTCAGATGCAACGACGTGCCTTGCAGCAGACGTACAGCCACTCAGTCCACTGCCGCAGCCTACATCGAGGATGAAGTGTTCCTTGTCTGCCGGCAAGTTCAACAGTTCGATGGCACGCTCGGCAATGTCGTTCTATTCGAGCGGCACACACGAATTCATCCCACCGTCGGTCGCGGCATGCCCGACATCGTACCTGCACTTTGATGATACGCGAGCTCGAGTTGTACTTTGCCGCCTCCTTTTCATTGTAGAAGAGCTATGCACACAACCAAGCGCCATCGCGAACGTTAGTGCGCACTGGCGGGTGGCTGCACATGCATCCAGAACGCGCATACCTCTGGCGGCATGATGTGCTCGGGGCGGCTCATGATGGCCGCGTCGGGTTTTTTCACAATGCGAATGCGCGCGCATGTTATCGTATTTTAATGAAGGAGCATACAAATTGCTAGTATAACTTCAAAAACGCACCGCCATTTTTTTCCCAGCAGCGCAACCAGCGCCAACCAATGATACCTCGCGAAACGCTTTCCCGATCCAATCATTTTCCAAAGTTGAACATGGCGGCACGAGCGGCGGCACCGTCGATGACTTCTCCTGGGACGTTCGTCATGACGATCGAGTCCGACGATGAAGTACGTGCACGTAGCGTCTATGAAGGTTGACACATGATGATGGCGGTGCAGGTGGACCGTTTGGACGACAGTAGCGATGAAGAACAGGAGAAAGACGATCAAGCGGTCATCTCCAAGGTAAGGTCGCACCTCGTCGCAACGGCTTACACGGACGAGTGTAGCAACAAAAGAAGAAATTGATGAAGCAGGATGAGAAGAAACGACAGAGTGCGGCCGTCAGCGACATTGCGGAAACGTTCGAGTTTGACGACGGATCGACCTTCCGCGTACGTGAACCTCTCGACATCATTGAACATCGCCATTCGAGTCGTTCATGCCTTTGTAGACCTCGACTGGCAACTCGTGGGACTTTACAAGTATGTGGACTTGTCTCTACATTAACGCCCGATGTCGTGTTCTCATCGTGGGTTACAGAGGCCATTGCACACATCGACAACATGGAACGTCGAAGCTACGGCGACAGCGTGCGAACGACGGTGCAAAAGAAGATCGAAATCCGTCGCAAGGAGCGCCAAGACGCTCGCAAGGAGAAAAAGAGCAAGAAGGAAGCTGCCGAAAAGACAGCTTCCGGTAATGACGCCACTGGCGAAGGTCCTGTTGACGCCGCCGTGCCAGTGGACGATGGCAACGACAGCGACGACGACAGCGACAACGATGAGGCCGGTGCGGACGTTATTGAAGAGTCCAAGCTACAAGAAGCGTTGAACGAACGCAAGCAGAACGCCGGTGCGATCATGGACGCCATCGAGAAGAAGAAGGCCGACGCGTTCTTTGAGACCGAGTTCCAATCGCCGCAGCTGGACAACGTGACGTCCTTCAGCGATCTCAAGTTGAGTCGGCCGCTGCTTCGCGCCGTAAGCTCGCTTGGGTTCAACGCCCCGACGCCGATTCAGGTAAGGCATTCGTACGAGTCTGCATGTTAACGTCATTGACAATGGGATATCTGCATGCAGCAACGCGCGATTCCTGTCGCCATGACCGGCAAGGACATTTGTGCCAGTGCCCAGACCGGGTCCGGGAAGACGGCAGCGTTTCTGCTACCGATTTTGGAACGCCTTCAGTTCCGCTCGCGCCGCGTCGCCGCCACACGCGTGCTGGTCATCTGCCCTGTCCGCGAACTCGCCACGCAATGTCAATCCATGCTCGAGCAGCTGGCCAAATTTACCGATATCACGAGTGGGCTTGCCGTCGGGGGCCTCCCGCTCCGTGAACAAGAAATAGAGCTTCGTGCATGTCCCGACGTGATCATTTGCACTCCTGGGCGCATGATTGATCATCTTCGCAACTCTCGCGTACGTGAATGGACTGGTGGCGGCAAGTGCGCTGCATGCGGCGCCCCCTCCCGACGACGCGGCTGCTAGATCGATGTGTGCCTGACACTAGAGTTTGTAGAGCATTCATCTGGACGAGCTCGAGATTCTTGTGCTGGACGAAGCCGACCGGTTGCTCGAGCTTGGGTTTCAAGAAGAAGTTCAGGAACTGGTCAAGTTTTGCCCCATTGCACGCCAAACCATGTTGTTTTCGGCCACGATGACGTCAAAAGTCGACGAACTGATCAAGCTCTCGATGAAGCGCCCCGTGCGCATCTCGACCGACCCGCTTTTCGACATGGCGCAGCATCTCGTGCAAGAATTCGTCCGCATTCGCCCGACGCGCGAAGACGACCGAGAAGCCATCTTGCTTGCGCTGTGCACCCGCACATTCAAAACCAACGTACGACCGTGGCTCTCGTCCAGCCATATCCTCGTCGACTTGCGTCCATCGCGCGCTGACGGTGCCTTTCCCGTAGACGATCGTGTTCATGGAGACCAAGAAGCACGCCCATCGCATGATGATCTTGTTTGGACTGGCCGGGATCAAGGCCGCGGAATTGCACGGCGACTTGACACAGAAGGAGCGCCTCGAGGTACGGCCGTCCTGAACGCTTGGAACGCAGCTCATCCACGTGCAGGCATTGCAAAGTTTCCGCGACGGCACGGCCGACATCCTGCTCTGTACAGACATCGCCGCGCGTGGGATTGATGTCGAAGGCGTCCATGCCGTTATCAACTACCAAATGCCCAAGGACGTGACTACGTACGTCCATCGTGTCGGGCGTACGGCGCGCGCCGGCCGCAACGGGCGCGCTGTCACGCTGACGTCGGAGAACCGTCGATTGATCATGAAGGAAGTATCTCGCCACTGCCACGGATTTGTCAAGGTTCGAATGACCGGATGGTCGCCGTGCATCGAGTTGACGTTGTCGTGAGTAGAGCCGAAGCGTGCCGGATGCCGTGATTGCCCAGTGGAAGCAACGCATTGAAAACATGGAAGGCGACGTGGCGGCCGTGATGAAGGAAGAGACGATGGAGAAGCGGATGCGAGAAGCCGAGAAGGAAGCGACGCGCGTGACCAACTTGGTGCGCCACAAGGACGAGATCAACAGCCGACCGGCGCGCACATGGTTCCTCAACGAAAAGGAGAAGCAGGCCGTCGCTGCCCGCGCGGAAGAACATCGCCTGGCCAACTTGATGGTGCACGACGACAAGCCCGAGAAGAAGATCACGCTCAACCACAAAAAGCGAAAGACGGCCGAGCTGCGAGAGCGGGAACAGCGCGCGCTCGAGGACGCCGAGGACAATGAGAGTACGTTGATGGCGGCGTCCTGACATGGCGTCGCAACGACTCATGACGTGTGTGGCTATGTAGACAAGAAGGTATTCACGGCGCACCATGTCGCGGGCGCGGCCAAGAGTGCCAAGCGAAAGGCGATCGAGGAAAAGAGGAAGCTGGGTACGTGTCAATGCACGGCATGCTGCTGGTCGAACAACATCGAGAAACGACGTCATGATGGGATGGGTAGCGTCGACGTCGATCGCCGAGATCCATGAGATGAAGCGGCAGAAGAAGGAGAAAGCGATTCAGCGTAAGATTCAGAGCGGCGCGTTCGACCAAGAGAAGACAGCGCGCGAAGCCAAGCAGCCCAAGAAGAAGGCGGCCGAGGCGAATGGCGAGTTTGTATTCAAGGAGAAGATTACGTCGCTACGCAAACAGGGCAAGCGCAGTGTTCACTCGTTCAAGTCCAAGGCCCGGTACAATCGCCGCAAGTAGAGATGGCGCGCTCCGTTGACCCAACATGCTTATAATTGAACATCATGAACCCCGTCCTTGTCGATCATCTTGTAGATCCATGTGCCGCTGCGCACGAGGAAGCGTTCGTTCAACTCGTTGTTGCAGTGCTTGAGGATTTGTTTCGCTTCCGCCAACGTCAGGTTCTCGCGCCATTCGCGGTCGAGGATCGACAGGCAAAAGTGCGCGCCGTACCCCTGCGCACCGTAGTTGACCTTGCTCAACGAACCCAAGTAGTCTGCCCAGTACAAGCTGGGAACGCCATCTGACCCATCCGCGGTGGGGACGTTCGGGTTTGCCGCGTCGAACGCACCCAAGAGCAGGTTCAACTGGACAGGAGCCTTACGAAGCCGTTGCGCGAGCTCGTTTCGGACAAAGTTGGCAGCCGCGTGACCGTTCAACGTCACACCGTTCGTAAGTTGATACAGCTTCAAGTTCTTTTGAATGTACTCGCAAAACTCGACGCGGTCGGCTTGGGGTCCGCTGCCGGCAATGACTTTGTGCGAGTCCAACGCTTGGATCTACTCGACGCACAGAGCATGAGAGATCACAGGATTCAAGCACACAGAAGGACGCGTACCTTGTCTTCGTCATCTTTGTATACTAGGATCGAGCGAGCGACTTTGCTATCGGCGCCGACAATCACGAAGTCCTTTCCGACGATGCCAAAGAGCGACTCCATGATCTGGATCGAGCTCAAAAGGAGAATTGCACCAGCCCCAGATCCTGGTGGAACGTTATATCCATTTAAACAGGTTTTTGAGAACGGAAAGTATGGCGTTCCCGTTGATACCCGAATGGATTTCCATGCAATACTCTCTTTCGAAGGTACTATGTATAGGAGTATTTATAATATATGGCAGGTCCACGACTTGATGCTGCCATTCGGTTCTCGTGCGCGTGCCAGCCATGAACGCCGCATGACGCATGACGGAATGCCGCAGGCACCATTCCGTCGCTACGTACATGTCTTTGATGTTTGTCAAGTGCGGGCGTACGGCGCAGACGAATCGCAGTTCACAGAAGACGGCTCGATGGTGAAGTTGGAGTATCCATTCTCAGAGGTTTTGCCGTTTGGTGCACCAAACAACCAAAGATCTCCACGCGTCGTCAGATGTCGTCGATGGGGCGGCGCGCCGCGGTTCTGGCCGCGATGGTGCTCCTACAAGTGTGTGTAGCGCAGCAAGTGCATGTGTTGACGAGCAAGAACTTTAAGCAATTGGTTCTCGACAGCTCGGACTATTGGCTCGTGGAGTTTTACGCCCCCTGGTAGTGAACATCTTTGTCTTTTGTTGGTCCTGATGGTGTGATGTGTGTGTGTCCGGCAGGTGTGGCCATTGCAAGAAGCTCGAACCCGAGTGGAAAGACGCTGCTAAGAAACTGAAGGCGAAGGTGCGAACCCTCCCCCAACGCCTCGATCCATCAGCGCCATGTGTGCGCGTTTTGCGTAGGCCAAGCTGGGCGCTGTTGACTGCACGGTGCACCAAGACCTCGGCCAAAAGTACGGCATTCAAGGCTATCCAACCATTAAAGGTGCCTCCAACGTTCCTCTGTGGCGTTGATGATGCTGGTCTGGATAGAATTCGGCAAGAACAAGAAGAAGCCGAAAGACTACAACGGTGGTCGTCAGGCCAGGGATATTGTCGGCTACGTGCAGAGCAATCCCGACGCTGGGTTATTTGAGCAAGTTGACATGCTCACGTACGCCACGGCGCACACGTTCTTCGAGCCGCAGAAGCGACCTAAAGTAGTGTTGCTCGGGCGCAATCGAAACAAAAAGGGCAAGGTTCGTCCTCGCAACAACGTGGCAACGGGATCGTTGAACGTCGTCTCTAGCCGCGATGGCTCGAGGAAGTTGCGCAGCAATTCCGTTCCAAGGTGTCCTTTGGATTCGTCCCTGGCAGCGACGACAAGATCGCGACCCACCTCGGCATCCGAGGTGGAGTACACCCTCCGTTTCGATCGCACGAACTCACATGGGATCGATAGAAGAAGATCGACCACTCGTTCTGGTGGCCATCGGACCCGAATATGTGTGGACGAAATTGAGCCAAGTCGACACGATCAAGGACGACGTTGTCGCGTTCGTCAAACAAGTACGTTGGAGAGCGAAGTCGAGTTGGGTCGTGCACAACTTGTGGCGTTGTCTAGTCGCTGAAAGGCACGTTCGACGAACCGAAGGTGCTGCCGGCGTTCCCGCCCCCGCAAAACTCGGCCCCGAAAAAGAAGCCGCCGATCGGTGCCATCCAGCAGATTCACGCGTCCACTCTCGAGTCGCTGTGCTTGAAGGGCGCGTCCAAGATGTGTGTGGTCTTCCTGCCCACGTCGTTGGCCTTTGACCTCAAGCCGACGGCCAAGAAGTTCCGCCGGGACCCGCTGAGCTTCTTCTATGTACACCCAGATGACCTCGGGTTCCACAGCCAGCTGACCCAGTGGCTCAACTTACCACCGACGTCCACGAACCGGTGCTTGGTGTTCAAGACAGGGAAACAAGTGCGAGTGACAGGTACATTCGATGGCCGTTCATGGAGACATCTTGCATGCCGTGCTGAGCTCGTGTATGCGTAGACCTGGCCAAAGTCGAAGGAACCGCCGCTCTCGACAACCTGCTCGTCCAAGTCCTGGATGGACTCCACCCGTCCCGTGCCGTCGTGACAGCTCCTTTTGAGCCACCAACGACGCACTCGGACGAGTTGTAGCGCGCTTGTTCCGTCTCTATCCCGTCGGCGACGTTCCCCTGCCGCTTGAATGCTCACGTTGGCCCCATCCATGGGTGGCGACGTTTCTCCGACGGCATGGTGATGGTTTGGAAATGTCGGGTCGTATAAAATTATACAGGCACCGTTTCACGTTTAAACTAGTCCGGTGTCACGTTTAAACCGTACGCTAAAATTCCAAGCGATGAATTTTTGGACCGTTCAAGAGGAACATGGACAAGCACACGACTGGAAACGGGCACATCGCGAGCCCAACTGCAACTCTAGATATGTTCACCAAACACACCGTGATGCATCCTACGTACCTCAGGAACCTCCAACTGCTCTTGAGGTGCAGTGCGCGATGGATTTATTTCGATGCTACTTTGTCCTTGACATCCTAAAGGTACGCATCGCGCCTGGCATGCATAAAAGCGTTAGTGTGTCCTATCTAACACGTGTCCGGGGGGATCCAGCTTCAATTCCCCCTGGTCGAACCGTCATTGGCACTTTTGACCACCGTCTTGTATTTTAGCGTCGAGGGGAGAGTGGTTTTTCAGCAGAGATTGGATGAGCGTATTGATTTTGACAGGTACGACCGTGTCATGAGAAAGTTGAAGCGCGGTGGAATCATTCGCCATGTGGGGAGATTCCACGCGCGTCGGTGGGTCCAGCAGCAGCAGCGGCGCCATGGCTCACGTCCCCGTCAAGACACACCCGCTGCTTGCAAAGGCGGTTGTTCGCGTTCCAAAGTCCAATCAGACAGAAACTACCGACCCCGCGGCGCCTTCAACGTCCGTGTCCCAGCGCATTCACGATGCTGCCCACGTCGACGAGAACGTGTTCTTGTCGTACCATGAAGCATCGATCGCGATGGCGCTTCCAGAGCCACATGTTACCCAGCGCAACACGAAGCTCGTGCTCGTCGAAGACTACGTCCGTCTGTCCACCATCGTCAAATCCGAACCATGCGACGTCCGCCCGTTGGGCTACTACAAGTCGCCCGACGGCTTTGACATGTACGTGTGCCTGGTCTCTGTCATAAACGAATCGACGTGCGAACGTCATGCGGTCGCTGTAGTTATGTATTTGAGTGTACGCTTGGCTCCGTCGACCGGCCGTCGCATGTAAAACGGTACGACGCCATCTCGACCGTGCGCCGGCTCAGTCCTTGTCGATGTGCAGATGGAAGATCCATCGTCGATACCGCCACTTCGACTTGCTCTTGTCTCGGCTCATCGAGTTGTCGTCGGTGTCGTCGGCGAGGTGGCCGTCGTTATCTGGCTCGTACCTCCAAATGTTTCGCGCCAAGCACTGCAAAGACCGCCTGGTCGAGCTGCACTCGTGGCTTGTCAAGGCGCTCGAGATGCTGCAATCGTTGTCGCCTTCCATCGAAGCCAGCGACACGGTGGCGACGCAGTTTACGTGCTTCCTCTTTGCCGCGGCCAACGTGCCGTACGTGACGTTTCCGTCGCTGCCGCTCTTTGCCTGGGCACATGAACAAGTGTACGTTCGGCTGACGTCCAACGTGCCGGCATTGTACCCATCGCGAGTGCAGAACCAGCTCGCTGCCGACTCGAGTCGCCTCGGCCTGCGCTTGACTCCGTCCACGAGCTGCATCGACGACGCCAGTGTGACCATCTACCGCGGTGCCGTTGTCTCTGGCGTCCTCCGCGACTCGTTCGACGTCCCAAACGTCCAATATGTCCGCGTCGGTAGCCATCTCTCGCATATCAATGGCATTCCCGTCGACAACGAAGCCTTCGACACGATCTTGCTGCATCTGCGCAATCTCGCGCGGCCGATGCACCTGACCTTCACGTACGATCGTCGCCCGCAGTCTGTGGATCGCCCCTTGTCCGAGTCGGACCTGCGGCGCCACGACCGCCTTCAGTCGTCGGCCGGGTCGACCTGCAGCGGCCGGAAAACGTCAGCGTCGTCGATGGGCGGCGCGACCGAATTGCAAACCCCCCTGAACGTCCTCGGCTCTGTCCTTACCGACACGTTTGGCAGTCGCAAGCGCACGGAAACCCTCATCTCGATCACGTCGGACGAGAACAACCAGGACGACGACGAAATCTTGTGCTGGGACGACATCCCCGGCCTCGTCATGGACTCGACGACGTCGGGGTTTTACTTTGCGCTGCCGGCACCGACGCCCCCCGCGCATGGTGTGTACCGGGACCGGAATATGCACTGAACGAGGACGGTGTGCGTAGAAGCGACCGGGATCTGGAGCACGTCGGCCGGCCCGCTCAAGATGATCCTCGCAGGGTGCAACCTGCGCGGCAAGCAAGCAGTGTTCTTGGCCGTGACGCCGCAGGTACACATCCAACATCCACTCCACCTTGTTCAGTTTTGACTCGCAGGCATTTGGTCCGTGGCGCGGCAGCGCCCAGTCGAGCTCTCGACGGTAAACGGAGCGAGCCATGGCCGTGGTGACACCGGCGTTGTAGAGGGAAGAAGCAGCCGCCAGAAGTCCGCCTCGAACGCGGCATGGTCCTTGTATCTGTCAACGGCACGTCGACATTTGACTTGACGTTCCATGAATCGATCGACCTCATCGGCCGAGCAAGCATCCCGACGGCGTTGTGCTTTCGCTGGTTCCATGGTACGCGAGTAGTGCGCAGTCATCTTTGGCACGTCATAGCGCATGGGTAGACTACAGCTTGTTTCTGCACCCGAACAGCGACCATGCGATGCCCATGATCTATCGGCCGACGTCTGCGCCGCCAAGTGCAGTGACCGAGGCCGAGATAGCGTGCTTTGTTGAAGCGCAGGCAAGTGCTGTCGGTGGATGTTGATGCTTGGGATGGTCGTGACGACGGTGGTGGGCTTGCCATGGATCTATAGACCAAGCTCAGCGGGCTGCTCCATCAAGCGCTGACCGAGAACGCGTCGCTTCGGTTGGAGCTCCAAGTCGTCCAGGAATCGAATCGACACCTCCGCGACGACCACTCGGCCGCGTCCAGAGTTCACACGGTACGGCATGCAAATGGACGGCTGCCGTGAATTCGACGTCTCATGGGCGGCTCAATGTGCATACAGACCACGGCCCAAGACACGGATCGGCTCATTCGACGATGTAACCAACTGCAAGCCGCCCTCGGCGCGGAGCGGGTTCAAGTTCAGCAGACGGCCAAGGAACTGCGCAAGGCCGAGCAGAGCGTGCGGGACGTCGAGCGTCGATTCGAGAAAAAGTTGGCGCATGCCCACGTGCTGGCAAACCAGCGCGCCAAGGCGCACGAACAGCGGTGCATCGAAGAGAGCCGGAAATCGATTGAAGCGGCCAAACGCGCGGCCGAGGCGCGCACCAAGCGGCAGGTGGACGAAGCGTTGGCCGCGCAGCGACGCCAAAACAATTTGGACATGCAGCGGCTCGCCGAAGACAATGGCGAAGAGATTGAGTTTCTGAACCAGCAACTCGCGCTGTGGAAACATCAAGTCGAAGTGCTGACTGAGAACGACAAACGCAAACAGCGCAGCACCGCGATCGGGTCGCTTGCCCCCAAGACGAGCGAAGACGAAGACTTGCTCGACGGCCGTGACCGCCGACGACAGTCGATCTCACTCGACGATCGGGAAGGCGGCGCGAGCGAGTCGCAGTCGTTCTGGGGGCGCGTGTTCGAGCCAGTCAACTGCGACGAAGCTTGACCTACCTAGCACGTGTATTTAATCCTTTCAAGGTCGTTCCATCGAGAATGAGAGCGCCATCAAAACAGCACGCGAGCGCATCCATGCCTACCCGCAGTTTCCTCGCGCCGTCCTTCATGGACCGATGTGGCCGCGGATGAGATCGGCGTTTCACGAGAGTAACTGTTGATCGTGCGCAGCAGCGTCGCCCAAGATGATGATGGTGGCATGGCTCGTGTGGCTGGCAGCCGTGTGGGGCATTCCTTTGGTGCGCAGTCTGAAGCGGCGGCGGCGCCGTGGGCTGACGCCTCTCGATGGCGTAGGCTGGTTGTGCGAATGTCGTGTATTACCAGCGAATGGACGGAGCTGGACCGACCGATGTCATGGCCCGATTCACCGACTCGCAAGCGACAATCGTCGCCGGGTCCAGCGCGTGGAACAAGATTTTGGGAATGGCCGTGCATGACGAGAACGCAAAGTTGGTTGGCGCCCGGTCGCCGCTCTCTCAAAGATCGCTGGTTGTAGGCTGTACTGGTCAGACGGGCATGTCATTTGGCGCAGCAACGTCGATGGCACGAGCAGAGAGGTGTGCGACGTGCAGCTCGTGCACAGATGCATGCATTTCGTAGGTCTTTCTGGGGGCAGTCGCCCGCGTGACATGGAAAGGATACAACTTTGGGGCAGTGGGGACGCCCGTCGCCCTCACAGTGCTGACGCAACGATGCTTGAGCATTGTGTCGAGGACGCCGACGGAGGTGACGTGTGAGATGCGAGTCAATTCTGCGCTGGCCGCCGCCGCGACTCCAATTAAAGCCGCCAGTGTCTCGATCGAGACGGAGTTTGGGCATGCGAGAGGTAATGGGTCGCCATGTGTAGCGGTCGTCAAGCCTTGGATCGCCAGGAACAACGGATGGGGCGGACGACCTCTTTGCGTCCAAAGCATTCACAAAGCCTCTGGTCCAGTCGGTGTCGATTCAAGTGACGTATCCATCGCCACACGAGCTCGCCATCGACAACGTCGACGCGAACGCGGCATGGCTCTACTTTGCCGACCCGGACCACGGGACGATTTACCAGACACACGTCCATGACAGCCGGGTCCGCGTGGTTGCTGCACGAGTACCGAACGATCTCCCGTCCCCGAGCTTGAGCCCAACTGGATGGTGCGGTTAGGAATGGAGCGTCCGGGGGCTGTCCATCTTCGGGTCGATCTTGCGATATTCAGTCGAGTCGAAAGGCACGGTATTCGCTCTCGACATGGCCAACGCGACCGCCGCTCCGATTCCGATCGTGGTCAAGCTGACGTCCCCACGAGGCATCGCGCTCGATCACATTCACGTTCGTGATGCAGCGCCTCTTCTCGATATCGTCATGCGGCGTATCTAGGCAATGCTGTACGTGGTCGAGCGAGGCGGGAAGATTTACCGCGCTCAAGCAGACGGCATGCGATTCCCCAACCGCCAGCGGGACATGGTACAGGTCGAGCGCGTTCTTGGCCTCAGCACATTCACGCGCCTCCATGGTGTCGCTGTCGATGTTGCGAACGGGTGCGATTCCTTTCTGCCGTTGATCAAACGTTTCCGACGCCGGATGTCTTTGGTCGTGTGTAGAGTTCTCTACTGGACGGAATGCGGGACAAACGTCGTCGGTCGCACGCTATTGAGCTCGATGGAGCGGCAAGTGGTGGCTGGCCGTCCCAATTCTGTCGTCAAGTACGTCTCCCTCGTCGAAATCCCAACCCTCGTTGAAATACACACACATCTTTCTTGACGTGCGCTGTCCTAGCTGGCCGCGTCACGTCCATGTTTCACGTCAAAGTGGCAACGTGTTTTTTTCCGAGTACGGAGGTCGCATTTGGACTGGCGACGCGACAGCGCCGTTCACTGCCGTTGTAAACGATGCGTCCGCGTCCATGGTCGAGACCAACGCGATGGACCATCGACCCGTCCACTTTTTCGCCCTCGACTAAGCCAATGTTTTAACAAACACAATCACTTACTCGTACAAGTTCCTCAGCGTTAGTAAAAGGTGGCTGAACGAGTCGTGCTGCTGCTCGGGCGTGTAGATGGTCGCACGATACATGGCTTTGAACCGGTCGGTGTGGTGCTTGGACCCGCTTTTCACGAGTTGCAAGAGATATCCCTGCAGGGTCTGCAGCAGCGTCGGCACCAATGCGTTTAAGTTGGCTTGTTCGTGGGGCGGGAGCTTGTCCAGGTGCTTGTACGCGTCGAACGTGTTGAGCATGACAAGCAGCGCGTGCTCAATGTCTTCCGTCTGTCCCCACGCGCGTGATACGCCTTTCTGGTGAAAGCGCAGATGGACTCACCTTAGTGGACGACGCGTACAACTGCGCGAGCTCTTTGTGGATCAACACAAAGGTCGTCCCGACTTCGACTGCTCCAAAATATTCGAGCGCTTTCTCGTAGTGGCGGCGGGCGAGCTCGAGCCGCTGTTTCACCGCGCCGTTGGACACGCGCTGGCTGTAATATGTGGCCATTTGATAGTGTGTCGCTGCAACTTGGCGTCGGTCGCCGAGGTCGACATACATATTGAGTGCTTTGTAGAATTTTTCCAGGACGACAGGAGCCTCCTTGGCGACAACGCTCAAGTGCACGGCCCACACCAAATACGTGAGCGCGAGCTCACCGTTCACTTTGACATGGAGCTCCGCACTAGCTTTCGCTTGCTTGAGGAGGCCTTGGGCCTTTTGACACAACTCGATTGCTTGTGTGTAGTGGGACAGCGCGACGCTGGACGGTGCCTTTTCCGCGAGAACCTTGTGCAAATTGGCCAAATTGGCGTAGATGAGGGCGACGTTGATGCCATCTAGAGCGTAACACGAGAGAAAAAACCACACTTCAATACACCCTCGTCCATTCCCCCCCCCCGTGACAAAATTTTATACCTTCGATGGCGTCAAAGATGAGGCTTCCCCCTTCAAACCACAGATACGCACGGGAATAAGCGGCGCAGCGCATGTAGAACTTGCCAAACTCGTTGGCAGCATTGCCCAGCTTCTTGACGAGGATGCTAAAACAAGTCGTTAGAGCCTGGGGACGACAACGACCCAATACTCACACAAACTGATCGGCGGTCACTTGGGGGTCCAACCCGTACAAGTAGGCGAAAAATGCGATGTAGAGCAGCGATTCCTTTGTGTCGGACACGTCGAGAGGGAGTTGGAATGCGGTCTCGCTCGCCGCACGAGTTTTGACAAAGACGCTGGACAGGACGCCTTCAGTGTACGAATCGGACGGCAAGATTCCGCCTCCGACAACTGTAAAGACATGGATGAGGGCCGCCACGTTGGCCGAGTCTTGATGGGGGTCGAGGACGTTCGCGACGTCGCCGACGGCTTCCAGCACACTCGCGCGGCATTCCTCCATGGAATGGCACAGTTTCCGTCCCGTTTTGTTCGCCTTGGAGACGCCCCCAAAGTCGAGTTCGTCCACGAGGGTCGTAAAGAACAGTTTGCCCGTGACGGGGCCGATCACGTGGCGGGGATGGGTGGGGACGGTCATGGATGGCATGTACTTGCACGCGTCGACGAGTGCCGCGATCGTGTCACTATGGCGCTGGTTTTCCAAATACACGGCCGCCAATTGGAGACACGTGGACGAGTGCTTGAGCTTGAGCCGAAGCACTTCTTCCTCGACAAAGTGTCCCACGTCATCGTCGTAGTCGTCGTCGTCTTCAGTGCCGTCTTGAAAGTCCGCGACGGGGGACGCCGGAGTGTTCTCGACCAAATCGCGGTCTTGCATGTGGTGGAGAAGGCATCCTTCGAGGACGTGGATGCTGTGCACAAGGTGCTGGATGGCTTTTGTCAGTGCGTCGATAGCGTCGTGGGACGTGAGGCTGCTCAGGTCGCGGAGGTACGTGTCCGCCATGGTTTCTGCGACCGTGGCAGAGATCGAGTCTTGCGCCTTGGACGATGTTCGATACGCCGACGTGGCGTCGGTCTCGTTGGTCGATCGGATTTCGTCGAGAAGGTCCAAACACGTTGCGAGAAGCTCTCGCTGTCGCACGCGGAGTCGATGTTGCAGTGACGGCGATTCCTTGGCGGAAAAGATGAGCCGGCCGGCGCGCGTGGCGAAGCGGTAGCACAGCATCGCCATCATATACTTCCACTTGCGCTGCTTTCCCTGAGACAGCATGCGCACGTCGTACAGTCGCAGCGACCGGCTTCCCTCCTCTCGAAACAACCAATACGTCCCATTCGACTCGGAGCAATTTTGCTACGCCAGCGTGAGTGCCATTTTGTGCCTGGAGGGCAGGTCGTGTACCTGCAGAAAACGGAGCAGCATTGTCGCATTCATGTTGACATCTTGGATATCAAACAACGGGTGCGAGGGAGATCCGTTCAAGTGTGGAATATCGCGGGTTTGCAGGAGCTGGTACCCGCGGACGTACCCATTGGAATGCATGCAAATGGCGAGCTCGGGGATGTTTGCGATCTGCTGGAGAGTGACCCACAAGGACGAGATGAAGCAGGGGGAACGACGTACAACGTTGTCGAGGTAGTAGTCTAATGCGGTGCACAGCGAGAGCTCCTCATTGACGTCGTGGAGCTTTAGCGACACTGCCGGGTGATCTTTGTTGCTAAAGAGCTGTACGTCACTGCCTAAGATCTGACCAAATTACGGCCGGCAATTGAATATCCATACTCACCATTTTCATATCGTGGAATGTCCAGGAGAACGTGCGTGGAAAGGCCGGCACGACGTCGGGGTGACGGTCGCGCTTCTGGAGTTGGACCTTTCGTTTGTGCTTGGTTGGACACGAGATGGCTTGCTGTGGCGTCGGCAGCGCAGGTGGCGGTGGCGGCGTGAGCAACTGCGTGCTCTGGTAGATGAAGTTGTCGAACAGGTGCGTGGACGACACGTCCGAGCTAGGCAAGAACGTTCGGTTTGATGACTGGTCGGTATGGTTGATTTGAAGCACTTCGTTGCACGCGTCGAACCCCCTTGGTAAGTCCTTTTCGTCGACTTCGCCATCCACGATCAAAGTGTTGCCGACTCGATGGATCGCTAACGATACGCGTGTGTGGGAGTATGGCATCTTAAACAACGTCTTAATGTTCTCGGCGGGGCCAAGAAAGTGCACAATGTCGTCTTTGGGTTGGGAAGACGACGAAGAATGGCTGTCGGGTCGTCGAAACGTTGTCTGCGGGAGAGCTTGAAAGTCTTCATAGCCGTATTCATCGCCGCACCCGGCCAGTTCCACGTGACTCCCGTGCAGTCGAAGGGACATTTGCTTCCGACTTGTGCGCATAAGACTCTCCATGTGGACTTGGCGTTGCAGCGCAGTCGGTGCTGTATTCAGGTTGGTGTTGGCGTCGAGTTGTTTGAATTGAAACGACGGCGCTGACACATGTACCAAACTCAAGTCCGTCCCTGACGTCAAGGCCAGGCCGGTGTCGTTCGCGGGGACAACTACCATTTGATCTGTATGAGCTGCTGCGCCTTGGTCAATTCGAACGAGCTGCAGGTTCTGCTCATATGCAGTGAACTCTGCCGCGTCCGCCTCCATCGTCCCGCACTTCTCCCTACTCATGCTTCGAGAACGAAATTCGCCATTTAAAAATCCGGCAGATCCAGCGAAGCGAAGTTCGAAGTCGAATTCGTCCCATCGGATTGGTTTATGAAACTTCGAAATACGGAAGCGTATTGCAACCCTTGGCACAGAAGGATACCCACGACGGCAACACACCGTCCCTCCGAGCCCGCTTGCCCGACGTCGTGCGAGGCGAACGATGCCCCTGAGTGAGATGGAAGGGATGCCCCGTTCCGTTGGTATCGTGGATGCATCTATATTGGATGCATCTAGCCCCACAGAGACCACAAGCAGTGTCAGTCTCGACATGGATTTGTTGGAATCGTCGACCAACTGTGCTCACGACGTCAACGCTAGCAAGCGGTCATGCTCGCATTGCGACAGTAAAATCGATACACCGCACGAACGAAACGAGTACGACGTGACTCTCGAGAAGGATCTGTACGGCCTTGGGATATACTTCGCGAAACACTCGGATTCCGCGATTGTCGACCTCCACGTTCCCTTCTATAAGTTGCCGTCGGGCCGATCGGCACCAGGGGAAGCCTGTGGAATGATCAAGCCAGGGGATGTACTGCTCCGCATCAACGAAGAAGACATCACGTCGTACAAATTTGAAGAAGTCGTCGAAGCCCTGCGCAACCTGTCATCCGGCCACGTCGTGCTGCGCTTTCGCTCCCCAGAACCCCCGCCATTGGACATGGAAGGGCGCGCCGTCGACGAGACGCTAGAGCAGCGTATCTGGGACCTCGAGAAAGACTTGGAGCGGGAAAGAAAGTGCCGCCAAATCGCAGAGAAGAAGATGCACATGTACCGAGAAGAAGTGCTGCGGCTGACAAACGTGAATACCGTGCTCCAATGCAACATCAAATCGCTTGAAAACGACCTTCGCGCCGCACAAAAATTCGCCAGATATGCCCATGTGGCAGTTTAATATTAGTTGAATCAACTACTCTACTGCGCTACCTGGAGAGCGCACTATATTTCCCACATGACCGAGAAACTCGGTTGTGCATGACGCAGCATCGGCACTGAATCACGCGGGAATCGAACGCTCGAGTCAAGTACAGCGCCAGCCGTGAGATTCATTTGCAGTGTGTACTCGCCTGGTGTCGCCAATCGTGGCGAAACCGCAAGGAACTCTCTCAGCGTGGATGAACTACCATGATGATCGATGAATCCTTCATTCAACCTCGTTTGGCTCAAGGATGAAACTCGACAGAGCTCTGGAAGAATGGGGCGCTTCTAGTTGGAAGCTCGTCTGACCCGAGCCTTGATGCACATGAACGTGTTGCTGCTCAGACAGCCAAGGGTATCTCGACACTTAGGGCTACTACCCCCCGTTCGGAAACTCTAGTCTGAAAACACTTTAAAGTCATCATAGCAGCGTTCGTGGCGTGCGAAAACTCGATAGGCAACGATCAGAATGTCCTGTATGGTCCATCACGATGGAAATCAGACCCGAAAGATGGTTGATTTGAAAGGAATTCGTCATGTCATGCGTACACATACAAGAGGTGGAGAGCACATGCAGGTGGAGGACGATAGAGCTGCTCAGACAGCCAAGGGTATCTCGACACTTAGGGCTACTACCCCCCGTTCGGAAACTCTAGTCTGAAAATACTTTAAAGTCATCATCGCAGCGTCGATAGCGCACGGCGGCGGAAATGCGAAAATGAACCAAGTGGAAACATGCCGACGTTTCGCACCAGTCGATTGGAGTTTCTGTCATAGCCAATCAAAACGATGGATGGATTTGATTGGTTGCTTCAAGTTATAAAGCTCTGTGATTGGATGAAATCTTTGATTTCCATGGTTGCACGCCAGATCTTGATTTCACTATGGATGATGCCATTGTGGCGCATTTTTATGGTGGCGACGTTACTCGGATAACACAAGTTTATCCGGATTCCAGGCGGATTTAGTAGCTGCAAGTTAGTAGATGAAAGACTAGTAGCTACTAACATTTCTTGCGGCCACCATCAACGAATCCTTCTCGGCAAGGCGGCGGCGGTGCGATGAGTGGAAAGAAGAGCGTGGTGAAGAACCGAGCCCCAGCGCCGATCCAAATTACAGCGGAGCAGCTTCTACGTGAAGCACAAGAGCGGAAAGAAGAGTCTGTGAAGCCGTCTCGACGACGCATCACTGATGTCGAAGAGCTCGAGGAGTACCGCATGAGCAAGCGCAAGACATTCGAAACAGAGATCCGACGGCAGCGACATCACTTGGGCACGTGGATCAAGTATGCACAATGGGAGGAAACCCAGCACGAGTTTGCTCGTGCTCGGTCTGTGTTTGAACGTGCACTAGACGTGGATTACAAGAACCATTCCCTTTGGCTTAAGTATGCCGAAATGGAGATGAAGAACAAGTTCATCAATCATGCGCGAAATGTGTGGGACCGTGCCGTGAGCTTGCTGCCTCGAGTGTCTCAGTTCTGGTACAAGTACGCGTTCATGGAAGAGATGGTTGGAAACCTCGACGCGGCGCGAGCGATCTTTGAGCGATGGATGGAGTGGCAGCCCGACGATCAAGCATGGTACTCGTACATCAAACTGGAAGTTCGTGCAAAGGAAATCGAGCGCGCCAGGGCCATCTACGAGCGGTATTTGATGTGCCACGTCGCCGAGCGAGCGTACCTCAAGTTCGCCGCTTGGGAAGAAAAGGGGCAGGACCTCGCGCGCGCCCGAACCATCTACGAGCGCGCGATGGTCGAATTGCGTGAAGACGAGCGCAGTGAAAAGACATACATTGCATTCGCGGCCTTTGAAGAGCGTTGCAAGGAATTTGAGCGAGCGCGCGCCATTTACAAGCACGCGTTGGACACGTTGCCGAAGGACAGCGCGGTGAATCTATACAATGCATTCATCAACTTTGAGAAACAGAATGGTGATCGAAGCCGCGTCGAGGAAGTGGTCATTGCGAAGCGCCGCGTGCATTACGAAACCCAAGTGGCCAAGAACCCGATGGACTACGACTCGTGGTTTGAGTACATTCAACTGGAGGAAGCCGAGGGCAATGAAAGCTTGACGAGAGAAGTGTACGAGCGCGCCATTGCCAACGTCCCGCCGGTCCACGAGAAGATCTTTTGGCGACGATACATCTTTCTCTGGATCAAGTATGCAGTGTACATGGAGCTGGTGGTGGAGTCGACGGAAGATGCCCGGCAGGTGTACCAGCAGTGCTTGGCTGTCATTCCCCACACAACGTTTACGTTTTCCAAGGTGTGGGTGCTGTACGCCAAGTTTTTAATTCGACAAAAGGACGTGGCGGGCGCGCGCCGCGTCCTGGGCGAAGCGCTCGGTCGATGTGCGACAACCAAGCTCTTCCGCAGCTACATTGCGCTGGAACTCATGATGGGCGAAGTCGACCGATGCCGAAAGCTGTATGAAAAGTGGCTGGTCTTTGCCCCGCACAACTGCGTCGCTTGGAAACAGTACGCTGATTTGGAGAGTGGCGTCGGTGAAGTCGACCGGGCCCGCGCCATCTTTGAGTTGGCCATCCAGCAGCAAGTGTTGGACAAACCCGAAATGATGTGGAAGGCGTATATCGATTTTGAAATTGAGAACGAAGAACTGGACAATACGCGCGAACTGTACGAGCGGCTGCTGGAGCGAACCAAGCATGTCAAGGTACGCACGGCTGCGGCGGTGTATGCAAACGATGTGCAAAATGTAGGTGTGGATCAGCTTTGCGCAGTTTGAAGGAACGCACTTCGACGCGGACACGGCTCGCGACGTGTTTGACCGGGCGTCCAAGTGTCTCAAGGAAGAGGAGAAGAAGGAGGATCGCTTGCAGCTTGTTCAAGCATGGATCGCATTTGAAGAGGCGTTGCCGGGCAACGACGTTGCGAATATTCAAAAGGCACAGAAATTGCTCCCGCGGTCGGTGCAAAAGCAGCGAATGGCATATGCGGCGGATGGGGTACGCGTGCTCACGTGTTGTGGTTGATATGCGACTGAATCCATTCTGACGGTAGTCGGAGCTCGGCATGGAAGTGTACACAGACTACGTCTTTCCCGACGAAGAAAAGTCCCAGGCAAATCTCAAGTTGCTGCAGGCGGCGCTGCTGTGGAAAAAGCGGGCACGCGAAGAGTAGTCGCTGACTTAACCATCGTCTCAAGAGGAAATATTACACCGTCCATGTGGGCAGGGGATCGCTCGAGTCGTCACCACGCAGATGACCGACCGCCCAGCAGACACAGCACTTGTTCCGCGGATGGTCTACAGGTAGTAGTAGTACTTGGAGTCGGCGCATGACGAGCCTCAGAAAGGTACCGGTCAAAGGGGTTGAGCGCCGTCATGGACGTGACAAGGCCGAACTCGGTGGAGAACTTGGACGAGATGGGAAGCACCCCATGCCTCGCACTTGTCAGCACTTGGACGCGCTCCATGGCCGTCGAGAAGTAGCAGCACAACTCGAGCAAGACGAGACCCAACCCAAACATGTCGGACTGGACGATACCAAGAGTGAGACAAGGACAGTGGGTGGGCACGCACCTTGTCCGAGTAGCACGCTGTTCGCTGGTCCGTGCCTCCCACCTGCTCAGGCGACGCATACAAGAACGTTCCAACGGCGGTCGTGTGCGGCGAATCGACGGAGGTGGCGGAAGGGGACACCGCATCGCGTATCGAACACGTGGACAACCCAAAGTCGCCGATCTTGGCGACTCCATTGCGAAGGAAGACGTTGTCCGGCTTGATATCGCGGTGGATCACGCCATGGTCGTGCATGTGCTGGACGCCGCGGAGAATATCGCGAAAGAGCCGCATCGCGACGTCGTGGACAGCATCCGAGTCGACGCGGGACGGACCGGTCGCTCGCAGCCACGACGTCAAGTTGTTCATGGGCGAGTGATCGCACACGTGCTGGCACAGCTCCATCTACTCAAGCGAGTCGGTTCATCACACCCAGCCGCGGCTGCACAAGCGCCGTACTTGAATAAACAGGGTTTTCGTGAATTTCGTGGCGGCATCTTGGAATCGCGAGTCCCAGGATGGCTTGGACGGCGGCGTTGACATGGCCGAGGTGCTCGAGGCGTCGTTGGAGTTGCTCGCAAACTCAAAACATGGCGACGAATCGTCACTAAAGTACGCGGACGAAGCGTCGTCGGTGCTCGACGCCGTCGAGGAGGCACGGTCCGAGTCGGTCGAGTCTTCTTCGATAGCCATCCCCTTGGTTGAGCTCGTCGACTCTTCCATCCACGACGCGTAGTACCGCACGATGTTTTGGTGAGTGGGGAGAAGGGTCATCGCTTGAATCTCTCGCATGGCCTGGGGACGAGAATGAGCGAGTCGACGGATGGACGTGACCAACCTGTTTCAGGTGGTTGCCTTTGTGGGAGATTTCGACTTTTTTCACGGCAAATCGCTCGCCGTCGTGGAGGCGTTCGACTTCAAAAACGCTCCCCTGGCCTCCTCGTCCAAGAATCCCCGACTCTCTGAAGTGCAGCGTGTAGTACGATTCAATGGCGGGGGATGGTGCGAACGACATGGGCGGCGTAAAGTGCCCTGCGCACAACGAATTGAGCGGTGTTTTGTTGATGATATTGTGTGCCTAAACATACCGAGAGCTTGCGATGGCTGCGGTTGCCGAGGCGCTAGCTTTGCATACGACAAGAATTGATTGCCTGCCGCCGTGTTCAAACGGGGCACGAGCACTCGACGAGGCGAAAGCCGCCGCGGCGCCTCGACGAGAGCTTTCTGAAAGTACCCGATGAACGGATTCTTCTTGTCTACGACGATGTCCTGGCGGCTCGCAAATTGGCCGAACTTGCCCAGCAGCACCGACGCCGTCGCGGTGGCCGTCAGCGTGTTCATCGCGAGTCACTAGGAATGAATGTCAAGTGAGCTGTGTTCAACACGTGCTTCGACCGCCAAAATAACTCACCCTGCATGACCATCAGAATAGTATCTACTAGTGATGATATAGTAATAGAAACTCAGCAGCAGCCCGTCGTGCATTATCTGCAAGATTTTCAGACGGCTACTCCTTGTTCTCACATTCTTCCTTTGTGTGTTTGAATTGCATATGATTTGGCTTGATGGATTATAGTTCTTTCGCTGAGTATGCCTGCTGGACCAGTGGAGGTAGAACGTCAAGTTTGTCTCGTCGACGTTGCGTCAACAGTAGGTAGAACTACTAGCTTGATGGTGGGAAATTTCATTCAACTACATGATGACTGGGGTAGATTTAAAATGTGCGATTTTGAATGCATTTGTCGTAATTTTATGTTTCTGTGCATGATTCGCCGATCCAGGACATGAATGGTGAGCTGTTCTAATTGCTCGCCAACCTCCAAGATCGGAGGTTTCCCCCACAAATCAATTGGCAACATCGAGGAGCGAGCGATCATCATGATGGCGGCACGTCTCCGCCGCACTCCGTACGCTATGCAGTCCTTTGCTCGCAACAAGAGTGGAGGATACGTCCAGGAGACCGTCATCCCTACCTTTCACTTCCAAAAGTCGCTCACGAGGCTGCCGATTCCGTCCCTTGACGACACGCTGAATCGTTACGTGCTTGCAGTCCAACCCGTCGTGAACATCCACGAGTTTGAAGCGACGAAGCGCGCTGTGGATAAATTTCGCAAGCAGGATGGACCGGAGTTGCATGCGGCACTGGTTGCTCGCGACAAGGCGTCTCCCGAAACGAGCTACATCAACAAATGGTGGTTCGACATGTACGTCCAGGACCGCCAGCCGATCGTGATCAACGTCAACCCGCAGGTTTGCACAATCCTAGTGGAGTGGGATCGCTTATGTGGATCCATGGGTAGATCAAAATCAAGGACGACCCTGCCCCCGCGAAGAACGCGCAAAACCAGCGCGCCGCGTCGCTGATTGCGTCGTCGGTCCGCGTCTTCCGCACGTTGCGCGATCGCCAACTCGAGCCCGACATCTTTCACACCAAGCCCAACTATACCAAGACATCTGCATTCAACACGTTCTGCAAGTTCCTTCCCGAGTCCATCTCGTTCTATGGCGCGGCGGCGCTCGGCGCGTACCCACTGGACATGAGCCAGTACAAGAACCTATTTCACTCGACGCGCATTCCGCTCGTCGGTCAGGACGAGCTCAAGCTCTTTCCCGACTCAAAGCACGTCGTCGTGCAGCACGGACCAGCATTTTATAAGTTTGACGTGTTGAAGGCCGACGGATCCGCTGTGGCTGACGCCGACATTCTCGCCTGCATCAACTCGATCTTGGCCAAGCCCGTTGGGACGGAGTTGGGGGTCGGCCTCCTCACGACGCTCAACCGCGACGACTGGGCTCGTGCCCGGACGAAGCTAGTTCAGTCGGACAATGTGAATGCGTCCAGTCTGCATGACATTGACAGCGCACTCTTCGTGGTATGGCTGTCTTATGTCGTGGTCAGCGAGTGGTTCATCTGGTGCATGTTTGGCTAGGTGACGCTGGAAGACAAGGCGCCGGAGACCGCGGCGGCGATTTCACGCACGTTCTTGCATGGCGATGGGACGAACCACTGGTTCGACAAGAGCTTTCAGTTGATTGTAGCGCGCAACGGCAAGGCGTCCGTGAACTTCGAGCATTCTTGGGGCGACGGTGTGGCGGTGCTTCGCTATTTGAACGAAATGTACGATGTGATGGTGGTAACGTGGACTAATGGGGGCGCATGAAGGTACACAGATAGCATCCAGCATGGCGCGCTGGATGCCGGAGTCGGGGCAGCTGTGCCTCTCCAGTGGAACCTCTCGTCTGAAACGAAGCACACGCTCGAGAACGCCAAGAAGACGTTTGACGCGTGGACGGCGCGGCTGCTGATCGAAGTGGCCGAGTCCCCCGTGACTCGTCAACTTGCGTCGGACCATGGGATAGGCACGGACGGCGTCATGCAAATGGCGATCCAACTGGCGTACTTTCGATTGCACCATGCGTTTGTGTCAACGTACGAGAGCGCGAGCACGGCAGCGTTCAAGCACGGGCGCACGGAAACGATTCGATCGTGCACGAACGAAGCGGTTGAATTCTGTCAAACCGTCGAGTCCACGGTCGCGTCGTCAGCTGACAAGGCGGCGGCTCTTCGCAATGCGGTCAAGAAGCACGGAGAACTGACAAAGAACGGGGTGATGGGCCAGGGCTTTGATCGCCACTTGTTTGGGTTGAAGAAGATCGCGGCAATCCAAGGCATGCCGGTGCCAGAACTGTTTGATCTGCCGTCGCACGCTGTGATGAACAAGATCATTCTGTCGACGAGCACACTGTCGAGCCCGAACCTGGATGGAGGCAGCTTCGGTCCCGTGAACGAAGACTGCTACGGCATTGGGTACGGCATCGAGAACCAGGGGTCGATCTTCCAGCTCGCGAGTTACCGCAAGGACCTCGCGGACCTCAAGGCCGCCTTGGTCTCGAGTCTCCATGACATCGAAGCGATCTTGCGAGCTGAGAAAAAGTAGCGGGTCGGAAACCTGAACCGTATAAACTAGTTCAATCGAATATTTTGACCAATTCTCATAGGAGTACCAACCATTCCCGACCGCTCCAGTGCATTGCAAAAATGGCGGCAGCGGTCAAAGGAGCCAAGTTCGGCACGTCGTGGTCGGCGAAGGAGGACAAGAAGCTGAGAAAGGCTGTGTTGGAACAAGGAAAGGGACACAAGGCAAACTGGAAGCTGGTGGCGGCACACGTGCCTGGGCGCACCCCCGGTGCGTGCCAAGGGCGATGGAACACAGTGCTCGATCCTTCGGTCGATCGATCACCATGGACACCCGAGCTGGATGCACAGCTCTTGCAACTGTATAAGGATCCTGTCTACAACTCGTGGAGCAAACGGGCAGCCAAGCTCGCGGAAGGAAAGGTGGGCCCGAACGGCGAAGTGATGCGGCGAAGTGGAGCCGACACGTGCGATCGGTACTTCAAGATCACCAAGGCGAAGAAGGGTGACAAGGTCACGAGTGACGCAGAGGTAAAGTGGACGGACGAGACGGAAGACATCCTGGAGACGCCGCCAACGATTGGGCTGCCCGTGACACCTGCCGTGGTCACAACTCGCAACCAGAGGAACCGCATCCGCCGGAACGAGCGCCGAAAACAATTCGTCGCGGCCAAAGCCAACGCTGCAGAGTCCACCAGTAACGCCGACGATGAAGAGAGTGCGCCTCCGGCCAAGGGGGGAAAGAAGCCTGCGAAGAAACCCACCACCGGGAAGCGGAAAGCACCGGTGGCAGCCAAACGTGCGTCGTCGACGCCATTCAAAAAGCAAAGGCAGTAAAGCGTGCGTCAACATAGCAATGATATCGTTATCATTTGAGCAACCCGAACGCCAACGCCTCGACCAAAGTGTCCACTTGCCTAATGTTGACAAGAGATCGGTACTTATCAACAACCTTCTTCCCTTCCGCGCATGTCACTCTGGGAATGACACAAGTCTCGACCCCGATTTTGCTGGCGGCTGCGAGCCGAGGCTCGAGCATCACGGCCGGACGAAGCATGCCGGAGAGAGCGAGTTCGCCAAAGAAGACAGCGTTTGGGACCACTGGGCGCTTGGTGGCCGAGCTGGCCAAGGCCACAGCTAGTGCCAAGTCGGCTGCAATCGCATTAGAGGAGACGTCGGTCGGTATGGCCTTACCGCACGGCTCGTCGAGAAAGTAGCCTTGGGCAATGTTGACAAAGGCGGTGTGGGATCGAAATGACACGTTCGCACGGGCGTCGAGCACGGCAAAGATGAGCTGGAGCTTGTCGTACGACACGCCGTGGCACGTGCACGTCGTGCGATGGTCGTCAAAGGACCGGCTCGACAACGTTTGGATTTCGACCGGGATCGGACGGGTCCCTTCGACCACAATCGTGACGGCGACCCCAACCATGGGCCCACTGCCTACACGACGGGTTGTTTTCGCCATGCTCGAGGCAACAGTGTGGTGTGTGGACTGGTACTTGGGCTTAGGAACGCTTGCAAGGGGTTTTTGAGCGGGACGAGCCCCGCATCCGTCATCGACAAGACCCCGACCTCGCTTGTCGTTCCAAACCGGTTTTTCGTACACCGGAGAAAACGATTCGGACTGTGCGCTTCGCCGTCCAGCTGAACGACGGTGTCCACAATGTGCTCGAGAACTTTGGGGCCGGCAATGTCTCCGCTTTTCGTGATGTGACCGATGATGATCATCGGGATGTCCGCTTCCTACGCCATGACGACTTTTGAGAGCGGCCTCCCGCGAAAGAACGCCATCGACCTTGCACAAACGGAGCAGCTGCAGCGTGCACTCTTTCACTTGCGATACGTTTCCTACGACGAAGCGCATTGCAGGACGACCGAAAGCGCCGATAGACGAAGAGGACCTGCGGTCGAGTTGATCTCGGCCGAGTACATGGTCTGGATCGAGTCCACCATCACGCCAGCGCAAGGGGTAGCCTTGTCCCACGACTGAACCATGCCCACGATGCTCTCGATGTTGGTTTCGCTCGCCAAGTACAAGTTCGGAGACGCGTGCGCGAGCCGGTCGGCCCGCATCTTGACCTGCCCGACGCTCTCTTCTCCTGATACGTACAGCACCGCTCCGTTGTTTGCTTGGGTCGCGTTCGCCATCATGTGGGCGATCTGCAACGACAGCTACATGGTAGGAATATGAGTGCGTCGTGATGGTCGAGTGAAAGGGGTCACCGTGCTTTTCCCGACACCAGGTGGGCCTGCAATGAGGGTGAGAGACCCTGGCACAATGCCACCACCAAGCACCCAGTTGATTTCTGCATCGGCGAGCTTGATGCGATGTACATTTTGACTCAACGACACGTCATTCAAACGTATTGGCTTTGACTGCGACTGCTGGATCCAATCGCGCGGTGCTGCCTTGCCGCCGCCGCGCCGTGGGAGGTTGGACACTTCTTGCAAGTGATTCCATCCATGGCAATTGTCGCACTGTCCTTGCCACTTGGAATGGCGATGACCACATTCACTGCAGCTGTACGATGTCTTTGGTACGCTGGCGAGGCCCCGACCTCCGGCTACGCCTGGACCGAGATGTCGCCGCCGCAACTGGTGCCGCATCGCCGACCGAAGCATGGCAAATTTGATGAAACAAGTAGTAGTAGTAGTACTAATAGTAATCATTGTACTATCGACGATACCAATGTGATACACAATTAGCCAATCAGAAACGAGAAAAAGTCACACTAAGAAGCCGCTAGTTCCTTTGACGGGGGTGCATGCGAGGATGGAAGGATCGCGGCCAGACGACGAGAGTGCGATCTTACTGCGCCAACTAGAATCTAGGGACACTGGTCAACTGCAGGCCCTGCATGAAGACTGGTTCCCGATCCGATACAACGAGTCATTCTACCGCAATGCTGGTCAAGGAAGGTGGGAAAACGGAGAGCCTCTCTTCACCCAAGTCGCGGTTTACAGGCCCAGCGACGACATCGTTGGCGCGGTAACGGCTCAAATCCAGCGATGCGACGATGCCGAAGACAAGTCCTTGATCCAGACAAAGGACGGGACGCTCATGTACATCCTCACCCTTGGCGCAAGGCAGGATTTTCGACGTAAGGGCATAGCGTCCGTGCTGCTCAACACGTGCATCCATGAAGCCAAGGCGAATCCTTCCTGTCGTGCACTGTACCTCCACGTGAAAGCGGACAATGGCAAGGCCATTCGGTTCTACGAGAAGAACGGGTTCCAGCGACTTCGGTTCTTGGAAGGTATCGCTCGTGTCTGCATATCCATGGTCGACGCACCACCTGATCGCAATCGTAGAGTATTATTTCATCGATGGCAAGAACCACCATGCATATTTATACATCCTCTACGTCAACGGCGGCGCCCCCCCTAACAAGTGGTTCGATCTCTTCGCCAGGTACTGTGGCGGCGCACCCGTCGTGCCATCCAACTCATGGACGCGTTTAGACCGCTGTCGCTCTTTGTCGACTTTTGGCACAAGCTGTTTGGAGATGCACCCGACGAAAAGGCCGAGTCGATTGTATAGTACGACAATTCCCGTGTAATGCTAGGCACACAACAGTCGGCCACTCGCCATTTTCTTTGTTATCACTGCCCCGACACACTGAGCAGTTCCATCAACCTAACGCTCGTCGGGTAATTCTGGCATGGCAAGACTTCACCAGCCTACCTGGTGGCGCGGGGCACGAGCTCGTCGATGGTCTGAGCGCCCAAGACTTGTTTCAACTTGGTCAGCGTGACATGCTGCTGGCGCACTGCCGCGACGCCGACGACGTCCGATTTGCCCGTGACGACGTAGCTCTCGTGCGTATCAGGGGCGAGTGGAGGCCGTTTGGGATCGGTCATTTTCTGCAGCGCCGTTCGCAGCTCGTTCAACGCGTGTGCCACAGACACAGTTCTCGCTACAGGGACAACGAGAGTCGTCAGAGAGTCCAACCAGCGCTAGAAGGATTTTTTTACCAAGCCCGAGCGATTCCTTGATGGACGCGAGCGCGTTGTTCATCTCGTTCACAAACAAAAACACTTCCTACAAATGCACTCGGTGACCCGTTGCAACAACACAAGTCGATGCAGTACGTTGATCTTTGGAAACACGCCTTCCATCGACTTGACGCCAAACAAGTGCCGAAAGTGCTGAATCATCTTGTGGATGAGCACATCGGGCTGCTTCTAAAACAACACCGTCTTGAGAACGTACGATCCGCTCGCCATGCTCGTGTACGTCGACGTTGGTTATCGCCAAGCTGTACATTTCTCGCTCGTGCGAAAAGTGCGTCTCAAACGCCACGAGCTCTTCGACCACATGCAGCGCTCTCTGACAGTCTGGATGAGGAACCACGATCGAGTAGAGTGGGGGGGGGTTACGTTGTGGGAGATGGGACCCTGGATGTCCTGGACGTTGTCATGGCTTCGCCTCGACAGAATCGCATGAAGCTTGTCTGTGAACGACTACCTCCAAGTGAATGCACCGGGTTCAAAAGGAACACGTCGGATACCTGCAATTGCGCGAGGTGGGTCAAGTCGTTTTTCCACTTGGTCAAGGTCGAGGTTACTATTTCGAGGGGAACGATTCCGTTTTGGGAAATGCACCCACACACGCCGTGAATAAACTTCTCCATCCTGGGGACGGCTTGGACGACCGAGATCAACTTGGCGACACTTGGCCCGATCAGCGTCACGTCGGTGAGGTCTAGCTGACGGCAAATGTCTTGAATCACCTGATGGAGGAGACGGTGATGATGCGGGCGATTCCATGGCAATAGCACGTACGTCCAAGCACGCTTCCTTGGGCAGCGTCGTGAGTCGATTTAGATGGAGCTTCGCGTTGACCTTATCTCTATGGATCAATTCCGCGGTCCCCATGTATTTTCTCAAGTCTTCCAGTGTGTGCGCGTCCTGCACGGCGGCTTTTTGGTCGCTCAGTTGTCGCTCCAGCAGCACGACGCGGCGCTGGATGGCCTTGTAGTCACGTATCGTCGGGCGCGATTGGACTTCGAGGATCAAATTCGCATTTTCGTCGCGGAGGTCGGCAATGATGTCCTTGGAGTGGCGCAGTTCGATCTCGATTTTGTTTACCTTTTCTTGAATGATCGCTTCTTTGTGACGCAGTTGGCGCGACGACTGCTCTTGTTCGAGGCGCGCTTGCTCGAGTTTTTCGACAAATGCGTCGCGTTGGGTAAAGCCATTCGCACCCGTCTGACGCAGCAGCACGTTCTCCTTGTCCCGTACATCGCAGCACAGCTCTTGGACTTGGCTGCGCAATTGTGCGATCTCGGCAGTCATCTTCTCGCGCTCAGTTTCGTACATGGCAATCAACTCGAGCGACTTGAGGTCCGCCGCGCTTGACTTGCGCGGATCGCGCTGCTGAATCGTGCGAAACACTTCACGCGTCCGCGTCTTGGACACATCTTCCTTGTCCATCACTTGCTGAAACTTGTGTTGTAGCCGCTCAAGGAGCCCTTCCTTAGCCTTGACGCGGTGCTCGCTGATCTTGAGTTGCTGTTCTAGCTTGCTTTTCTGGAGTTTGAATGCCTTTTGCTCCGACTCGAGCTTTGCCGTGGCTCGCATAAGTTCCGTCTACGTGGGTACACCAACGATTGCGTTCGAGGCCACCAGGGACGCCATGTACCTTAAGCGATTGCACTTCTCCCTGCGACCGCTCGAGGGCTTCGGTGACGTCTGTGATCTTCATTTCGTGCGAGGCCAAGTGCGTTTCGGCCTTCGCGTGCTTCTTTGCGTGTAAGTCCGAGTCCAAAACGAGGTCCTGAATGATCTAAGCACCTCAACGACGTATGAAGAAACGTGCAGAGGCCTTGATCGAACGTACCTGCCCACGGCGCTCGAGTTGGACTATCAAATCGTGAACTACCGCGAATAAAGCATCCATCTTTGGAATGACTCCAGTACTCGTTGGTATTAACTCGATGGGAGAGAACCCGTGCTGAGCCAATAACGTGTTCAGCGGTCTCCACTCGTTGTCGGGTGTGTCTTGATCCATGCTGGGAGGTGCTACGGACGACTGGCCGAATCGTGGCTCAGACATGTGGGAATTCGTTCGTGAGGATTCGTGCCTTCGACCTGAAGGCGTCGACGTCGTGCTTCCAGCCATTCCCATCGAGCTTTCTTCGCGTGCATGGCCGTGCGGCGTCGCATTCGATGGTGCTCGTGGACTGCTCTGCACTGGTTCACGTGGAAGACTCCTGAGATAAGCCGCATCTTGATGGATCTGACTCGTTTCGTCGTCGTGTGTTGAGAATGAGTTGAGATGAGACGGTAGTGCCGGTGAGAAATCGTCGAGGGTCAACGGTGCGTCATGTTCGGTCGTCTGTGGAATGGAAAAGGACGAGTCCTTGTCATCTCCAACGGAATTCGAACTCAACCGGATGCCGTGCTCCAGGAGAAACCTATCGACACTTGAAGAGGAGCCAGGAGCATCTTCTAGGTCACTCAGACTCGTGCTGTTCATGGGTCGACCTGATGGTGGCCGAGTGCGGTGGTGACCTGGCGGCGCGCAATGAAGTTGACTCCTGACATGGTGTTATCCGGATAATCCGCATAAATTTAAAATGTCTCCAGACTCCCGCGCGCCAACCAGATCGCCAACGAGCCCGCTGTCTCCGAGGCAAACTGTGGTTGAGAGCGCAACGGACACCAATAAAGGGCAAGAAGCACGCTGATGCATCTTTCAAGTTCTCGTCATGCTAGCAAGTCGATGTCCCTGTGAATCCTCGATGTCGTCATCGCAGTCGAGATGGACCCACAGCGACATGTGAATATCAATTCAACGTCATCATGATCCACGGTGCACGATTAAGTTTCACTGCAGTGCTAATCCACGCGACAGTCCAGCCACCAGCCCTTACGCCAACGAATGCATACCATGGGTGCGAATTCAGCAGGGAAGCAAGGAATGTATGGAACTCGCAAGCTCAGCGCAAGACTCTATCAACAGTTAGTTGTGCAATGGACACGGGAGAATTGATGAAAGGTATTTCTCTATTGTACATAAACAGCAATGATCAGAGCATGCTCATCTTCGTGTCATCTGGAAAGAGAAGCTGCTTCGTCCCTCGATATATCTTCAGCAGCGCCACAATTTTAGGACAGAACGTCTACCGCCCGTCAATGCTTGGCGCAATCGCGACGACATACCTCAAACGCAAGTACCATTTTATGCTCATCCTCAACGAGGAACGCCAAGTAGTAAATTACGTCCGAGAACGAAATTGCTTCGTTGATCACAACAGCCTTGATGCGTGTTGCCTCAATGAACTAGCACACGCTGGTTGAAAAGACTCGCTTCGGAGGCGGCATATACCATGAACGTTTCGTGGCCATTGCGCTGCTTCTTGCGCAATTGAACGCCAATTTGAGGGATTACCAAGAGGGACTCTACCACGATGAAGGGTGTGAGGAGACGCCGATGTACCCGTATTCAGGATGTACCTTCGACCACTTTGGTTGCAAACGACGTCTTGACTATGAAAATCACCACGAGCACTGGAAGGATGGACCATGTGACGAAGTGCCTGTCGTCCGCGTCTAATATCGGTAACCACTCGTGGTATTTCGGGTCCATCCGGCCTCGAAGCACGGGCATTGCCATGATGCACACAACCATACAGAAGGCTGTGTTGATGACAAGTGATATCATTGCTAGCAGCGCCGAGTAATCGTGGGGTTGCGATACCTTGGACACGAGCGCGTACTCACGCGCATCCGTGCCGTAGTTGGTGATCCGCAAGTCCATCCGCGCCGAGATGCACCAACACCGACCACCTCGCACACGGCATTTTAGTACTACTATTAGTACGTACGGTTAACCGGATCCGGATTATCGCGCCACCACTGTAGAGAACGGGACGACTCCCCGTAGGACAACGCTCGCATGTGCGGGCCATGGCCAAGCGCCACGGCCACGACCGCGGGTCGATGGCGGGACAGGGCGTTCCCACGACCAGAGCAGCAACAACTGGTTTCTTCGCGGTGAGCAAGGACACTGTAATGTCCCATCCCGAAGCGACCAGATCGCTAGTATTCACGTGCGGTGAGTGCTTCAGCGCCGGGCCCCTAGAATGGACATATGGTGAGAACTTTTGCGTGGTGAATTCTTCTGTTCTTCGCAGTTCGACATAGTACGCCACCAAGATCACGCCGTTGGTGGATTAGTACTACTAGAAAGTAAGCTAGGAAAGAGAGAGCCAGCAGCACCTACTACTAGTATGTTCTCTTGTGTGCAACCCTGTCATTTGTTTCATACGTACCGTATAGACCACAAGCACCCCCCGTTGCTCGGCCGCCGATCGCAGGAAGGCCGGCTGCGAGAGTCGGCGTGGAAGTAAGGACTTGGACGGATCGGAGACACTGACCTAACGATTGTCGTTTCGTCTCCAGCACCCACGTGCAAATCGCGCCACCATCATCGTTTGAGGGGATGTATTCTGGAATGTACCCACCCACCACCACCACCGAGCACCGCCTCGTCGACACGCAAATGGGCCATGAAATGACCAAGGACACGGTTGAGCTGGACTTTGACGTGGTCCGGAACTACCGCCTTCGTGAGATTGAGAAAGTGTACTCCGTTTGCAGCTATGTGCACTCGCTCACTCCAATGGAATGGCCGTCGTTTAACACGTTTCGAGCGCGCCTTGTGCATCGTGTCGTTTGCGTGGCGAGTTCGTTGGCGTTGAAAAGGGAGACGTGCCACTTGGCGTGTTCCTACCTGACAAGGATTTTGCTGTCGAACTTGCTGCACCACGGCTACCTTGTCCCCACCTACGTCAATTCCATGAAGACTCCGGAGCATCCAAGTGTGGTCATTACTTCTGCCGCCGTTGTGATCGCATGCAAGATTGAAGAAGTTAGCCCACCGTCCATTCAAGAAATCCTCGAGGCGGTGCAACGGGAAAGCGGCGAAATCATCGAGTTACAAACGCGGAAGCGGGGGCCGTCGGCGCGATCGAAATCCAAAAAGACCAAGCCCCATTCCATCTACACGACGAAGGAGGAAGTAGTTGCCGAGGAGGAAGCAATGCTCAAGACACTCGAGTGGAAGCTGTATCCAGCGACGTCTGTGTCGTGGCTGCTCCTGACGATGGAGGGTCTTGGGCTGTACAAGGATCCAATCCAGTCGTCGCCGTGCTATGTCGGGTACGACTACGAGTACTTTGGCGTAAAGCAACAGCACAACTCGCACGCTCGCGCGTCGGAACGGGCCAACGTGTTTCACATCGCGTGTAATCTCCTCGACGTGGCTCTCTTGCACGCCAATTGCCTCCACTTCTTGCCGAGCATGATGGCTGCTGCCGCATTATTCCTGATCGCGCCTGGGCACAACCTGTACGCGCTGGCGCACTTTTTGCACCTCAAGGCCGAGGATGTGTGGGACTGCGTGACGTGGCTGCAGCAGTATCTCCCGTACGCGGCCTCGCCAGTTCCTTTTTCCGTGTATTCGACCATGCAATCCAAGCTCAAGAAAATCCCGAGTGTCGACAAGTACGCGGTCCAAGTCGTGTCGACGGCCGTCGCGTACGCGTCGTTTGGCATGTACATGCCGCCGGCTGTCGACGACCAACTGCAGTACGAGCCCGAGACCGAGCGCGACGTGGTTCTCCCGCCGCTGTACCAGTGCTGCATCGTCCCCGACGTCCATTTTCATCCATCTCAGCCGTACAACACGGGGTACTTTGCGTAAACCGTTCCTAACATGTTATTTATTTGGAGTTTCGACGGGCCATCGCGCCATCAAGTCGGCACCCGCTCGCCATTCACACCGCCCAGGGTGTTCTTTGCGAGCCACGTGGACGACGACGCACTCGGACGCCATGGCATGGCCGAGACTCGCACATTTCGTTACAACGACGAGTCGCTCAAACGAAACAGGTCGTCGTGGAGATCGCGAATGCCGTCAGGGTTCATTCCCGACTGAGTAAACTCGTGCACAACGCGGGGGTCGACATGTTTCACGCCAACCGCGAGGTGCTCGAGGTACTTGGGCACGTGGTCCGTGATGCTGAGGGACGCCACGGAACCTGCAAGAGGCCGCGACTCGGGCGAGTGCAATCGCTTGGCCACCGTGATCGAGCGCCAGTAGTCGAACGGCTCGCCGGCATTTCCGGCCAACGTGTACGGGGATAGATTGCGAATGGTCACACACTGAAATGCAAACTTGCGCGGGCTGCCGCGAACGACGTCGAACACCGGAAACGTCGTCGACGAGTCCCAATGGGCAACTCTGTCGAGGGGCGGCATGGCAAAGAGGGCTTGAGGAGTCAACAACGATGTGCTGAGTTGCATGATCTTGGCGTTCGGGCGGAACAGCATGTCGTGAAACGACGCCGCGGCCGGCCATCGATACACCGACGACAGCGAGTTCCACGCAATCGCTCCCGCGTCATGCGAGTGCGGTGAAAACGGGATGAAGAGAGTGCTCAGATCATGTAAGTGAACGACGGACGAGGCCAAGTTGATGAATCGCCGACTGTTTTGCTTGGATCGATCGAAAACGTCGATGGAGGTTGCCAGGGGGTAGCTGCACACTGTGCTGAGGAGCGCATGCATGACAAACTCATCGTGGTCTGTACCTGACGTCGTGACCAAGACAGCACACGAATGCGGATGGGCACTCTTCGCGGACACCTCGCAGCACCTCGGACGCAAACCCGCCCCATGTCGAGTCCACGTCGACGACACATTGCACTCCCTACATCTTGGTCGTGACTATGCACAGCATTGTACAAATCAAACCTGAAGCGAGTCGCACTCTTCTAGTGCTGCGCGAATTGCATCGTGTGCGGCGTCCATCGTATCGCGGCGAATCGTGCCATCCATACTGGGGATTCCATGGTAAAAGTTGTTCAACGGGTCAAAGTGACGAAATTCGTGGACTTCGACAATGGACCGCGACTGAAGCGGTGTCGCCACAGTTTGAGCGTCATCTACCTCTTGAGCTATCACTTGCACACCTCCATCCCACGCGCTTGGCGCGGCGTCTCGGCTTCTTGGTTGCGCTGTAGAAAGGCCACCCTTGTTGCAAAACGCCACGGTACGGGGTGCGAAGCGTCCGTTTCGAACCGTCATAGTCGAATCTCCACCTGAAGCGATGCAGGCTTTGTCGGCATTGAGTTCGTGCAGGCAGCTGTGCCAGAACTTGTCGGCCACCTGATTGCTGACGCTACCAAATTGAAGGGTTAACGTTTCCCGCATGGCACCAACGACAATGGGAATTACGCATCTGGTCGAATATACCAAACATTTACCCGAACTGGTCGAAAAAAACAAGTAAATTGTCCGAGACTTGTTGGTAGCATTCGCAGTAACAGAATCGAGG